ATCTTACCCCAAGATTCGTATTAGAACATTGGTCAAAACTTCCCATTCCCATTACTCGGTCAAATCTCATCCGATTCTTACGAGTTTTTGCTTTTTGTTCATGGTTTTCCCTCTAGGATAATCTGGCATTCAAATCTGAATACAAAATTTTTACTCGAAATTCATGTCAGAATCTTACCCCGAGATTCGTATAAGGACATTGGTCAAAACCTCCCATTCCCATAACTCAGTCAAATCTCATCCATTCTTACGAGGTTTTGCTTTTTGTTCATGGTTTTCCCTCTAGAAAATTCTGGCATTCAAATCTGAAGACAACATTTTAACTCGAAATTCATGTCAGAATCTTACCCCAAGATTCGTATATGACATTGGTCAAAACTTCCCATTCCCATAACTCAGTCAAATCTCATCCGATTCTTACGAGTTTTTGCTTTTTGTTCATGGTTTTCCCTCTAGAATAATCTGGCAATCAAATCTGAAGACAAAACTTTTACTCGAAATTCATGTCAGAATCTTACCCCAAGATTCGTATAAGGACATGGGTCAAAACTTCCCATTACCATAACTCGGTCAAATCTCATCCGATTCGTACGAGTTTTTGCTTTTTGTTCATGGTTTTCCCTCTAGAATAATCTGGCATTCAAATCTGAAGACAACATTTTTAGTCGAAATTCATGTCAAAATCTTACCCGAAGATTTGTATATAGACATTGGTCAAAATTTCCCATTCCCATAACTCAGTCAAATCTCATGATTCTTACGAGGTTTTGCTTTTTGTTCATGTTTTTCCCTCTAGAATAATCTGGCATTCAAATCTGAATTCAAAATTTTTAGTCAAAATTCATGTCAAAATCTTACCCCGAGATTCGTATATAGACATGGGTCGAAAATTTCAATTCAGCTAACTCGGTCAAATCTCATCCGATTCTTACGAGGTTTTGCTCTTTGTTCATGGTTTTCCCTCTAGAATAATCTGGCATTCAAATCTGAAGACAAAATTTTTACTCGAAATTCATGTCAGAATCTTACCCCAAGATTCGTATAAGAACATTGGTCAAAACTTCCCATTACCATAACTCGGTCAAATCTCATCCGGTTCTTACGAGTTTTTGCTTTTTGTTCATGGCTTTCCCTCTAGAATAATCTGGCATTCAAATCTGAATACATACTATTTAGTCGAAATTCATGTCAGAATCTTACCCCGAGATTCGTATAAGGACATTGGTCAAAACTTCCCATTCCCATAACTCAGTCAAATCTCATCCGATTCTTACGAGTTTTTGCTTTTTGTTCATGGTTTTCCCTCTAGAATAATCTGGCATTCAAATCTGAAGACAAAATTTTTACTCGAAATTCATGTCAGAATCTTACCCCAAGATTCGTATAAGGACATTGGTCAAAACTTCCCATTCCCATAACTCGGTCAAATCTCATCCGATTCTTACGAGTTTTTGCTTTTTGTTCATGGTTTTCCCTCTAGAATAATCTGGCATTCAAATCTGAATACATACTTTTTAGTCGAAATTCATGTCAGAATCTTACCCCAAGATTCGTATAAGGACATTGGTCAAAACCTCCCATTCCCATAACTCAGTCAAATCTCATCCGATTCTTACGAGGTTTTGCTTTTTGTTCATGGTTTTCCCTCTAGAAAATTCTGGCATTCAAATCTGAAGACAAAATTTTTACTCGAAATTCATGTCAGAATCTTACCCCAAGATTCGTATAAGGACATTGGTCAAAACTTCCCATTCCCATAACTCGGTCAAATCTCATCCGATTCGTACGAGTTTTTGCTTTTTGTTCATGGTTTTCCCTCTAGAATAATCTGGCATTCAAATCTGAAGACAACATTTTTAGTCGAAATTCATGTCAAAATCTTACCCGAAGATTTGTATATAGACATTGGTCAAAATTTCCCATTCCCATAACTCAGTCAAATCTCATCCGATTCTTACGAGGTTTTGCTTTTTGTTCATGTTTTTCCCTCTAGAATAATCTGGCATTCAAATCTGAATTCAAAATTTTTACTCGAAATTCATGTCAAAATCTTACCCCAAGATTCGTATATAGACATGGGTCGAAAATTTCAATTCAGCTTACTCGGTCAAATCTCATCCGATTCTTACGAGGTTTTGCTCTTTGTCATGGTTTTCCCTCTAGAATAATCTGGCATTCAAATCTGAAGACAAAATTTTTACTCGAAATTCATGTCAGAATCTTACCCCAAGATTCGTATAAGGACATTGGTCAAAACTTCCCATTCCCATAACTCGGTCAAATCTCATCCTATTCTTACGAGGTTTTGCTTTTTGTTCATGGTTTTCCCTCTAGAATAATCTGGCATTCAAATCTGAATACCAAATTTTTACTCGAAATTCATGTCAAAATCTTACCCCAAGATTCGTATAAAGACATTGGTCAAAACTTCCCATTTCCATAACTCGGTCAAATCTCATCCGATTCTTACGAGTTTTTGCTTTTTGTTCATGGTTTTCCCTCTAGAATAATCTGGCATTCAAATCTGACTACATATTTTTAGTCGAAATTCATGCCAAAATCTTACCCCAAGATTCGTATATAGACATTGGTCAAAACTTCCCATTCCCATAACTCGGTCAAATCTCATCCGATTCTTACGAGGTTTTGCTGTTTGTTCATGGTTTTCCCTATAGAATAATCTGGCATTCAAATCTGAATACAAAATTTTTACTCGAAATTCATGTCAAAATCTTACCCCGGAGATTCGTATGTAGACATGGGTCAAAACTTCCCATTCCCATAACTCAGTCAAATCTCATCCGATTCTTACGAGGTTTTGCTTTTTGTTCATGGTTTTCCCTCTAGAATAATCTGGCATTCAGATCTGAATACATAATTTTTAGTCGAAATTCATGTCAAAATCTTACCCCAAGATTCGTATGTAGACATGGATCAAAACTTCCCATTCCCATAAATCGGTCAAACCCCATCCGATTCTTACAAGTTTTTGCTTTTTGTTCATGGTTTTCCCTCTAGAATAATCTGGCATTTAAATCTGAAGACAAAATTTTTACTCGAAACTCATGTCAAAATCTTACCCCAAGATGCGTATGTAGGCATGGGTCAAAACTTCCCATTCCCATAACTCGGTCAAAACGCATCCGATTTTTACGAGGTTTTGCTTTTTGTTCATGGTTTTTCCTGTAGAATAATCTGGCATTCAGATCTAAATACATAATTTTTAGTCGAAATTCATGCCAAAATCTTACCGCAAGATTCGTATATAGACATGGATCAAAAAGTCGCATTTGCATTCTAGTTTTTGGTTTTGTCCTCTAATTTATTTTCGAAGCTCTACATAAGAACTTAATGAATACGTGTTTCAGCACTTTGTAAATTGCGCCTGCAGCAGTATTTGGCTTACCATGCGATCGGTTTCAAACTCACTTGATTTATACATAAATATACATATATATACATACATACATATATGTATCTGTATACATAAACATATATATACACACACATATATACAGATATATATATATAGAAATTTATATATATATATATATATATATATACAGATACTTTGTATGCATGTATGTACAACAAGATCAAAATTACCTGTTAAATAAGAGATTCACTCTTTCTATATCGTTCCCTCTCTCTTTCTCTCTCTGCATGTGGCATGTGTTCGCGCCAATTTGCCTTTGTGAAAAAAGCTCAGCTACAAAATGTAAGCGACAAATAACTTGCCAATTCTTAAATAAACCAGTAGAAGTTAATTGAAATTTGCAAGCACACACACAATACGCACAAACCAAACGCGTTTAACTTAACACATTTAATTTAAATCTTTTAAAAACGACATGGTATTTATTTAACACGCGCCGATGACACGACCGATCAACAGGAGAGAAGGGCACAGACTAAATGGCCTCATTAATCTCGCACCTACGCTAAGCCGGCATGCACACTAATACCATTACAATTGAGTGCACAAACGCAAGCATAAGAACTAAGATAGCGGGATCAAAAGCATTGCAGCCAATAGCGGCCGTGCAGTGCATATGTGAATTATCTCTTCAGCCCCCCCCCCCCCCCTCCCCTTATTACTATCTGATGTGAAGGTATCGAAAGCATTAATACTAATATTGGTAGCAAACAATTTCCCACTATGCCGAAATATTCAATTTTGCAATGTCCTCTCCGGATAAATGCTCTGTTATCAAGCATATATGGTATAAATACTTTATTAGAAACATGACTTTCTATGCGCTACGTATGAAATTGTCGGTTTGGATAAAATTATAAGATGATAAATATTTGTTTTAATTCCGCACAAATATTATTACTTTCGAAATATATTCTAGTATATACATATATGCACTTTTTTATGTCTCCATTGTTTTGCTGAACTTATGAAAGTCGCATAGCGGGGACGCACGCATCAGCACAAACAGGAAATGCAGTCATCGTGGCGCTGTGAACACACACGCTGGAAACACACCACACAAAGAAATACATACATATATAGATTAAAGTGCCGTGATGTTTATTATCTTTGCAAGCTCTTCACAAATCATTTTATCTAAGTTTATATATAAAAAAGAGTTTGTCCTGACTTACTGAACGACCTAACGAGTATAGGGTCAACGCATAGGCTATGCAATGAGGTGTACGGGGTGGGGAATGGGAGATTGGTGTTTTGGGGAGTACGAAGGATGCATAAATGTGTGGTGCCCAATCGAACGGACTAGCATATATGTATCTGATGTTGGTACGAATTACACAAACAACTATTAAATTTTTGACATACATATGTAATTCGTTTGATGACGACGGCTAATTTCTTCTCTATAAATTATATATTTAACAACGAAAATTTTGCCATTTTATTAAAAGTATACAAATATGAGCGTGCTAGTTTAATTTAGCAAATTCTTAAAGGCCACTTTTGGTGCATAGTATGTTTTAGGTCAGGTTGGTCAGATTTCCGGTTTATAGTGCATAGACTCTGCCCTCAATACAGTAAATACTACACCTGCACGCTGTGCTTCCGCTAAGCAACACTTCCGACCCGACTGAAAATGGTGTTCCAGTTAGATGAGCAACGACATCGGCATTCATTGAGTATGCCGGCAATAGCGGGATAAACAATAGCTCCCCCGTAAATCGCGAGCCACGATTGAGTCAATGTTTATCATTGTGTCTGTGACCAATAATAACAATGCGCGACAATCGGCCGTTGCCATGACAATCGTGCAAACCAGATGGGGGATTGTGTTTGTATTATAGCACATGGGAAAGCACAGTAGCGCTTAAGCTTCCCAGTGGTTATCAGTTGTTCGGTATTCGTTTTAAAGCGCGTTGTCAGTACGCAGTACGGATGGTTATTACCATTTACTTACACGAAAATATGCTGTTGCATGCATTTGTACATAGGTGGGTACTTTTATCATATGTTTAATACTCAATATATTAACTACTAATAAAAATCTACCCCATCTACTAATTCACCAACTCTGTAAACAGAGTGAATCATCAAGAGTGTTAATAGGCTGAGTTAAGAATGTCTTCTTTCGGAATCTTATCAAAAATTTCATTACTTCTGCTGATGCTCTTCGTGGCATCTCTGCTGTGTGTGCTCTCTTTACCAGCTTTGGAGAATTCGTTTCGCTGCAGGGCTATAGATGATTGCGATCCTTTTCTGCCAATCTGCGCCACATATTCAAATGAGCACCAGTTTTTTTACAGCCACTGTGACATGTTGCGTGAGATATGCCTAACCGGCAAAGGTATTGTTTACATACATGAATACATAAATCCAATAATTGTATTGACCTATCGTTTATACTTTATAGATTGGAAATCGGACTATTTTAGCCATTGCAATGTAAGCAAACTCTAAAAACATCACGTTAACTGAATGCTAGCATAAAGCTTAACACTTCAACATTTGCAAAATAAATATTTTACAAGACTGATATTTTATAGATAACTATATATAAATAAAAGGATATTTAGCATAAGGGGTTTTTAAATTCTCTACATGCAAGTTAAAAGAAATATGGATAACTTTCAGATGTCCCAAATATAAGTACATGATTTAATTAGCGGCGTAAAATTAAAATTCCCACTTTTGGCTTTGACACACATATTTGTATGAACTTCACAAGTGCTTTCATAAATAAATATATGTTTACACACTTATAATTATGGCATGCTCTTCCATTAGTTACTTTCTTATTAGAAAAATAGCAACAGATTTCTGGAGCTGATGACTGTAGCCGTACATTTACTAAACGCGTTGGTTACAACATCGTTCTTTAACTTGTCGGATTGGCTGCATTTATGAAATAATATTTATATATATATATTTACCATAAACATGTCACTATCTGCTTGAAGCTGTACTTAAATCTTGACCAGCATCTTGCGCAATGGAAACACCAATACACCTACTTATGTATATGGTTTGAGCCCACCCGATTAACATCTCTTTATGCCATAATTTAGATTAGATAAATGTATTACTTCCAATGATTTACAAAAAATACTATACTTTTGGCGCACCTTCAATATTTTGGGGCTGGTTTACGGTCTTGGCCACTTCTATGGGTGATGGAGGCGTTGCAGTCTCAGCAGCAAGTTTGTTGGCCATAATTGCCAGCTTCTCTCGCCTAAATTCCTTACGTGCCTCATCCAGTAGCACATTGTGTAATAGATTGCGATTCTGACTGTTATCTGGCGTAAGAACTGGGAAGGGGTTCCCACGGAGTTCCAGCACCGATTTTTTATAGTATATTCCAGGATATTCCCGCGGCGCTTTCAACATGCGTGTGTAGGATAAGTTGGAGTTTTCAAATCGCGGTACTAACACCTTAAACAGTTTATGTACTAGTTGCTTCTCAAGCAGCCAATAGTCCGCAAGATCCATAGTCGCTTTGTGCCGGTCGCCATACCGTATGGCATTTGAAATGAGCTATACGGAATTGGTAACTCATTAAATCGTAAAGTAAATATATTTCGTCCTTACCAGCTCTGCATACCCACGTGCTTCATCTGCTCGATTGTAAAACAATTCAATGCGTTCGTGTTTCACCAGCGCCGTGACAGTTTTCCTTAGCTTGAGCAGACGGCCTTCTGGACCATCCGCGTTTTTTAAATGACGTTTGTTTGGCCGCACTGCAATTCGCAACTGTGATATTAACTTGCTAACGTCGGCTTGATTCATTTTGAAACCAGATTTTAATTTAATAAATTAAGGCTCACGTAATGGCCTGGCTAAACAGCTGTTAAACAATTTTAACATTTGTTGAAATGTTATTAACATGTGTTTTTGGGAACTCGCCGAACAGTATCACTATTTTCTATCGATTACTTCGATAGATAAAACAACGCAAATAGGCGACTGATCATTTTGAGCGAAATTCATTTAAAAAAAAAAACAAAAAACCATGCGTATGTATGTCTTATTTTATTCTTGGATTTATACCTTAAGCTATGTGCTGTAGAATGCCCTGGCGTACCAGTGGCTCTACCTGTGCGCGGGGCAAGTAATGCTGACTATTCTTCTTCAAATGTACAACCTCGCCATCATCCAACTCAAACTTGCCATAGTTCTCTACGCAACGCACCTCGATATATAGAGATTTTGGCGGGCGTAAGTTGCCAGTCAAGTCAATGCCTTGCCCATCGCCAACGGAACGCATATATGAAGCTAAAGACTTGGAATAGTTGTTGAAAAATTGCACTTCTGGCTCACAAAGTGCCGGTTTAATATCACTGGGTATAATTGGACCGAACTCCCATCGCATGGCTTTGATACGCTGCATTCGCTCATAGAGGTAAGCCAGGAGACAGCGCTTATTTCGCTGAAGAGCCGCGTGTCTATAGTTAAGAAGGGGCCACAAGCTGCGATCTCCAGAGCTGTTATAGCTAGACGCCTGTGCCACATTCTCCTCGAAAATAGCCTTTATCTCCTCCAATACCTGACGTACGCCATCATCTTCAAAGGCGGGTATAGTTTGTGCCGATCGTTTAAGATCCTTTAGTAAATCGAAGGCATTATCGCCAAACATTTTGCTTGAACGGCTCATCTTTGTTTATAAGGCGATATGTATAAGTATTTCCCGCTTTATTTTAGACAATGCTAATAGTTATTAAATCGATTACTATCGATAGCTTTTAATTACCATTTTAGGCACTTTTATATAGTTATATTCGAGTAAACAAAGTAACATATTAAATACAACTCTATATGTATATATATTTATACATATATATATACATTTACTAAGCTAACTCAATATATCTACACCGTTTAATTCTTCCTGATCTTAGGGTACCTAGTATTTTGTCAGTCAAATTCGCATTATCCAATTGGTATTTTTCGTCGATAAGAGTGGTATCTTGGACATTTGTATATTTGGTCACACAGCTTACTAAGCAGTGAAAATTCTGAGGTGATTGTATTGTGTGGTGTGTTCATACCCAATTAACTTAATTAAGTTAAAAACAGTGTTAGGCGCACTTTAAACAAACGTGAGGAAATCAACCCGCTTACTAAAAAAGCCACGTATAACGGCCCGCCGGTAAAACCTGCACCTGTACGGAAATATGGCAACCGCAGCTAACACGACAGCTGGAGCAGCAAAAGACGGTGCGCCTGCAGCTAATGCACCAGCGCCTGCAAAGACTTTATCCGGCATTGTGAAACAAGTAAGTTTACAGTTTAAGTGATCTTTAGCTTGAATGCGTTTTAACGAAATCTCGTTAACTTGGAGATAGTTATTCATATATAACGAATAAAAAATATGTGATTATCGGCGTGGCAATGCCACTCAAGCATGTGCGAAAGAGATGCTCATATACGCGAGTTGTGTGAGAGTGACACGTCAAACACGCTTACACATTCATACAATGGCTGAACAGCATAATGTAAAAAAACGAAAGTTATCGAAGGTGCCAACCTGGCATATTTTCTTGTTCAGCAGTGCTTACTTAATGTACTTGCGTATATTCATTTACATATAATGTATGCATATGTGTTTCGGGCGTTCTCTTGCTGCTGCCCTGGTTTCCACGGGCGACGTCATCAGTCAGCGCCAAATTGCCGGCGTTTTGAAACATGCGTTTTTATCACACACACACACACATAGGCACGAGTTTGCTTGCCGTACGGTACGGTTACTACAAAACTTCGTTTCTAACCTCGAAAACGCTTGCACAGGCGCACAATTTGCAATATGCCCGTATATTAAAATATATGTATTAACGTACATATATAATTATGATTACTTTCAATTATTGCTTTTCTATGTGCTCAGCTATTCAAGTGCACTTCAAGTGTTTTTTATGCTTTTCAGAGTTTGACCCTTAACACGTATTCATAAATCCATACATAAATACATACGTGTGTAGAATTTGTCAATACACGCACAACCAGTAATGGCGATTAATAAAAGTTATCAATTGCAATTGTGACAAGCCGACTTAACAAGTGATGACGTTGCATGCTCATCTTAGCAACACTACTTGCTGGTTCCCTTCGTTGGCATAATCCAATGCTGCGTCAGCATTCCATTTTTTTTTTCATCTATGAACTTTTAGGTGAAAGACCTGTTGATATTTGAAAAGCCGCAAAGCCGCCGCATGCCAACACCTGTTTCCCTGTTCAGTGTGTGTAAGCGAATACGCTATAGAATATGCTAACGTTATCAATCCTTGCTTACGCGTGGCTCTATTATAATACAAGAGCATGTCATTGGACTTCCATTGGATTAACATCCCTATGTAGATTAACAATTATTCTTGTAAATATCTCGTTATATTTTGAAATGGGCTCCCTTCGACACCAAATTGACAAATTAACCCTTTTTAAGGAAGACGATTGCGTTTTTGCCTATTTTATTCATTTGGTATATTTGTAGATAGCAAAAGTCGCTACACAACCAAATTGAAATTGTTATAATAAAATATTCAAAACGATTCTCCAACCATGTCATTCAAAATTAAGTAAAAAAAAAAAAACAAAACATCACCTTGGATAATTTGTCCAAGTAGAATTTAGCCTTATCATAAACCCACCACGGTCACACTAATTTGCGGTAGCCCTGTGAAACACCGCGTCGGCGCCATCTGTCGGAAAATTTATTATCGGAAACACGTGTTTTATTTTTGTCTAAAGATTTTATTTAATTTTAACCTCATTGCTTGTACGGCGTGTGTTTATTACAGGTGCTCTCAGGGGACACTGTTGTTATACGCGCGACCAAAGGTGCCCCTCCACCGGAAAAACAAATAACTTTTTCGCATGTGCTCGCACCTAAGTTGGCGCGCCGGCCTGGCGCTGGCGGCGACGAGACCAAGGACGAACCATGGGCTTGGGAATCGCGCGAGTATTTGCGCAAGAAATTGATTGGCGTAGAAGTGACTTTTACCTATGATAAACCTGCGAATTCCAACCGTGAATACGGTTTCGTGTGGGTTGGCAAGGACAAAGAAACTGGTGAGAACGTCGTTGAGTCCATTGTGCGTGAGGGGCTCGTAACAGTCCGTCGTGAGGGTCGTCCAACGCCAGAGCAGCAGACACTTATTGAACTGGAGGATCAGGCACGTGCTGCCAACCGTGGCAAATGGGCGCATAACGTGAACGCTGCGGACAAAGTTCGGAACATTAAGTGGGCGCATGAGAATCCAGCGCATATCGTTGATATCTATGGTGGCAAACCAGTTAAGGCAATCATCGAGCATGTGCGCGATGGCTCAACTGTGCGTGCCTTTCTGCTGCCCGATTTTCACTATATTACGCTCATGATATCAGGTATTCGCTGCCCAGGTGTTAAATTGGACGCCGATGGCAAACCTGACCTCAGCGTTAAGGTTCCCTTCGCCGATGAGGCTCGTTACTATGTGGAGACACGCCTACTCCAACGTGATGTCGAAATCAGGCTTGAGTCTGTTAACAACTCGAACTTTATTGGCACGATTTTGTACCCCAAGGGCAACATTGCCGAATCGCTGCTGCGCGAAGGCTTGGCCAAGTGCGTTGACTGGTCTATGGCTGTGATGAAGACAGGTGAGGAGATTATAGATGCAGTACAGAAATCCTAATTGGCAACAGGGTTGACGTGCGTGGCGCCCTTTTGGCTTAAGCCTTGTGTTGCGCTACGTTATTATCAACTGCCTGTTGCCAGATTAAATCGACGGACTCCAAGAATACAATGACTAATTTATTGGCACTGCGTTCATTTCACCCCGTCTACAAGCAGCTTTCAATAATTACAAACTTAAATCAAATTAGATTACTTATGCATTGATTCACTTATCTTTAGGAGCTGACAAGCTGCGAGCTGCCGAACGCATCGCCAAGGAAAAGCGTCTACGTCAATGGCAGGATTACCAAGCGAAAACGCCTACTTTCAACTCAAAGGAGAAGGATTTCACAGGCACCGTTATCGAGGTCTTCAATGGCGATGCTATTAACGTGCGCCTGGCAAATGGTCAGGTGAAGAAGGTATTCTTTTCTTCCATTCGTCCGCCACGTGACCAACGCGCTGTGGTTGGGACAGATGGTGAGGAAATCGTGAAGGCTCCGCCACGCGGCAAAAATTATCGCCCTCTTTATGAAATTCCGCACATGTTCGATGCGCGTGAGTTCTTGCGCAAAAAGCTTATTAACAAAAAAGTGCAGTGCAATCTGGACTATATCTCCCCACTGCGCGATAACTTTCCGGAAAAGCACTGTTACACTGTTCTTATCGGTGGACAGAACGTGGCCGAGGCAATGGTGGCAAAGGGTCTTGCGACGTGTGTACGCTACCGTCAGGATGATGACCAAAGATCATCTGCCTACGATCAACTGATTGCCGCCGAGCAGCAAGCTATTAAAGGTCTAAAGGGCCTTCACGCCAAGAAGGATAATGCGACGTTGCGTGTCAACGATCTAACTGTCGACCATTCCCGCATCAAGATACAATATTTGCCTTCCTGGCAACGTGCTTTGCGCACAGAAGCCATCGTTGAGTTTGTTGCCAGCGGATCACGCTTGCGTCTGTACGTACCAAAAGACAGTTGTCTAGTTACCTTCCTACTCGCTGGCATATCGTGCCCACGTTCGTCGCGTCCTGCACTCAACGGCGTCCCAGCCCAGGAGGGTGAACCTTTTGGGGACGAGGCACTCACGTTTACACGTGAGCGTGTGTTGCAGCGTGATGTTTCCGTGCATATTGACACCACCGACAAAGCGGGCTCATCAGTTATTGGCTGGCTATGGACTGATCAAAATATTAATCTTTCAGTCGCCCTTGTTGAAGAAGGACTCGCTGAGGTCCACTTTAGTGCCGAGAAATCGGAGTACTACCGACTCCTCAAGAGCGCCGAAGATCGTGCCAAGGCTGCCAAAAAGAACATTTGGGCTAACTACGTAGAACAAGTGCCTGAAGAGAAGGTCGTCATTGAAGAGGATAAGGAAGAGAAGGTTCCGGTCGAACGCAAAGTAAACTATGAGAATGTAATCGTCACTGAGATCACTGAAGCGCTGACGTTCTTCGCCCAATCCGTTGACAACGGTCCTAAGTTGGAGACATTGATGAGCAAGCTGCACGCCGATTTCCAGGCTAATCCGCCTATAGCTGGCTCGTATACACCCAAGCGAGGCGACTTGGTCGCTGCCCAGTTCACCTTCGACAATCAATGGTATCGCGCTAAAGTTGAACGCATTCAAGGCAACAACGCTAGTGTTTTGTACATTGACTACGGTAATAAGGAAGTAAGTATAAGGATCGATCGATATTTAAATCAGCACTCAGCAAGCTCCTTAGATCCGTTTCCGTCTTAAAGCGAAACGCATGAGTCATAAGTTTGCCACATAAACAATGCTCATCTGTTCGACCTTAGCTGCGGCTATGAAGTGGTGTACACGAAACTCTACAACAACCCATAAGTGTGCTTATTTTGTAAGGCGCGTTGGTTTACTCGCACAAAGGCTATAAGCGGTTGAGCCATATTTTTTGGAACAGCCGTTGGTCAATGCGGCTGTAATTCCGCGTGTTCCATATGAATATGACATGCACGTTGTTGGGGGCTCCCAAGACATAGCGCAGCGACAGTCAACAATGTGCGACATAACCACATCAATTATATATATTTAAATAGATAACCGCTCTTAATAGAATTTTTCTTTTCCACATAATGTAGACTCTTCCAACAAGCCGGTTGGCTGCATTGCCCCCTGCCTTCAGCAGCGAGAAACCCTATGCTACCGAATATGCACTTGCCTTAGTCGCTCTGCCGGCAGACAATGAGGATAAAGAGGAAGCTTTGCGTGCCTTCTCCGACGATGTGCTGAACCACAAGGTGCAGCTAAATGTTGAGTTGAAGGTTGGTGGTGGTCCCCACCTAGCCACCGTACACGATCCAACAACGAAGACGGACTTTGGAAAGCAGCTCGTTGCAGATGGACTTGTGCTGGTTGAGAAAAGACGTGAGCGTCGACTAAAGGAGCTTTTGGAGCAGTATAGGACTGCACAGGATGCTGCTTTGGCTGCCCATTTGGCCATTTGGAAGTACGGTGACATTACGCAGGATGATGCGCCCGAGTTTCGCTAGAAAACGGATCAAAGCGTGCTGCAGTAGGCAGGCGGCGTGTGGAGCGCGCGCTGCTGGCTGAAATGTTTGTCTGCCACATACCCGCCCTTTATACATTACAACAACAACAACAACAAGCAACAACTTAATGAATATGAAATTACTAATTCTATAAACACACCAATTTATATACATATACAAATATATGATGCGTATAACCAGATTAGATACATTTGAGAAACAGAAAACAACATGGAATATGGAGGAAAGGTTAAAACTTGAAACATTTGTATGCTTTAAGCAGCTGGCGAACCGTTATGAATTCGGTTTTACGGTTTTTAAAACATTACTAATTCTTTAAAAGCATTAAACAACGTAAACACGTAAACAAAAACTAGCAGCAATTGACCATTTTGTAAGCGGTTAACTTCCAATAAAATAGAATCAAAGTAAAGTCAAGTTACATTTTTTTTGCATGCGTAAAGTTTTTCTATTTGTAAGCCTAAGCAAAAAGTGTGAATTTGGTTATTTTAAATTCGCTGATTTTGTGTTATGGTAATTTTTTGAATTTACTGATTAAATAAAAAACATTTAAATCATTTTTATACAAAAGAGAAAAAACTATTCGCTTTATTTGCTCCGCTCAAGCATATCTATCTTCTCTATTACCGCTTCAATGTTGAAGTCATCTGGCACTTTTAGGCCCTTTAGTCTGTCCAGAAGGCCCTTGGATTTTCCAGCTATTTGAGTAATATTGCGCTGCAGTTCGGTAGCCGATATCAAGCGCTTGCTAACTGTGCTTGTAAATCTGTATGTATGGTTTGAATTAAAAAGTGGATATTATAATAATAAAATGTCAAACCTTTCCAATGCGGCTATTTCCTCGTCCGCCTCTTTTATAGAACCTCTCAGTTTTTTCAATGTTGCCGATTGCTGTGCAACAGTGAGTTTATTTTCGATATTTTCGCGCTTTTTTGTATAGTAAAATTCACGTAGATAGTTTATGTTAAGATCATTTAATTGCCCGTATGCCTGAATTTCCACACACTTGTCCAGCAACATCAATACGTCGTCCGGCAAATCGCAAACTTCGAAGCTTATGAGTTTCAGCATCTGTTCCAAGTGATCTCCTACGATAATCGTTAATACTTATGGATATAGGCTTGTTAAATGCGTTTACATACCGAAATTTTTCAAAGCTTTTACTTCATCTTGAAGTTTTAAATTGTCTAATAATGAGAACAAAATGTGTAAATTTTAAACACGAAATTGCTTTAAAAAATATCATACGCGCACCCATTTTGAAGAACTGGACAATCAGGCCTGCAGCTTAACTTTTTTATGTGGACACTTCGACGTTTTATAAAGTTTCAGGTAAGAAAGATGTAAATATTAATATGTCTTTATTTGATGTCAAATGAATCCAAATTTTGTTTGTGATTAATTGTAACTGGCTTCATCTAGATGAAGTTACCACAGAACTATCGATTGTGTATAATCAGCACTGGCGCCACTAAATAAAACATTGCAAAATATGATATAAACCTCAAATTTGCGCTAAAAATTAAATTGTTGTAATTAAACAGACAAGCAATCACTAATTGTAATGGTGCCTAAAGTATTATTGGAAACTAAGCTGAATATAGTGATTTAGATATGTCCGTGTTATCGATATTAATACAAAGATGATGTTTTATCATCCCTATTACAGTTGCTATACATGGTCTTTTAATTGGAAAAAAGGTTGTGCATTGTGTCGGTTCGTTCTTTGGCGGTGAACTAGAAGTAGCATGACGTCACATTTTCAACGTTTTTTATTCGATTCATTATAAATAAATAAATTTATAAATGTTGCATATCCGATTAGTTTTATAGTAATTCAAGAAAAAATGTTAACACTTGAAAATTATTTAATGTAAGCATATTCGCAAGCACAAAGTTCTTAAGATGTGACATCATGCGCAGTGAGAGCCAAATATTGGTCATTTATGTGCATACCCGTGTTTCTCTCAATCGTGGTTTCTACTTTTTCTTTGTTTATATATACGCGTTTGTCGGTGCGGTTGATGTTAGGGCTACTTGACATAGGGTGATGTGTTAATTTGCACGAGCACAATGCAAAATATTAAGTTAAATGTGAACAAATTATTGTATTAAGCACTAAGCTTCGACGAAATACCAGCATCGTTAATTTTACTCAATAATGTATTGAAAATCGATCGAGTTTTAGAAACGAAGTTGCAAAGTAGCGGTGTGTGTATATGTCTGTGCGTGTGTATGTGTTAAATTACATACTTTTGTATGTACATTCTTATGTACTAACATAAAACTCCAGCCATTAAGAAAAATAACAACGGTCCACAGCAAAAATGTCTGCGACGGCTGCCAACTTTTTGGGGATGGACCTTGTCTCATCGCTACCAACTGATGTACGCGAAAAGTTGGCCGAATTGGAATTGGAGTTATCTGAAGGTATCATTCTGATTTTGATATGTACAATTTAGACATGTTGCTACGCAATAAGCTTTAATAATTAATTTCCTATGGGCTTTACTCTACACCTTGCCTCTTTCTCCTGTCCTAACATAAAAACTCTTATGTGTTTCTGAAACATGCTGTAGAAGTAGCCTGTCATGGGTCATGTCTGCATTCCAAATAATACTTGAAGCAGTAAGCTGAGCACTGCAGATACAGCTACGTTAGTAGATAAAGGGACAGGCAGAAACAGGGGGTCTTTGTCATCGCGCCAACCCCTTTAACTGCTATTGATATAACGCGTCTGGTTGTGTGCGGTTTTGTGGGATAAACGACATGTGTCTGCATACACGTATGTGCAACACAAAAAGTTCATACATACATACATACATGCATGTATTTACATATGCGCTTGCATGATTACACATGTGTTAATAGTACATACAATTTAAAGGCCTAATTGCATATGAGATGATACGACATCTATTAAAATATCTACATATAACAGATGGAGCTCTTAAATTCTTTAAAGAGGTAGATTAACCTCGTATGGGTATATAGATACATAAATGAAAAACCAATTAACGAAGTACATGGCATATCTTATAGGTGTGGTTTATCTGCCTAAAGATAACCCAAAACCGAATGCTTATAAGCATGCAGATATGTTTCAGGTATACAGCTATGAATATTAAGAGTAGACAGTGTATTTATTTAAATTTGTTTAAATACAGAAATATCCCCTTTAAAAAAAATTCTTTCTTTGGTTTAATATAACGATCATTTCAGATATCGGTTTTGGTTTAGTTAAATTTATATATATATATACAGAATAGTTCGTATGTACATATATATATACAAGTCATGCCAAGCATAGGTTTTAATAAAAGCCTTTAATTCAAATTAACCTGTTTTGTTTTTTTTTTCAGGTGACATAACCCAAAAAGGATACGAAAAGAAACGGTCAAAGTTATTGCAACCCTACCTGAAGAAACAGGAATGTAAGTAATCGTAGCATGTATATGTTAACTTTGGTTTGGGAATATACATAAATATATTAATGGAAACAACGTGATTCTTAATAGTAAACGACGTGGAGAAGGCAAAGAACTTGCCGCCACCGCCATACTACAACATTAAAGAGTCCAACAATAGCAACAGCAACGTAAACAATGATGGCGTCATTGTCTCTAGTGAGGGGTATAGTTATGTGACTGAAGTACCTTCATTACCCTCATCACAACAAAGGCATTCCAAAAAATCAGACTTCCACCAGCCGAGCTCAGCCATATCAATATCATCGTCGACACCTCAGAGCGGAGGTGGTGTACCTGGCTATGAGAATATGCGACCGCAAGGCGGTGCCGTAGGAGATCCCGGCTATCAAAACACACGCGAGCCAAACACCTTTCAAAACCATGCACCACATCCCCCAACAAATAGCAGCCAAAATCGACAACGGCGAACACAACGTAAAGTAACGCACAATGAGAAGCGATATCATTCCGGTATACCAACTATAATAAACGGTATATTAAAACATTGAATTGACACTTTTTTTTTTGTAGAGGTTCGACAGGAAGCTGTCCAACAGGCACTGGCTGCGCTTAAAGGTCGGCCAAAGCCCAGCTTGCCCATGCCCTCAAAACGGAGTTCTGTGCTTAATCGCAGCCCTGGGTGTAACGATGAATTGGACTCATCCAGTGATGACGAATCGATACCGGAGGAGCTTATTTCACCGGACAAGGAATATAATTATCCACGGGATCATATAAGTAAAAATATGCTGCCTCCGGAACCGATCATTAAGCCACCAATACGTGAATCATCGATGATCGCACAGCAACAGCACTTACGGCATGATGTCAAACAATCTCAAGCGCCAATTCAAAAATATAGTTTGTCGGGCAGCGCAGCCGAACGACGTCCACCGCAGAATTTGCCGCCTCTGGTGAGTACATAAGTGCTAAGAGTAGCATATTTTTGCAATTATAATTATTTATGTTCAATTATGGCGAAGAGCTCCATTGGTTGACTCTGGTTAGTCATAGTTGATAATATATTCATTGATAAGAACCAGAATATTTATATTTAATTATCTATGATCATCACGGTAGATCATCATAACAAATGTACACGCGACATATATAGTGCTTTAAGCAAGTTTTTTCTTTTTATGAATTTTATATATAATTTATATGGCCAGCCTACATCGGACACTTCGAGCACAGAGTCACCACCAATTGGATATAAAAGAGATAATGAATTTACTGATAAAGCTTATAAACAGAAGCATTGTAAGTATAGTGTGCGCTAGGTGAGCGCAAAATATATTTTTGCCTATACTTCTTTAATTGGAGTCAATTATTAATTCATTTAATATTTCGAACAGTTAACGCACCAGACATTACCCAGTTCAACAACGCTCATCGCATTGCAGACCGGGTTACACGTTATGTTAACGTCTCTCAAACAGAGCTTAATGAAACAGATGCTAATGGAAAGTGGAAAGTATCGGCCAAGATTCAACAGTTGCTGAATACCCTTAAAAGACCCAAACGACGACCACTACCCGAGTTCTATGAGGACAACGACATCGAGCTTGAGATTGCTGCTAACCCCAAGGATCCGAATGCCCCCAAGCCAGAGGGCAGTACCATGACTCCGGTGCAAGGTGAACAACTTTCTATACCAGCTGGCTTACCACGTACATTAGAGTGTGCACTTCAACGCTATGGAATGAATTCATTTAAAAGCTCGATGGCTACGGTATTAGATCCTAACGGCAAAATAACCACAACCCTGACCTATGGGAAACTACTATCACGTGCACAAAAGATCGCTTATGCGCTGTCCACAAAGATATTCAGTAAAGGACCCGAGCAGGTCACACTAAAACCAGGAGATAGTGTAGCCCTAGTATATCCAAATAATGATCCCTTAAGGTGAGATTTAGGATGTAATTTTTACTTTTTTTTTGCGGCATTAACATTCTTGAGTATTCTTTAGTTTCATAACTGCGTGGTATGGATGCATGTTTCGTGGTTTGGTGCCTTTGCCAATTGAGTTACCGCTTTCAAGCTCGGACACTCCACCACAGCAAGTGGGATTTTTACTTAGTTCATGTGGTATAACCGTGGCACTAACATCGGAGGCGTGCCTAAAGGGTCTGCCCAAGTCTGCAACCGGTGAGATAGCGAAACTAAAAGGCTGGCCAAGATTACAATGGTTTGTGACTGAACATTTACCCAAACCACCCAAAGACTTTAATGTGGGCAATTTGCGTGTTGAAGACACGGCAGCTGCGTATATTGAGTATACTACTGATAAAGAGGGCAGTGTAATGGGTAAGTTTATAGTAAAAATGTTACATTATTGCAAATTCATAAGGAATATAGTATTTTTTATAGTAAAATATTCCAGTACTTGGCTCATAGCCGCAAGAAAAATACTAAGCAGCGTGCTTTGATTTGCATATTTTTGCATCCCAAAGCATATTTAATCATAGTCACTTTAAAACGAATTGCTCACCAGATATAATTACTGCCTTTTTGGATAGTATATTATACTAATTCAGTATTCATATACAATTTTTATTTCAGGCATCACTGTTAGCCGCGCTGCCATGATAAATCACTGTCGTGCTCTGACAATGGCCTGTCATTACACTGAGGGTGAAACAATTGTCTGTGTATTGGACTTTAAACGAGAAGTTGGCTTGTGGCATGCTGTTTTGACATCTATACTCAATGGCATGCATGTGGTGTTTATTCCCTATGCGCTGATGAAGCTGCGGCCCTCATCCTGGATGCAGTTAATAACAAAACATCGTGCGTCTTGCTGTCTCGTTAAGAGCCGAGATCTGCACTGGGGCTTATTGGCCACTAAGGATCATAAGGATATCTCATTAGCTTCACTGCGCATGCTGCTTGTAGCCGATGGTGCCAATCCCTGGTCATTGTCATCATGCGATCAGTTTTTGAATGTATTCCAAGCAAAAGGTCTGCGATCGGACGCAATTTGCCCCTGCGCCAGCAGCTCAGAGGTCTTTACAGTTTCACTGCGTCGGCCTGGTCGCTCGTCTACCACTGGATTCTGTCAATCAGCTACTGGTCGTGGCGTGCTTTCCATGGCCGCCCTCTCGCACGGCGTCGTGCGTGTTGATAGCGAAGACTCTTTAACTTCCCTTACATTACAAGACTGCGGGCAGGTTATGCCAGCCGCACAAATGGTGGTTGTGCGCTCAGAGGGCGCACCGGTGCTTTGTAAAACGGATCAGGTCGGCGAGATATGTGTGACGAGTGGCTCAACTGGTGCCAGTTACTTTGGACTCGATGGTATGACGAATTCGACATTTAAAGTTCAACCGCTCCTTGAAGATCCAGAGCAACCGAAAGACGGTTGTGGTACAATTGCTAGCACACCCAAGCCCATGAGCGAGGAATACTATGTACGTTCAGGGCTCTTGGGCTTTCTTGGACCCGGGGGATTGGTTTTTGTGTGCGGATCACGCGACGGCCTTATGACTGTTACTGGTCGCAAGCACAACGCCGATGACATCATTGCCACAGTGCTGGCTGTCGAACCCATGCGATTTATCTATAGAGGGCGCATTGCCGTATTCAGCATTAAAGTTTTGCGCGATGAGCGCGTCTGTGTCATAGCCGAGCAACGACCTGACTGCTCGGAGGAGGAAAGTTTCCAGTGGATGTCACGTGTGCTCCAAGCAGTTGATTCCATACATCAGGTTGGAATTTATTGTTTGGCACTGGTTCCGCCGAATCATTTGCCGAAGACACCACTTGGGGGAATACATTTGTGCGAAGCGAGGCGTCGTTTTCTGGAGGGTTCGCTCCATCCGGCAAATGTTTTAATGTGTCCCCACACATGCGTCACCAATCTACCAAAGCCTCGAGAACTGCATCAAGGTGAGTGAGCGTTGTTTTGGGTAAGCGGGTAGTATAGAACCTATTGTTAATCCATTGGCTTTATTGGTTCCTATCTATGCTTTCTTTATACATTCGTGTCTGATAAAAATACAAATATTGTTTTCCTCTTTTTTATTAATCACCAACAACAAACAACTACAACTACAACAACAATGAACTGCTGCGGTTGCTTCCCACTATGCCCACTACAATAAATACGCACCACTAATAAACAACAACAACACTCACCTCAATAACTACAAAAACATTAACACTGTATTATAAAAACGACAAACAAAACAACTCAAAATATGTCAACTGATCTAATTGCATTGCATTGCTTTCAATTAACAAATTCACAAATCGTTTGAAATTAATTCATATATACAACTTATATAACTCATATACTGTTATTGCATATCAAATCAAATCCTTGTACAAAAACAACAAACCATTCCACTACTAACAAACATAAAAAAAAACAAAAAGGTGTGCAAACTACTGCAAAACTAAGCTCATCATCTGGCTGTGGTATTACAGACACGGGTGTAGGACCCGCCTCCGTCATGGTCGGAAATTTAGTGCAGGGCAATCGTTTGGCTGTTGCACACGGGCGCGATGTAGGAATGGCCGAAGACGGGGAACGTAAGGTAGGTCATATGATTATCATTAAGTAAGGTAGGTCTAATGATTATTATTCAGTATAAGTTACACCTATGATTCATAACTAATTATCATTAATCCTATCAGCCCCAATTAATAACTGGCGTTTTACGTTGGCGTGCCAACACCTCTCCAGATCACATAATATTTACGTTGCTTAATGCAAAGGGTAAGTCCGAAGTATTGTAAATTAACCTTCAATGTAAACGCAATATATTTACGCAGGAGCTATAGCAAAAACGCTGACCTGCTCTGAGCTGCACAAACGGGCTGAAAAGATAGCTGCATTGTTGCAAGAACGAGGCAAAATTGAACCAGGTGATCATGTTGGTAAGTTTAGATTTAATATTTAAGATCATACAAGATGAAATTAAAATTTTCGTTTTTCTAGCACTCATTTTTCCACCTGGCTTGGATTTGCTGTGCGCATTCTATGGATGTCTTTATCTTGGTGCAATACCTATAACAATTAGACCACCGCATCCACAAAATTTAATCACAACACTACCCACTGTTCGTATGATTGTCGATGTTTCCAAAAGCGGAATTGTGCTCTCTATTCAACCAATTATTAAGTTATTGAAATCAAGAGAGGCCGCGTCATCAATTGATCCAAAGACGTGGCCACCTATACTAGATATCGATGATAATCCAAAGCGTAAATTGGCTGGCATAGCCACAGTCTCGTTGGACTCCAGCGCCTATTTAGATTTCAGTGTGTCCACTTGTGGTCGTTTAAGTGGTGTCAACATAACTCATCGGTAGGATACCACAAAATAGCTAACCCTTGGTAAATCTAATAATAATATATTTGTATAACAGATCTCTGTCTAGTCTGTGCGCCAGCTTAAAACTAGCCTGTGAGTTGTATCCTTCCCGTCATGTCGCCTTATGTCTGGATCCGTATTGTGGGCTTGGCTTTGTAATGTGGACTCTTATTGGGGTATACAGCGGCCACCATTCTATTCTTATCGCCCCCTATGAAGTAGAGGCCAATCCCAGTCTGTGGCTCTCAACGCTTTCTCAGCATCGCGTACGCGATACCTTTTGTTCTTATGGTGTTATTGAGCTATGTACTAAAGCGTTGAGTAATTCCGTGCCCTCGCTCAAACAACGTAATGTCGATCTACGATGCGTGCGCACGTGCGTGGTTGTTGGTGAGGAGCGTCCGCGAGTGACACTGACCCAACAGTTTTGCAAATTATTCCAGGGACTTGGACTGAATACACGCTGCGTATCAACTTCCTTCGGATGCCGCGTTAACCCAGCCATATGTGTTCAGGGTGCAAGCTCAGCAGAGAGCGCACAGGTGTATGTAGATCTTAGGGCTTTGCGCAATAATCGCGTTGCATTGGTAGAGCGAGGCGCACCCAACTCATTATGCTTAATTGAATCTGGCAAGCTGCTGCCTGGTGTAAAAGTAATCATAGCAAATCCAGAAACTAAAGGACACTGCGGCGATTCACATTTAGGTGAAATTTGGGTAAGCTTTTGCTATTAAACTTAACACGTAGTCAAGAACAATTATCTTTTTTGTGTAGGTGCAAGCCCCACACAATGCAAATGGTTACTTTACCATCTATGGCGATGAGACGGACTACAATGATCATTTCAATGCAAAATTGGTCACTGGCGCTACCTCCGAAATGTATGCACGTACCGGCTATTTGGGTTTCCTGCGGCGAACAGAATGTTCTCAGGCAGCTTCCATATTAGATGAAACCACACCAAGTGTGGCAAGTCGTGACAGTGATACAGAGTCCTTAAACTCCATGAGCCAACTACAATTAAACTTTTCGAATACTTCACTGGGTGGTAATTCTGAGCATAGCCTTGTGGGTGGTGCCGTGAATTCCAATGATCAGGAGTTGCACGATGCCGTTTATGTGGTTGGTGCTTTAGACGAAGTGATTTCGTTACGAGGCATGAACTATCATCCAATAGATATCGAAAATTCGGTACTACGCTGTCATAAGAAAATTGCCGAATGGTAAGTTTTGCATGTCCCATTTTCGGAACACTAAAAATTAATCACTTCATAAATATTACCCCACAGCGCGGTGTTTACATGGACCAATTTATTGGTTGTAGTTGTAGAACTAGATGGTAACGAATCGGAGGCGCTCGATTTGGTGCCCTTAGTTACAAACACTGTTCTGGAAGAGCACCAGCTCATTGTTGGCGTTGTTGTGGTGGTTGATCCAGGTAAATTGCTTATAATACCAAATGAACAGTTTTAATAAACGACTTACAATTGTATTTCAGGTGTTGTTCCCATTAACAGCCGTGGAGAAAAGCAACGTATGCATTTACGGGATGGTTTTCTGGCCGATCAGTTAGATCCCATTTACGTTGCATACAATATGTAAATAGTATTATAGTGCTAAATGATGCGCAATTCAAATGCATACGTATGAAAAACAATTATTTATTCATCACCATATAATGAATTTTCCTTATAATCGCGAAAAAAAAAAGAAAAAACATTTAGATTTGCATGATTTAGACTTAATGACATCAACAAAACTAACCGAACTAAATTGCTTTTTCCTTAAAAACGATTTACAACATAGTTGATACGATTATCCCTCAGTCTCTCCTTTACACCCGCAACCACATTTAAACTCAATGACAACAAAAACAATATTAACAACTTTCTTTGTGAAATGCAATAAACAATTTATATATATATATATTAATAAGTTATGACTAATTTCTTATGTAGGATTCAGTGTTTTATTAACTGGTTGCATTTCTGTGCCCTCGACAATGGTATGCGTACCGCGATCGTACCACCAACGAAGTATTATAGTGCGACGTCTACGTACTACAAGAAATATTAGCATTATCCACAGGCCCTGAAGTCCATTTATCATATCACAGAGTAATAAATAAACTAAAATATAAATGCAATTATATGATATTCTAATAACATTATATTACTAATATATTACCTTCATTTCCAGGCGAGTAAAAGGTTACTATTTCGAAAAGCCAAGCTAGTATTATAATAATTCCCAATAGAGCTACACATTTTGCGCTGTTTATGGGCTTACAGATTAAAATTAATACTTAAAGGGATTGCAATAACTTACTCTTTTTTGACATCCTCGTATTTCTGCTGATCAAACTGACGTATTGGAGTAGAATCAATCTTTTCATCTTCATCGGCACGCAGGTAACCATCAGTTTTTATTCGTTGAAAGCCAAAGAACGATATTATCATTGCCTAAGAAAACGATTAGTATTAATATATATTTGTCTTATAATAATTAATGTTCTTTTTATTGCATTGACTCACAAGAAAACTAAGACCCAATAGTGTAGATACTGGTGGTATGAAGTAACGTTGGGATTCTCGAATGGATTCCGTGAGTCCCTGCTGAAAATAAGAAGGCATTCCCGGCAGACCCTTTTGCAAAGTCAACGAGACTAGAATCGCTGGTCCAGTAATAGCGAATATACAATATGCTCCAAAGTTCAAAATTGTCCACGTCTTAGAAAATTGTACATAGTAGGGCAGCTTGTACCAAATATTCAAGAGCACATTACAGCATATGCAGAAGTACCAAAAGAAAAAACTTAATATAAAGAACTGTATAACGTATCCAATGGAGCCACCCGCCGGTATTCCGTATATGTGTACCACAGAGTGCACAAAATAACCGCAGGCTAAGCACAAGGACATCAATGCCAAGGACCAGCCATGCAAATTGCGCAATAGACGCAAAGTCAGATGCAAATAACTAACCAAGAGTAGGCAAGGCATGCTTATCAGCATCATCACAGCTACAATGATAATCTTCGCTTTGGAAACCTCTTCAACTTGGGTGATACATATAAATGCTAACATATGGCCAGATTTATCTTGGTCCAAGCAGTAATTTTCCTCTACTGTGTAAGACTCATTTCCGTTTTGGTCGATGATCAACAGCGACCCATCCTGCAATACAAAAAACAGGTCTTCCGGATCTTCGTATTGAAACGAGCTGAAAAAGGTAACACTGCAATAAATACAAAGAGTTTCAGAGTTCTGGGCCTGGGATTATAAGAAATGATTACTATTACTATTTTTAAATTGAGCATAATAGAAAGGAATTTTAAACAGAACGCACAATTAGTAGTATCAGAATTAGTATGGTAGTTGTAATCATTATAGTTTTTTGAGCAAAAAGCTTTGCAGGCTGCAACAATCATTCTACTGAGTAAACTTACCTATTACATGGATTGCCAATTTCATAGGGCAATGTTGTAGGTATTTCCAAATCTTCAATGCAATTGTCATAAAGTACCGCACTTATGACAGTTGGTTCAAAATTTAATACGGCGTTATCACACATTGAATCACTTTGGTTTTCGCGATAAAAGTCTAGGTTCTCTCCAAGCGGGCAGCACTTCCGTAATCTTGAGGTTGATATAGCTATTGGCTGTTTTCTCGATTTTTCACGCTGTGAACAATCAGCGGGTTGGTTTTGACTCTGTATTGATGTGATCTGTGGAGTTCGCATGCTTGTGTCCGGTGTCGGGGTCAGTGTTGATATATTACTAGCAGCAACATTTGGAGTTGGAGTTGTATTTAATTCGCTAGAGCTTACATTGTTTAATTGCTTAAATGTCGTTCCTGTGCTATAGAAAAGATGATAATTTAATTTAATGGTATAAAAGAGGGGCTCACTAATATTAGAACCTGCTAGTATCATATACGTCCGTGGTATTTGGAACATCTTCAGCTTTAGTTATAATCAACAGAATGCAGACATATGTGGTTAGATATACTTTCAAATAAAATGGCCATCCGCTTTTCTGATAGTTGGACCCCATGTCAGGATTATTGTATATTTAAACTGCAACGAAATCAATACATTAAAAACAAGGGTGCAATTCGGGTTCGATTCTCATATTATATAATTTTCATAAATGGTTTGGTTTAAAATAAAAAACGTCGTAAATAACTTGGGCCCCGACCATTGAATTTATCTTATGATATTTGGTAGTATAAAAATATCTCAGGCTTGCAATATTTTGTGTAGAACGGCCACTTAAAAAAAAATTTTATATTGAATTGTTTAACTTATATTTTGAAAATATAATCAAAGGTCAGCCGACTTTATTTTGGATTTGCAGCCTAGATTAAATACACGAAGGAATGCTGCCCCGTACAAACATACGTTCGTTTTTATACCCTTGTATTATAATTTTGCTATTATTATTATCTCAAAACCCATTAAGTATATATACTCAAGATCAGCATCAACAGCCGAGTTGTTTAAGCTCAGACCGTCTATATAGGAACAGGAACGATCAGTCGAAAAGTAGGATCAGGTACGAAAACCTTTTTTTTTTTATTAAGATAACTTGACCAAACTCGGGATTTATTAGTTCCACAATGGTCATCATATATTTGCAAAATCTTATTAAAATCGGACCACATCATATAGCTAGCATGGGAAAGATATGTCGAAAAGTAGGTTCTTTTATGGAAAAATATTCAATTTTGCATCATATTTTCATCAAACTTAGCATATACGAGCTTCACCATTCTCACATATCTGCAAAAGGGTAATATCTACTAGGGTAATTAATACTCGGCGTGCCGAAAATACCCTTACTTACTCGTTGTAAAAACATCTTTATTAACCTGATTGTAGAAATATATAGGGGAGGGGGGGTTCCCATTTGGTATATAAGAACATAGATACATGAAAAAGTAAACTTGTCCAGCCGTTAGTTTTGTTTGGACAGTTGCATTGGATTACTGCACTACTCCCCCCATTAATATTCCCGTTTCGATTCGTCCAAATAAACATTTGAATTTGTGATATATGTAAGTGATATTATCATATCACTTAATGACATATGCTTATTACAATGATCCAACTGATATTAAAGTTGTTCAAACGTATACTTTACTATACGTAACATACATAAGAACCCTTAAAACTATCTATGATATTTTGTCATTTTGTATGCGTCTATTACTAATTTCTCTACCCACCTACATACAAAAAAAAAAGCTATCAACATGAATGTTTGTACATGTATTATCTTTCCCCTGCCTACTCAAAATGTAAAACGCACACACACACATGACGTCATATTAATAAGAATGTGCTGATCAAAAATTCTTGTTATTATACCTTACCTACATTTGTATCTTTATATATAAATTCCAAATAAAATCCGGGAACAAATTATTAATAAATGCAATGATAAGCAAAGTAACAGCCCAATAGAGGGGGAGAGATGTGGTTGTAATATAACACTGTAATAACTGCGGAACACAACCCACAGTTGGTGCTCGCTATAATAACTATTATAAGTATATACTTACAAATGAACTTATGGATATAATGCATTAGGAGCGGCAGGTGTATATGTTTTGGAAACGGATCTTTGTCTGAATTCGTTTTCACTCATATGCTAATAAACGGGATTGTTTGTTCCGTTTATCAAATAAATTATAATTTTATAGCGAGGTATCGACAAAACACTAATTGTCAATTGTAAGCAGTTTATGATACGACTTTGTATCCAACATTTAAGAAATAATTTTTAAAATGCATCCGACGGGAACGCACAATGAAGTAATACTAGCGAATAAAGCGTCTGCACATAAGTGCTGAGGCGCATAGTTCACTGATAAGATAATGCAGAATATGACAGGGCTACCAAATCCCTTTTTTTATTTTAAATCGAATAACAAAAGGTACTATTTAAATTATGATTCTAAGTACTAAGACAGAGGTAATTGCACTAATAAAATAAAAACAAAGCCGGCGCAATCATCACTCGATTGCGAATTTGAAATTAAAAGATTTCGTGGCCAAATATCGATAACAATCCCTGTTGCAACACTGCGCATGACGCGCATGCAACCATGCGTACTTTAGTACGTTAAACGACTACTAGGTGTCGCTTGCGGCATTAGGAAATGAAAGACGCGCTGTGATTGGCTGACTGTACGCTATTCGGGCTACTAGTGCAGAAGTAAAATGTAAGGTAAAAGTCACTCCAACAGTTTGCTTAAAAACAGTTAAATAATATTTAAAAAATATTACAACGCGTTCGCTATGTGATGCCAAGTGCAATGGGTAAATGACATTAAATAGTAATATCAATTGTGTTAATCACACACTATTGTGGCTGTCTGTAAAAAAATTTTCGGTTTTATAAATGGCGGACAATGTGCGTTGGCTTTAGCTCCATACACACACACACACACCTATTCAAATACGCATACGCAGACACGAAGAATTGTGAGTGTCGAGTACCCAGCACTGCATTAAGCATTGAGAATGTATAATTTGCCAAACCTGGATCAGGGCAAAGCATCCTTAACTGTGTGATTTGAATGGATACATATGTGTATGTGTGTGTGTGTGTATGTGCGTGTGATTTTGGCGCCATACATGCAATTAGCAACTTTTTCAATATGTGATTTGTAAACAAAATGGCATTTCTTAAAGATTTTGTGAATTTTATCGATTTTTTCCGCACATGTACATACATACACATATGCGCCAATACAACCGTATGCGCAAATGAACGCGAGCGAGTGCTAGTTACAGTTGCTGTTACAGTTGCCTGCAAATTGTTTTTGTTCTAACAATCTTTATTTTGTTTTAGATAATGTGCGTTTTTTCAAGAAGAACTAAAAGAAAATAATTCGTATTTGAGGTACCACAGTACGTTCACACGCTTACACCTTCACACACGCACGTACGATAGTTTTAAGCAGAAAGTGGGTGGCTAAGGCATTAAGCATAACGACGCAAAGGCTGATCAGAATATAATGAGTGGTCGCGGTAGCCGGAAACGTGGTCGCCCGCCAAAGACGCCAAATGAACGCTCATCGGGGCGTTTCAACTATCAGATGCTCAAGAAGCCGAAATATCTCAGTGAAGGAAAATCACAGCCTAGTACTCCATCAGCATCACGTTGCATCTCCCCACAAAGCGATGAGTGCAGTCGCGGGAGTCACAACAATCGTAGTGGTCGCGGCAGCGGCGCGAAACGTGGACGGGGACGTAAATCAAATGTCCACGCTAACACCAGCGCTAACAATTATTCTGGCAGAAAAGGTAAATATTATTAGTTAATACCAAAAAATCAACCAAAGCAAAGTGTTCAAGCTCTAAGAGTCTAACTAAGAACTACATTGGGAACATTTTAATTAAAGTAGGAGCAAGCTTTTCCTGAATACTTACGTATACATTTTACTATCTGGGCCTTATTACAGACTCAGCAGCCTTAAAAAAATTTGTCAAAGTCTTGAAATAAAGCAAATTGGTAAAATTCTACTCCGATTGACAAGTAAAGTAATGTGCTATTGTCCTTGATTTTTAAAGTAAATTCTACAAATTGTAATTAATTGCAACGCTGTTAGTCGAAAGAAAATACCCAAAGGAAAGAAAATCGCAAAAGGAGCGACAAAAGTCTTGTATACATTTTAGATTTTTTCAATCGAAGATTTACCAACTCTGGCTTAAAGCCAAGAATAGTAATAGAAAGAAGAGGGGTGTAAAATGACAGGCATTAGCTCTGGTCGTTTAAAAGGTAAATGTTGAACACATAGGCAGAGGTATACACAAATCCCATACAAATGTATATTTAATTGTTTTCCCTCTGAATTGTGACAGGTTTCGAGTCGGAGTATCATTATGGCTCAGATTTCGGGGATTCGGATGAGGAAAAGACGGATAATGAAGATGATATGTTACTTACGCCGAGCGACGACGAGAGTTTAGATGCAGCCAATGAGAGTGAGTCCGAGTTTTCAGTCTGCAGCTTTACACAAAACGGGATTGGCCGACTATCGCGTCCACCCAGCCCGGAGCCGATTTGGCTGCAAGAGGGTCGAGAATATGCGGCTCTCGAATTGCCCGATTCGTCCGAAGATTTATTTATAGACAATGCGCATGTTTTGCGCGCGTTAAGTATTTATGAAGTATTGAGACGCTTCCGTCACCTGGTGCGACTCTCGCCCTTTCGCTTTGAGGACTTTTGTGCGGCTCTAGTCTGCGAGGAGCAGAGTGCACTACTCACGGATGTTCACATTATGCTTCTGAAGGCGATTTTACGTGAGGAGGATGTACAGGGCACACACTTTGGGCCACTTGATCAAAAGGACACTGTTAATATCAGTTTATACCTAATAGATGCAATCACATGGCCAGAGGTGTTGCGCAGCTATGTGGAAAGTGACAGAGAATTCGATCGAAATGTTTATAAAATACTCAGCACAGGCGAATATCCCTATACTGGCGTGGAGCATCGTTTGGTGGTGTTGCAGTTTTTAAGCGATCAGTTTCTTACTGCAAACTCAGTGCGCGACGTGATGGTGCAGGAAGGTCCCATTCACTATGATGATCATTGTCGCGTCTGTCATCGCCTCGGGGATTTGTTGTGTTGTGAAACATGCCCTGCAGTCTATCACTTGGAGTGTGTAGATCCACCCATGAACGATGTACCGACTGAGGACTGGCAGTGTGGTCTGTGTCGATCACATAAGGTTACGGGCGTTATGGATTGTATCCTGGCGCAGGAGAAACAAGGCGTCCTTATACGCCACGATACTCTCGGCGTAGATCGACATGGCCGCAAGTACTGGTTTATTGCGCGGCGTATATTTGTTGAAGATCAAATGGACGCCACTTGTTGGTACTATAGCACAACAGCAAAATTTGAATTGCTCCTAAAACGTTTAGATGCTGCAGAGTTGGAGACTCGGCTTTTTTCCCAGTTAACCGACCGTCAGGAAGAAATAGAACGGCAAATGAAACTAACAGAGTCGCTCACCAATGAGCACAAACATAACAAGCGCACCTTATTAGATCTAGAGCAAGAGGCTACACAAGAACTTCTCGAAAATAAACCGGCCGATACTCTAGCTGAAGAAAGTGACGACCAGGCAGCTGAAACCGTAAAGAAAGCTGAAGAGAACAAAATGGTAACACGTCAAAAGACAAATCAATTAAATAGTGGCACACTCTATTTTAAGCTGGGTATGGAACAGGGCTTTAAGAATTATGTAAACCAGTATGCCACTAATCCCATAGCGCTAAACAAGCCACAACGGAATGAGGAACGCGATAAACGACGTCACCTATCCCACAAATTTTCCCTGACTACTGCCTCCGATTTCAAGTGGATTGGCATTACAATGGGGACATGCGATAATATTATAACAACCCTGCGGCAGACCCTGCTCAATTTTGAATCGAATATTGCGGCGTCTTTTATGAATACCAATTGGTTGAGCAACAAAAAAATATGGAATACTGCTGTAATGAATGCCAAACGGGCCACTGATTTTGCTGCTGTTATGTTGTTGTTTCAAGCATCCCTTAAAAGCGTAGTCTTTGCAAATGTGTGGCACGAACAGCTTGGGCACATGCACTTGCAGCGTATCACAAGCGCCGAGCGCGAAGAACGCAAGAAACAAGAAAAACGTGAAAAGCGCGAACGCGACGACGAAGAAGAGCGCAATCGTCTTGCATTCAATTACATAAAATATTCTCTGGGCTTGAAGCACCAGGTATGGAAGCAAAAGGGCGAAGAGTATCGGGTGCATGGCCAATGGGGTTGGCTCTGGCTATCTAGCAGTCGACGGTGCGGAGTTCGTGTCCGACGGACCCGTGCCCAGCCGCTGTCACACAATCGCATCTATGTGCACTACACGTTGGGCGAAGAGCAGAATGTTAACGAGGTAATCCTAGTTGATCCTCGAACTCATCGCTTTATACAGCAATGTAAGTCAGTCCACGAGGCGGGTCAGGTGTGCCATTATTTGCCCGAGCAATACACGCACGTCAATGTAGTTCGAGACGTTGGTGAGCGAGTTAATGGGATCATTGATGTAAGCAAAGCTTTAAATGAACCCGGTCGCGTCTATTATCCAAAGGTGGCGCGCAAATGTCGTTTGGATGATTTGTTGGAGAGACGCACCAAATTGGCAGAGGTTGAGCAAAAAATTGCAATCAAATCGGATAGTGATGGAGATGTGAAGCCGCTCTTAATACCATCAACTACTGGGACTGGCACTAGCAAGCAAACGTATCTGGAGAAGCGTTTAATGCGCCTCACTGAAGCCGCAGGCAAAAGTATTGCATGCAACGTTAACTTAGATCTCGTCAACTCCCTGGCCAAGCAAATACAAACAGTGCGTCTGCAATTCAGTCAACTGAACCGCTACGCTAAAACCTTCCGCTGCTACACAAAGGAATGCAATACCAACTCAAACGCCGTTTCACAAATAACCCAAAACACTTGCTACTCGCCTCTTTGTCTGCAAAAGGCGCGTGCAAAAAAGGAGCTGCTGTTGCTACTACGTAAGGCACACACCGCGGGAAATGGCTCAAAGGAGACGGTGGCAGCAATTTTGGGTGCAGTAAAAAAGCCGTCCATACTTGAACAGAAATTGACAGAGGGCAAGAAGGAGTCTGCTCAGCTGGCAATTGATGAGTCTGAGGATCACAAATTAGCTGAAGCGGAGGCGCCTCTCGACTTGCTGCAAGACTGGGAGCAGGCGCGTGCGCATGCTATAACCTTTAGTAATCATCTGATTACGGATTGTTTGCAGAGCGAACCCGAGGATGCGAATAAAGTAACAGTTAAGGTGGAAGAGCAAAATTCTGCGAGTAACTTAAATCCCGATTCAAACACACAGGACTCGGACAAAATGGACTACATCGAGAATATGGACGTGTGCAGCAATGTGGAAATTGAGAGCACAGAAGATTCATTAGCTGTGGCAGCGAGCGTTGCGAGCTCAACGGCAAATATCGATGAAATAGATATGTTCCCCGGCTTGCGTCGGAGACGCACACTAAAACCTAAGAAGGCATATATTGGCACTAAAGATGTTTTAGATCAAACTTTGGATAAAGATATACCTCTCAACAAGCAAAATCGTCGCTTTCCCATCACTCAGCGTCCGGTAAAGCGTGAGGATGTCACTAAATACGAACGGGAGTATTTCGCAAATGGCAATGAGCGTGTGTACTCCGCAACTTCAACACGGGGACGTGTCTATCTCTTGCGTGATGAGTCCAAATTGTATGAGCAAGCAGTAAAAGCTGATGATAAAGTAACAGTCGTTAAGAAGTCATCGTATGCGCGCTATCCGCTCATCTCAAACTTCCTAACTCATAAACAAAAGAGAAGCCTTTTGATTTTACCACGTTTCGAGCTGCTTAAGCTATCCCGTCTGGGCGGTAAAGCACCGGCAAGTGGCTTTCACCATGCCGCCAAAAATAACTCAATTTGGCAGTATCAGTGCTCTAGGCCACTGTTCCGTACATGCTGGTCATATCGTACATCTAATGCGACAACTTTGTCGTGCATAGCATTGCAGTTAAGAATATTGTGGTCTTGTCTACGATGGGATGATATGATTGCCAAACCGCCATCCACTGATGGCAAACATCAGGTTACAACGGAGAATGAGATTGTCACATTGGAATTGCTAAAGCTGCGTCACGCCGGTCGATATGGTGAGAAGACGAGCTACCTCCGACGCAAGGTTGTTATACCATTAGAGATGCCAAAGACAATTAGGGGTAAGAACTGTTATTTAACTTTTAGTACAAATAATTTATTTTTTTAATAATCGACTCTCTCAGAGGTAACATCAATACGATCGGGTCTGCGAAAAAGAAAACGTGCCGAATCACCACAGCCAACAGAGCCACAAATAAGCGAGGAATGGGTAGATGAGGATAAGCTGGAATTATGGGAAATTAAGTTTATTGGTGAGAAGCAAGAGAAGGCACGCCTTGCTACGGTTACTCGTTCGGTGACATCGCGGCAACTTGAATCGAATAACGGCTCCGGCCCTAATGCGTCTTCTGTTGGAAGTCCAGGAGGTGGACGAGTTCTATTGGCGCCGAAACCGGGGGAAGACGTCAAGGATAAGATGGAACAACAGTTGAAACTTCAACGAGCGGCACATCAACAACGCAAAGTGATTGGCGTAAACGAAGTTATTCGATCATCAACACCCGGTAAATTATTGAAATTATAGTTTTTTAAAATGTATCTATAATTAGTTTTTACAGTTAAAGGACAAGTAATTGGTAGTAGACGTGTGATAGTAAAAAATCCGGATGGTACGACGCGCATTATACAGCAAGCTGGAACGCAATTGGCGCGAAGTTCAACATCAACTTCATTAACAACAAGCCCCGCCCCGTCTACAAATGCAACATCAACGACACCCGCTTCCACGCCACATAAAGTACAAATTATACGTGGGCCCGATGGCAAAGTAAGCGTCCGTGGACTAAATCCAGGTCAGCAATTGGTACAAATGCCGGACGGCAAACTACATGTTTTAACGACAACAACATCAAATGCAGTAACATCAAGTGAGCCCTACAAACAATTTGCATTTATTTATTGTGGTTTATTTTAACCTATTTATTTTTGTAATTCAGGTGTCAAAGGAAAACTGCCAATTAAAACAATTACAACGCCTGCAGCATCACACGCAGTGGCAACAACGACGACTGCAGTAAATTCATCATCTCCAGTGATTAAACAAATTGCAATGAAACATGTTAACATAGCTAAATCACCGGGTGCGCAATCCCTCGCATCGTCCCAACGCGTTACGCTACCTTTGGCACAAGTTAAAAACAAACTTTTACTTGCGCAGCAGCAACAGCAACAAGCAGGTCAGACAAGCACAGCTTCGCCTACCGTTCAAAAACTAGTGCCGAAAGTAGTAACCGCCGCCGCACCGAATCAGCAAGTTTTTGTACAGCCCGGCTCAAAGTTGTTGGTCACACAAGGATCGCAAGGCCAAAAGGTGATCATTTCTGCATCGCCAAGTCAACAACAACAGCAACAAGGCGCTGCAACGGTCCAACAACAGCAAATTGTTCAGACACAAACAATTCAACAACAACACATCCAACAGCAGGCACCACAGCAACAGCAACAAATTGTGGTGAATCAACAGATGGGCAGCCAGCCTACACAAAAAGTGATACAGCAAATTGTCAACACGAGCAACGTACAACAACAAATTGTTGTTGGCGGGCAGCGAATTATATTAAGTCCAGGTCAAACGATCGTTACTCAACGGAGTGTACCGCAAAGTCAAGCCCTACAAATGGTACAACAGCAAATACAAACACAGCAACAACAGCAGCAGCAGCAGCAACAGCAGCAGCAGCACATCGTTCAACCCCAGCAACAATATGTGGTACAAACCAATCAACCAGTTCAATCGACGGCCACAACGCAAACAAAGTTGGTTAAGCAGTTGGTGGTGCAGCAGCAGCAGCAGCAGCAGCAGCAGCAACAACAAACAATGGAAGAGAAACCCCAGAGCAGTACCACAGAGAGCAATGAGACAACCACACAGCAAGTGTTAGTGCCGAATTCAACGTTAGCTCAGCAGCTGGCGCAAGGCAAGCTGCAAGTGGCGACTATTAATGGACAGCAAGTGATTGTCAAGCCGTTGGGTAACAATCAAGCGCAAATTGTGGCACATATTAAGCATCAGGGCGATGGCAATGCCCACATTGTGACTAACAATGCAACGCCTGCAGTATCGCAAGCAAGTCCCCAAGCCTCCCCAACTAAACAGCCGCCGCAGCAGCAAAGTGTTGTGCAACAAAGTCCACAACAAGTCGTTATGCAGCAACAGCAAGTGCAACCACAACAACAGCAGCAGCAGCAGCACATTGTGCAGCAAGTGGTCCAGCAGACACCAGCACAACAGCCCCTAAGCGTAGAAGAGAGTCTCCTCCAGAATCAGCCACCTGGCACGGTTATTAAATGTGTCACGGCACAAGTGTTGCAAACAGAGCACGGACCACGTATAGTGTTGCAAGGGCTTGTAGGCAACGACTTTACAGCACAACAACTGCAGCTGGTACAAACGCAGGTGAAGCAGCAGCTAATGAAAGGTGAATTTCTAATAATCATAAGCTCCTTGCAAGCTCTTAATTAATATATTCTTTTTACTCATACTTAGCTCAAGAATCTAATGGCAAGCTAGGCGTTTTAGGCCCCACAAAAATCTATCTAGCCGTGCAACCGGAAACAACGGCACAGTCGTCACAGCCGCCGCCATTAACGCCTGTTCATCAAACGGCGACACATCAACAAGTGAGTAGCTTTTAAATGCAAATCATATAAGGGCAAAAGAGAGCGCGGAACTCTTAAGCACCTAATAGACAGTAGGCAGCGGTTATACCGATCGACCAAACAATCGAAAAATTTCCAAGACACCTGTTATTTTAATTAATTATTTAAAATGTAATTTAAGTTAACATTTACCACAGAACAAAACGCATCTTGCTATGATTTGAAGTAATTTTCGTTTATTTATTAGAAAAGTTTTGTTTGATATCTATCAATTATTTGTTAAACTCTTTTATGGAATACTCTTACAAGTGAAAAAGCAAATTGCATATGATTATGTCTCATACGCTTTGCGCCTTGTGCGTACTATGTACATTCCTTAATGGCATGTACAAGTGTGATTCGAGCGATTTCCAACAAACGTCCAGAAAGATAGAAATGATTTGTTTGGTTAAAAATTGCACAACAAAAGGCTTAATTTTGCAATATAATTATTTGTCAACTAATTCTCCAACATACACACACACAAACGCACATATACACAGACAGACTCATTAAAAATTAGATGCAGTTGGCGAATATTCTATAATGTGCATTTTTGACAATTGATTATGATTAATTATACGTATTTATTTAATTCGTTTCATTAAGTAATTTTATTATGTTTATAAAATTAGTGATGTAAATTTAATTTAATGCCAGTTTAATACCTATCGTTAATATTAAGAAAACGAAAAAACAAGATAGAAGATAGACGAAAAAACATATATATTATTGGTTCAGCACATAGCATTTCAAATGAGTTTTACCTATAACGTATTTAATTTTTTAGCGAGCAATTAAACAGACTGTGACGTAATTTTAGCGACCAGGGCAAAAGTATTAGACAAGACGCTGCACATGCGTATAGAATTTTCTTGCCTAGTTTCATTTGGTTTTAACTCTATCTCTATTGTCTATGTTACTTGTAATGTATGTAAAGCGCTTTTTGCAATAAAAATATGTATGAAATATACAAAATAACGATGACCACAACCCTGTTTCTTTTCATACAATATACTCAAGAGCAGACCATATTAATTATATAGATTTACATATAATAATTCTCACTTCTTATATTGATAGATGCTTCTGAGATACAAAAAAGAACAAATAAATAAATAACATAAACGAATTATAAAAATTAAATACATTTACAATTTTTAAATCGCATAGTGATCGTTAATGTTAAATAATGGGAACAGAAAAATAGAATAAATTATTTCTAGATTATTTTCAAATTATTAAATTTGCTATTTTCAATTTTATTAATACATTAAAAATCTAGATGAACAAATTTGCACATATTAAATTTGAGTATTTTAAACTGTAAAATTTGGAAACAAGTAATTAAAAGACAGAAAACCAAATATTCATTATAAATATGTAAGGAACAAAAAAAATTGCAGCAGAACTGTGTCGCCTAATTGTTTACTCTCGAGGTGTGTTAGTTAAATAACTTTACATTAGTTTTATACACTTTTCCCCACACACTGAAAAATTTACTTCAATTTCTCAAAAAAAAAAAAAAAAAAAAACGCGTGTTTCTATTTCATTTAAACTAATATCTAAGGCTTTGACTTTTTTACGCATATATTCTCCATTTTCAAAGCCCCCCCTGTTTCCCTTTGTTTGATATAAACCATAAGACTATGCACAATGTATTGAAACTGGTGCGTAAATTTTTGTTTCTGAGTTAGTTGGATGATTATTTGCAAATTGGCCTTTGTGTTGACAAAAAGCGCTCGCTTTCTATATATAATGTATATACATACATATACATATTCTGCACATGTATGTATGAAAAGAAATCGTTGTAATCCAATGCTATGCTAAATATATGAAAATCGATTTACATATGTTAAACAAATAACATATATGACTTTAATCAGAAATCAGTTGAATTAGAGTACAAAACAAATAGACCAAACAAAATTTGTTGTTTTTCCATGGCCAAATCTTAATTTGCTTTTAAAAGAAAATCGTAAGAAAAATCAAATGAAAACATGATCAATTAATATATATAAAAAATATTGCTGAAGAGATTAACCCACACACAGAGTTTTAGTTGGCTGACTTATTAAATATTTATAAATCGGAGGCAGTGCTGGTTTTTAATACCACATGGCAAACTAAACGACGAATTACTCCGTTCCAACTAGCCCCCTCCGCCCCGCGTAAGCGCATGTAAGCTAGTTTTTGTATGAAGAAAAACTTCGAAATATAACACAAAGGCTTAACCATATTTGTAATCATCTCATCTAAATCGAAATAAATTTTTACACTTGTAAAACAAAAAACAATCTAAGCGATTACTGAAATACCAGAGTTTCACACACATACACACGCAATCAATCAATCAATCACACAACTCGTTCACAAAATACACAAAAAGACGTTAAAACATTTTTGCCGCAATTTTCATTATAAATATTTTAAAGCAAGCTTTACAAAATCAAAACGTTTTAAAGAACTAACTTTGTACCATTAAAAATTAATTTCGAATACCCTTTAAAATAAAATCCATGCTGCCAATACTTATAAAATCCAATCGTAATAAACGCATTGCCTAAAAATCCGTGTGTCAACAACTACAACTCCAAAAAAAAATCACGTGTTAATCTCTTCGTCAAACAACTACTACAACATCTCAACCACAAACTACAAACCATAACAAAATCGTAAAAGGTTGCCTGGAATAAATACTACAACTGATCTCTGATTAAAGCCAGGTAGGTGATCATCATATCTACCATTTAACATTATTTAAGTAAATATTGTATATACAACTTATTATAGAGATTAACGAATTAATGAATTAATAAATATTATGTGAATAATGTTATTGGTAACTTCCTAAAAAAAAAAAACAACTAGGTTGGTGGCATCTCAATTGTATATGTTGTAAGCTCAAATTATTTAGTACAAGACGGCGATGAATCTAAACCTGATAATAATGATGATGATGATGAAATTATTGTTGTATGCAGTCCGCCTCGTAAAAAGGAAATATCTGTCCCTTTTTCACCACCACTAACAGCAGAAACGATAATCGAAACAACTACGGAGGAGGTGAACCAATATCAAGATAGTGTTTGTACAATTGATGATGCATGCAATAATGCAGTTAGTTTTAAGTCAGAAGAAGAGCGGAATGTGCAATCTCAAGAGCTACCTATAGTTAACGATAAAGCTAATCATGATCATATTCAGAAATTAAATGAATTTGATAGTGCTAAAGCCGTCAATCGATATATATTGCAGACCAACGATAACACCAGCAACATCAATACCGACAACGACGCCACCGCGCCTACAGCTACTAATGAGGAGACTGCCCCAAACGACAGTTGCCCCGCAACAAACAGCACATGTTGTGCCTCCGGCAACAGCAGCAGCGGTATTGACCTCGAGCCCAGTAGCCTTGCCCAAGCTGATAAGCATAATAGCACCACACACAACAACAACTACAACGCCGCATCTGGAACAACTGTGTCGCAGGAAAACTTAGACTATTCCGTAGTAGCAGGAACAGATCTCTGTGCCACATCCTTGGTACAAGGCGTCGAGAATGAGCAAACGGAAAATTTTGTCGTAACTAGCGGCTATATTCAAGAAAGTAGGCAGAATCCTTAATACCCAAATTTCATATCTGTAATAAATCGCTATCTTTTATAATCACAGCTATTACAAATGTACTAAACCAAGGTAATCTGAGTCCCGAGCTTAAAGAGAAATTGGTTAACATGCGCATGAAGCAGGAGCAGCAAAATTCTCAAAACCTGGGCGAATGGACGCCATCAACGAGCAGATCAAATTCCATAGCTGAAGGCGCCAGCACTTCCAACCGCCGACGCACTACGTCACGGCATAATAATACCGATGATGATGAGTGGAAAATTCGAACTCCATCGAAGCGGCATCATGGTGTACCCAGTGTTAACCACAATAGCGCAGTCAAAAATAATCGTAAGCATCTGCCTTTGGAGGATGCAGCAAATATAAGTGAACCAAAGCAAACGCAATTGGAGCGCCATAAAGATTTGCTTAAGAAGAGCATCTTACGCAAACGATCCCTGTTGGAACGCAATTTGCAGAATGAAATCCGCGAGGAAGTAGAGGCTAAAGTAAAGCGACACGTGCGCGCCATGAGCACAACGACACCAGAGAAAACAACTGAAAACGAGTGTACTTCAGTGTTTACTGAACGTCTGGTGGATCAGAATAATGAACACAAGCGGTAAGTGGAAATTTAAATCATTTTGAACGGGACATAACATTTACATTAAATTGCAGCCACTCTAAACCATTGATGGGCCGCAGTCTTGGAACAGAGCCACCTACGCTGCATAACAGACACGCTGTTGGTCGGCCTAAGAAGATGACTAGGAAAAAGGAGAAGTTATATTGTATTTGCCGTAAGCCCTATGATGACACTAAGTAAGTCCACATTTAAACCACTAACGGACTTTACCTAAGCTTACCTTCTTCTTGTAGGTTTTATGTCGGCTGCGACTTGTGCAGCAATTGGTTCCATGGTGACTGTGTCAACATTACCGAAGAGGCGTCCAAAAAGCTAACAGAATTCATTTGTACCGATTGTCAGAAAGCGCGTGAAACTCAACAGCTTTATTGTAGCTGTCGTCAGCCCTACGATGAATCACAATTTTATATTTGCTGTGATAAATGCCAGGACTGGTTCCATGGTCGTTGCGTTGGTATTGTCCAGAGCGAGGCTGAGTACATTGACGAGTATGTCTGCCCAGAATGCCAGCGAAATTCGGACGCAAACACCGCAAATATAAAAAGTCTAACGCAAAATGAAGTTGTTGAACTCAAGAGCTTGATTAAGCAAATACAGGTAGCCAGTCGATTAATATAAAATCCAAATTGGTGCTTTCTTATGTAGCAGAAATACTCTTGTTGCAGTCCCACAAAAGTGCCTGGCCATTTATGGAACCGGTTGATCCGGAAGAGGCGCCGGACTATTACAAAGTGATAAAGGAGCCCATGGGTATATTGGAAATTGCTACAATTTTGCGAAATCGTTTTTAAAAAAGTTGCTTCTATTTTTCACAGATCTCAAGCAGATGGAAACCAAACTCGAATCAAACACCTACACTAAGCTCGCTGAATTCATTGGCGATATGACAAAAATATTTGATAACTGCCGCTATTATAACCCAAAGGAGTCCTCATTCTACAAGTGCGCTGAAGCACTTGAATCGTTCTTTGTACAAAAGATCAAGAGTTTTCGAGAAAATATTGTTGGTCAAGGCAATTGAAATACATATAAGCGAAACATTGATTGTTGGTACAATTGGAAAAAGTTGCACTGGATTAAGCTGGGTTTAACAAAATCATTATTGAAAACAAAAATTATGATTTTCATATAGGTAAAATAAACTAAATTCTTTCACTACAACAAAACATACATACGTAGAGTATAGCCGCTCTGATATACATATTATTGTGTATATACATACATATATATATATATATATATAAGTATATATTATATATAAGTATATATTATATATAAGTATATATTATATATAAGTATATATTATATATAAGTATATATTATATATACATAATTAACTGAAGCTAATATAAGTAGTTGTATTCTTTTATCATATATAATATAATATATATAAAAATGGATTTCGTATTTAATATCGAGCAGATTTAAGTTTAATTTAATGTGAAGAAAATTATTAAGAACAATCTAAGTAGTTTTGCCTATGTACAGCCCAAAATGAGATGTAAATAAACACACACATGCATTTGTTTTGATACATATGTAGGTACAAGTAAAACAAGCTTACTTATATCTATATCTATCTCTGTAATGCCAGCCAAATTCCACACGCGCAACATAAAATGTTTTCATCGAAAAGAAAAGTGGAAAGTTAATTTTCATTATTTTTGTTTTTCATACTTGAAGCATTACAAGTCATTAAAAGTTAAATAAGTTATAAGTTAATGTATGGCGAAAATATTAATCCAACAATTTTTTGTATCGTGTCGAGTGACAATCATGGAGATTATGCATTCGGTTTTTCATGCAGCCATGGTCGAAATATGGGCAACGTCGATGGATAGTGTGTGTCCGGCTTCAGTACGGATTCAGGCCATGTATTAGAAACATCATTGGTATTATTGCGGAATGGATATGTAGCCAAAACAATTGGCAGCTGCAATTTGATTTCCTTTTCCAGAGACTTTGGTTCGATTACAAAAAAAACATCGTAGGTAATTTTGATCAAATGACAGCCTTGCAAGTTTGTTGGCGGCAACGGTGGCACATAAAGGCTGTCATTGTGCCATTCGTCCTTGCCACCAGGACGTATTTTGCCACGTACCAATACAGCCAATGCGCGCTTTTCTGATTGAACTGTCTTGCCTCGTGCTAAGTACTCAATGGTCTATAATACACAAAACATTTTTATAAACTTAACCTTACACTATAAGTCAGAGATTACCTCAGTAAGCGACGCCTTGGTTCGTTTGATGGTCACGTTGCTGGCGTTGGATATAAATGCTGTGACGAGTATATTCTCACCGGGTACGTACCCGCCTCGGTCCAAAACGACACGACATTTGATCTGGCCGCCACCGACACAGGCAACAACACCCAGTTTGTGTTCTACCTCACAGGTAAAGGGTTGCTGTTCAAAATAAATACTAATTTAAGTATGTTTCTCAAAACAATTAATGGTATAACTACCGATAAGATAGGCTTCTCCAGGTTCAAATCAATGGGGTTCATAACAATAAAAACCTGGTGATTTTTATGCGTCAGACCTTTAGGTTCGCGAAGTGCTGCTGTGCAGAAATATTGTATCCATCCGAAACTGCCCAGGAAGGTGGACGGCAAGCCGACTGGGAGACCCAATTTAAAGGGAAAACTATGAATGCCTGGTGATAGTATCGCTGGGCCTTGATCGACATCGCCGAGCAGACGCATACGGAAATCAATGTAATTTTCTTTGTCGTAAGTGCGCTCTTGTCGACCTCCAGCCCGCACAACACCCTCTCCAACTACATGAAAATGTAGACCCAGAGCTGGTGTTTCGTCTTGCAGCTCGATGAGTACACGCCCGGAAAGAAATTGGCCCGGGAAGTACAGCAGTGAAGTATTATCGAAGATAATGAGAAATTTCAGTAGCTTCCGCGGCATATTCGCTTTCAAGCTTAACGTTTTCCAATTTGTTTATTCGGAATGGCCTTGGAATACCTGTTGTTAAAAAGTAAGCATTAAATTAGTATCATTTAGTATAGCTTCAAATGTATATGATTCGCTGAAAGTTGCAGCTATTCGGCCCACATATATATTGCTAAAAAAAAATATGCATATATACATATTTTTTGTGAGTTCGAAACATGAAAATCGTTTCAACGTCCACTGGGGACAGTTCAATGCGCTTAGATAGCCACAGAGAGAAAATATCGTAATTGCCATTAAACGATGCAAAAATCATGCCAATCACAGCTTTTCCCCTCTTTAAATGGAGATGTTGAGCTTCATCATACACCCCACACACACACACACGCACACATAACAATATATGCATGTACATGTATAATTCGTTTGACAAATCCGTTTGTGGCTTCAAAAACGTGGGTGCAGCGTCAAGGTAATTGTATTTAATACTCAAATACACAAATACACACTTATTGACGTTTATTTCCAGTCTCATACGTAGCGCTGTTACTGATTTCTGGTCTCGTGTGTGTTTTTTTTTTAAATTTTCCTTTTTTTATATAAACTATCTCAGCTGCGCATGCGCTTTGGGGCCAATACAACGAGTAAACACAGCGCGCGCTGACGATTGTTTAACAACTAAAGTTGTTACGCTTTTCAGCCAGCTTGGTCGACTCGGAATAATTTGTAGAGGTGGGCTAGCGTCGTGTTTGCGCTTGTGGGTAGACGAACGTTATAATGAAGGCAAGTAATAAATTTTTAAGTTTTCAAGATATAGATATTGGTTTAAAAAATGGTTACATGCAATATTTCATGAAGGCATATTGTTAGTATTATTACAAGCTGAGGTAAAAGAAAAAAAAAAAAAAGATTGAAAATAGTTTGGATACCTTCTCAAATACAGATTTTTTCACATTATTTAATTTTATTTCATTTATTGATAATATGATATATTCTATACATATGTATATATAATAGTCAATAATAGTTAAAGTGAACTGCTTAAGTTTTGGCCGAGCGTCGTGATTGTGTGACGCCAGAAATATCTTTCATTCTCACATCTTTATTTATACTTTTTTGGCTATACATATTCAGGCTTATAAATGTGTGAAGCGTTGAAGCTGAAGCAAAATACAGGTTTGAGGCTCGTTTGGATTACTGAGAGAGAGGTAAAATACTCTTGTCTCTAGCAAGAGTAGACAAGGTATGGTGAATTTTGGCATCAGCATTGGAGGTGAGTAAAATTACCTTTAAAATTATGAGTTTACGTTCATTATTTATTATATATTTTGGTGGAATGTTATTGCTTATTTTACTTATATTTATGTAAATAAGTTTATGGTGTTTATTCTGCCTAACGCGACCAAGAACATTTTTATTCTTAAGTCTAAGAGCTAAATTAATACTAAAAGAATTTGTTTGAAAACACATTTTTAAAGTTATATTTTTCCATTACCTATTGATTGGTAAAATTTTCTGAAAACAACATTTAGTCAAATTTAAAAAATTTTTGGTAACTTACATAGAAGTTACGCCTAACACAGAAAATATGCCTCGTGAAAGTGAAAGGTTAAAAAATTGTCAAGAAAAACTAAACACCTGAAAATATGTAAAAAATTAAAGCATTTTGCAAGTTAAAATACGATTTAATTGTTGCACTTAAATAGCTTTGAAAACAAAGACTAATATTTTGATCAACTTTGTAAGTTACGGACTTTTTTGCAAATAGTGTATTAATTACAGTTTTTTGTTAAATTATAATATTTAATTTTTATTTTTGGTGTAATAATAGATAAATTTGGCAAATTTTAATTTTCATGCTGTATAAATTGAGAGAAAATTGATCTGTTCCCATGGAAGTGATTATTGTTTATCCAATCGAATCTGTAGTTTCATAATATGTTGCAGCATGTGTAAGTTAGCGCAGAACTTGTTTTCATAGCAGCAAACAAACAATCGGCAGCTAAAACAGTAGAAAATAGACTGAGGTGATGAGGGGACGAGTCTAGATCAGTTACGTTAAACAACTACAAAACTGAGCTTCGACGGGATGGTAGGAGAGCGAAGAGAGCAGAAATACACAAATTTCGGAATGAATGGCTTTAATTGTGTGAATGCTGCACACAATCAGCTCAGCTGGCCCACTGCCTATGTATGTATGTATGTATGTATGTAAGTCAGGCGTCGATTGGTTGCGCGCTCGGCTGGCTTTGAAGCTCTTTAGGTGGCGCTCAGTTTCTCTTCAAGCTGAACGTGAGACTTGAAAGCTTTTTCTTTTGGTTTTCGATTTTGCCTTTAGTTTTAGAGACGACGCCAAGAGAGTTGGTTGGGCTTGACGGCTAGCCAGCAGCAGGTGTAAATGGGAAAGAATCTAAAAAGCACAGCGCGATGTATGTTGATACAGTTTCAGTATTGAAAACATAATACACTCATAAAAACTAGAACAAAACGCTCAATAAAAGCATAATAAGCGGTATTTACTGCAATTATGTTACTTATATTGGAATAAAATCAAATTAAATAGAAAGTCAAACGACAATAAACAGTGCGAAAGAACAACTTTAACAACAATCGCTTTAGCTCGTGAACTTTTGTGTAAGCTGAATTTTTGGGAAAAAAGAACCGTTAAATGGTCTTTTTTATGTAAATCAAAGTTTTTTTTTGTCTTGCTGCAAAGCTCAGCGCCGGGTTAGGCTCTGGTTAAAATGTGGTACAGAGCAACAGTGAGTTAAAGGTAAAAATAATTTGGAAAATGTTTTATGTTGTTGGAGCCAAAGCTACAAGCGCGTACTTTGATACGATTCAGTCTGACGTCTGACTTTCTATCGTTGCCAACTTAACCAAAACCAAATTCCACGCGCACGTACCTGGTGGTGGGTCCGGCGGGTCCCAACAATTCAACATAATTAACCATTATAAATGGCAGTGATGAAGTTAAGATTTTTCTTTACCTTGAACGTTGTTGGCTCGAAAAGCCTTAGTAACGCATTAGAGCTGGTTATTGCAAGACCTAATATAAGTTTGTATTATTATGCATGTGGTAGATTGCTTTGGTCATTTATTGTGCTTCTATTTTAAATGCCAAACAAACTTCAATTTGGGTGTGGTAAAGCCAAACCTGCTGTCTGGCTACCAAAGAGCCGTATGCCAAAATGCCATGGTGTCTGGGATTTGTAATTCTGCTCAGGTCTAACATATAGCCAATACCAGTTTTTATATATTTGTTCCCAGTATCCAAATATATTTGTAAGATGGGCATTATAATGCAAAAGACAGGACAAACTCTTGATATAGGTTGCCTCTTTTTTGCCATATTTAAAGCCGATTCCGTCTCCTTAATTGTATGTGATTTAACTGTAAAATAAATAAATATAGCATAAAAATCCCTGAGCCTAGGTCGGCTATATTCGTATAGTCTCCATAGCTCTTTTTTTCTAAAGCACTTTATCAATAACAATTTAATTGAGGAATAAAGAAGTATTTTTTATCCGAACAAAATGGTTAAAAGTATATGATTGTTGTATAAGATAGATTGTTTGTGTCGGCAGCTCGGCACGGGGTTCAGGGAATCTCCTAGTCGGGCACTCCCGACTAGCGCAAACTGTGTTTGTGATTCACTTGAGAAGCCAAACGAATTTACCCTTTTATCGTGACTTTGTTCGTTTTTTTTTCGTTATCCTTTACACCTGTGATTTTGATGAGGTGACGTAATTTATAAAATTTTACACAAGCAAGTTTGCTAAGTTGTATTCCACTGTCGAAAAATGTCGAATAAGTTTTGCATAATATATATTACAAGTATTTTCTACGAAGGAATATAAGTATTCTATATATGTGTGCATGTATGGGAATGTGTGTGTGTGGGCGTGTGTGCTAGTGTATGCGTGCATGTTTGTATGCATTTATGTATATGTGTATGCATGCATGTTTGTTTTCTAATATCAAACGCAGACCAAGCTTATTTGACGTTGTGCTGCAAATTTAAATAAAACGAATTTCTACCAACTGCTCTCCTCCTCGATTCTCAAAAATTCAAGTAGACTCTGCAGGTTTTCATGTTTAGCTAGTAGTGCAGTGCTTATTTTTGTTTTCTGGTATTTTTTGTATGTATGCATGCATGTATGTATGTATGTACATATGTGTGTTCATATGTATGTACGTATTTATGTATGCATGATTGTATATATATAGAAACAAACATGCATACATATATATACAGCATGCACACAAACATATATGTGTGCATGCATATATTTATATATGCAAAATTGCATACATACATACATGCATGTATATATGTGTATGTATGTATGTATATATGTGTACCTGTATATGGGTATCAGGAAATATACATGTACGCATGCATGCATGTTTGCATGTATACAAAACAAACATGCATTAATTATAATATGATAAACTGCAAACTTAGAACTTCGTCCAAAAAATCTACATCAAATCATTCATTATAATAATAATTTTCCCCGTTTATGTTTGCGCGTTCTTATGTATAACTGGATTGAACAGTGCGCTGTAAATAGCGTTTACTATTAAGCCAGTCAATAAATCAGGACAAACACTTTAATATAAGTAGATAAATATGATATTTAATAATCAAGAAAAATCGTTTATCTTTGTTTTTTTTTCTAACTTTTTTCAGTGCCAGCGATTATGTTGGAACAAGAAACTACATCCTTGAAAAAAGCGTCTATAACAGTCGATGCTCCAACTTCCAACCAGGAAAATTTGTCAAAACACCACAAAGCCAATTGGCACAATGGTGACGCCCAGATAGGTTCTGATTCAGGTGATTCAATGGAAATCTTAGCGGATTCAGTGTCAATCACGATTGATGGGGAGAAGCATTGGGTCTCGGGTGTGGATTTAAATACCACATGCACGGATCTGATCATTGCTCTGCTGCATTATCAAGATCTCCAACAAATGCGATCCATCACTAAGAATGGACATGCAAAACCATATAATATATCCAACAAATTAGAAAGATCCAGCCAAATCACAAACCATAATTCATCAACAACAAATACCAAAGAAAAGGAACAAACTTCTAATAGCAAAGGTATTACTAACCCTCACGCATACGTGATTGTAAAGAAATTGCCGGACTGTCGATTTGAGGAATATTTAGATGGAAGCTCTCGACTATTGGATGTCATACCGACTGGGGATACCCCATCAAAAAATCAGGTTGATTAGAAAACAGAAAAAAATAAATTGATCTTGTATTTAATGTAGCTCTTTCGAAACAGTGTGAGCTCCAGCTGAGATATCTTGGGGGTACGTCGGCATTCCAGACATCACCGCGCGTCTATAACCAGAAGCAAAACCAAATGTTCTCAATGCTATCAATGTCAACCGATAAGGACAGTGGCATGGGCAGCCCAATGGGCAGTTCCCGAAGTGATAAATATCGAAGAAGGCGGGGCAAACAAAAAACTGGTATAGCCGGAGTCACAGGCAATACCCAAATTCGAGGAGGTGCAGCACTACCAAAGCGCAGTAAACATCAACTGCAGCCTTTTAATTTGAATCCAAATGAACGCCTAATGAATATCATATTAGCTCAAGACGAAACCATAAATAGGCAAATATATTTGTTGAAGTAAGTCCTTCCTTTTTTATTATATATTATTATATCTATTATATGTCTCACTTACCATCTAGTCAAAAGGAACAACAAATTTTAAAGATCGAAGATGAGAAACATCGAGAACGCGAACTTGAGTTGGGTAAGAATTATATGCTCGATGCATACTTAAATGCACCAGATAAAATACCAAATAAGAGACTTAATACACAAGATTTTGAGGATCATCGCCCAAAGGTACTGAACTCGAACCTGGACAAGCCACATCCTGCGCATGATTCTGCTGGTAAAGAACTACATTTGCAATAAGACAATAGTTTTACTCTTTATAATGTACATTTCCAGGCGAGGCTAATGGACTCGATACCACGGACTCAAAGGAGGCAGTGTTAAATCTTCCTTGTGATATGGAAATTTATTGGCTAGAAAAAGTATATGCTCTGAATGTACTGCTGCAGGGAGAGGAGGAGCAGTTGCTGCGTTTACATGCAAAGGTGCGTAAGCACCAGATGCGATGCGTCTACCAAACAAAAGACGAGGTGTTGCGTCAAATAGATAGATTGGACATGGACTTGGCCAACCAGGTAAACCATATATATAGGGTAGAACGTCAACTGTTAATAGCCAACGAACAGTTGAAAGCCAAATTGGGCGTCTTGGAGAGTTTGGGACATGAATTTGGAGCCTTTCCGGCTGCAACCGAGGAAATCGATAAAAATTCAACAGCCGCCTGTTCAACAATTCTAGCTTTAAAATGTAATGAAGAGCAATTCATACGAAACCTACAGGAGAAGGATATCGTCGTTCGAGCAGATATCGACCTGATTAAAAATAACTCGAATCAGCCGGATTATACGGATGCCAAAATGTTACAAAAACAAATGTTCTTCGCCGTTGACAATTCTGTATCTTTATATGATAGTTGCTTTCAAGATCACAAAGAAGGGGCACAGTCCATAGTAAGATATAATTCCTTGGTCTTGGCAGAATGTGATTTTGATATACAACACTTGGGTACACTTGTTTAACTAGTAAATTGGGGTATTTTTGTTAGTTACAGTTTAATAACAATCTGTATATTTATAAGAACAATCTGTATATATTCATTGTTAATTGCAAATACTTAAGAGTAATGTTAAGTGTTAAAGAGATTCTCAATCATTATTACCAAATTTTTTTTTATATTTGAGTAAGATTCACAAAATGCTGCATCGTATAAATTAGCTTGCATAGATTATAATAGATTATCACATACGTAGACAATTATAAAAATAGGGGACATATTGTATTATATATATATATATATATGACATGGCCGATTTCCGATTGAGCGGCTTAGCTAGTTTTTGCCTTTGTGAGTGGCTGATCATCATCGCTGGACGAATCGGGATCATTCAGTGCCAACAAATTGGAAATTGTCTCAATCCTCGCATCTAATACAGCTGGCGGCTCAGTTTGCGTCGATAGGATGGCAGCGGTAATGATAGCTGATGTAGATGGCGCATCCAGTTCGGGCTCTTGCTCGTTGAGCAGCCCGTGATTGGCCTCCCGCCGTTTGGTTAACACAAAGGCAGCGCTGTAGAACAGAAGAATGGGCAGCACTGCCACGATTGCGACGCTGGTTAGGAATGCTGTCATTTTCACCTCACGCTGGCAGCATTTAAGATCCTTGGACCACAGCACACGCGTGCGATTCATCTGAGAAGCAAAAGATGTTAGAAAAGCAAACAAAGAAAGCTGGACCACTACATACCACGTCCTGCATATCAAAGCATACTTTGCCATTGCTTTTCTGGTCTAAATTCTTATAGAAATCGTTTATTGTTATGTATTTAAGTAGACAATTGGTGCACTCGCTGCCTTTGTTAACCTCCAAGCAGCTCGAGAGACTCAGGTACAGTTCTTGAAAGTTATCTGAGTTATTGCCTTTGAAACACTCTACATAAATAATAAGAATTTTTAATGTGCGTCACATTTGGATTAGTCAGACTCACCTTCACAAGAGGCTCGATTCCAGAGTCCCTTAAGTACGTTCTGTGTTGTAAATACGATATTCATACGATCGGAATCCATGTAAATTTTGGAACAATTTTCATTTTTCATCAGCGTATCGTAACTGCTCGCCATTTCGCTATACTTTTGATTGCATGCAATGCAAAGGCGTTCATCCTTAGGATGGTCTGGAACGGCATGCCGTGTGTTGCAGTAAACGAAATGTTGCTGTGCGTTTGCCAGTTCGCGTAACAAGTCAACACAATTTTTTGACTGAGCTGCAAGCGTTATGCAGCATACAATAATTAATAAAAATATGTTTCTCATCGTAAGGCAAATGGATATTGCTTTAAATATGGATGTTCACTGGTGAACTAGCTTAAATTCATGCGTGATATGGTCACTCAAAATATCTATGTTAACAGCGCCTAACAGATTTTGCATTGCTGTTAACATGTTATCTGTCTGCAGGAAATGTTTTAAAATAATTACAGAATACTAATGTAAATACTACGAAAGTTAGAATTATGAGCGATATTTTTATTCTGTTGTTTCGTATTCATAGCTACAAAGCTAATTATTATTTACTTATTTTTCTGATGAAGGTTGTACATTTATAAAAGTATTCTACTCTCTCTTGTCTCTCTCTCTGCTGTTTACTACTGTTAATCGAATGTTAATTCTTTTTCTTGCTCTCTCCTGCTCATTTTTGCACTCGTTTATATCCATTTTGAATGAGCTTGCATAGATACAGTTAGTTGTGAACGAGTCGTCGGCGCGTGATAATGTGAAGCGAGTTGGACGGGAGTGAAGTTTTCTTTGTTCATGCGAAAATTTTTATATTGCCGCGACGGACGTGTATTTTGTGAGCGCGCAAGCCGAATTGTTAAAATTTCTTGATAAGGAAGTGCGAAAATCGTATTTAACAAACCAATATATTTGTGTGCTTGTGAAATTAAGGGGGACCAACCTCCTGTTAAGGGGCTCCCAGCGAGCTGCGCAATAGAGTTGGGAAAAATATTTGCTTAAACGACACACCTACATGCGTTCCTACGGATACAAATAAAAAGACAAAATAATAAATTAAAGCCGATCCGATATTAACTATTATTTCAATACGAGTAATCTCTTCTATTCGTTTTAAACGCTAATTTTAAATCACATAAATTCGTGTATACATAACTGTTGTCAGATCTGAAAAACAGCGCGTAAAAGGAATACGCAAAATTAAGTTGAATATTTGCAAAGGAACATGTCGAAAAGAAAAAGTGCTACAAAATAATTATGCATTGTGCATGTGCATGAGTACATGTATAAATGTAAGTGCCAAAGAAGCAAAAGCTAAGCCGTGAATGTAGACGCCACTCCTTTTGCGAAAAAAAAACAAATGAAATGTAAAAAGGTGGCGTCGAATGTGCGTGGATAGAGATTGAGCGAGAGCTGCTGCGCCGGAGTTGAACTTTGCATATGCATACATACAAACGAATTTGGGGTGTGTGTGTGTGTGTGTGTCGGCGAATTTCTACAGTGCAACCAACTATAATTATTGTTGTTGCTCCATAGCACACAAAACTGTGATAGGTGCGTAAATCAAATAATATTAAAAACAAATGACAAGAAATCGTATAGTGCCATCTTAGACGCTTCTGTTCATTCGTTAGCGCCTGGTCACACTGCGCAGAAGCAAAATTAGCAAGCAACGCATTCAAAATGCACCTTCAATTCAATATATTTTCTTGGCAACTGATCGAACAGCTGCTTGCTGCTTGCCGCCTTGGGACACCTGGCCAAAAGCTGACACATTACATTTACAGTTACTGGGCATATAGCATTGCTCCTTTTTCGTGTACCACTACGGCTTGCAGTCGTATAATAACTGGTTTTTAGTTTGACTTGTGCAGAATTTGGTCAAACAACATCAATGCTCCCAACATCAAGTCTCGCTCTTGTGTTAGAGCGAGAACCCGTTGATCAACATAGCCCGAGAGAAAGAGAGTGAGAGATAGGGACAGAGAGTTGCGAAAAAACAAACATAAAAGTCCGACAATCTTTAGCTTTCGCTTTTGCTGTTGTTCTTGCTGTTGTCTAAGGCGTTTGTCCGTTTTCTTTTGGTTATGATTTGTTATCGCTCTGTTGTTTTTATGGATCTTCGCGCTGCTCTGCTTGCTTATCGTGTTTTCTGCTGGGTCCGATTTATGCAAATATGCAACAGAGACTCCAATTACATTTTATTTCCGCAACAAAATTTCAGTCAGTCGCGAGTGTGTATGTATGTGTGGAGGCCACATTGTTTTTAGTTTCAAAAGTCGACATAATATCTGTATAGATGTATGCACATATGTGTATGTTATTGCATGTACATATGTTTGTATGCTTAAAACCCCATAATAAGATGCTCTTTTCGTAGTCATGTCCACTCACTAAGAACTCTTTGTTTATTTTTAGTGAGAAATTCTGGTTACAAACTATATTAATTTCAATGCCTCCTTTTCAAAGTCGCTGTCTCAGTTGCTTTTGCTTTTATGCTACTCTTCTTGTTGTTTTTTCGCCTTTGTGTGCAGAAGTAGAAACAGTTGTGACGGCGTCGATGTCAGCAGCGGCTGCTGTCTTGTTCTTTCCTTCACTCATTAAAAATTTCTAAAAGGGAGTTTTGTGAAAATGTATGTGCCAGGTAGAAGAAGACATGTCAGACCCCACAATTTTCTATTTTCAATATGCATGAAGTTGTGTGTTGGGCTATATTTTTTAAGATTTTGTAATCTCAAAGATTAGTGCTAAAATCCAATAAATTAGTTTGACTGAGAGTTACAGGGAATTTTCCAGTCGGGCACACTCGACTACTTGATTTTATTGGCTTCTCTCTACTTCACCCCCAGTTTCTGGGGACCTGAGGTTAATTCTGGGATGGGGTCTGCGCCTGTACATATGTAAATCTAGGGTTGTCTTTTGTATTTTATAAATATTTTTTATTTATAGATTTGCGGCGACTTGCCGATCGTTTCTAGAATTAGTTTTTCTAAATTTGTCGCTGGTTTTAAAGCTTTCAAATTTGTCGACAAACGTGGAGGTAAGGTGAACGTTAAGCGTTCGCCTACGCTGGCGCCCATTAATTAGTGGAACACGACTTCCAAATATAAAAAGCTCAAAAAGTAGATGAACTCAACTTTATATATTTATATTATTTATTATATATTTATTATTACCAGATCATCTAGTTAGATAGAATAGATAGATAGGCAGATAGAATTATAATATTGTGGATGTATGTAATCCCACAATATCCCAATTACCATTACCGAAAATCGTCTTAATTTAGACAACGAATTCTGCAGATATTTGAGTGGAAACGGCAAAAAATCATATAAAAGCCAAAGCAAGGGCTATGGCCAGGGTCGAGAATGCGTCCAGGTTCTTGCCAGCAACTAACGGGTGTTCCAAGTGCCTAACCCTGTGTTGCCGCTTTTGGGCAACACATTTGTCTGTTCACTTGTCTATTGAAATTTACTTGCTTTGAATTAAATGAGGCAATGTTAAGCAACCGTGGCAACTGTTGAGACAACTGGCAACTGGCAAGAATGAGGTGCCAACTGTATGCTGCATGGCATTACTTGAATGCAGCCACGCCATTCTCAGGGCCCACACACAAGAAGCAGACAACAATGAATGCCATTGCACAATGCTGGTTCTAAAGATAATATCGCAACAGAACAATATGTCTCCTACTAAGCTCGGATGCCCTTCAAGTGCAAAGAGCGGATTAAGAGATTGCCTTATAATTTTTTTTAACTAAATCATTCAGTTTTTTTTGACCATAGAAGCTAATTCGCAGCAGCCTGGCTCTGGTTGACCTTTTGTAAGGGTGTGTGTGTGGTGTGGCCATAAATTGGTCATATTTGAGTAAATTGGCTATGTTAAATTTTGGAAGGTCAGTCAATTTCAGCTGTGCGTTCATTAGCTCCATTTGGCACCCGACCGGATGAGCATGCATTCATGTGTGTGCAAAATTAACCCCAAAAACGGTGAAAAGTGCATGACGGGATGCTCAGCTTTGAAAGTTGCTGCTGGGCTTTTACTTTATTGAATTTCCCATTTTGAAATCCAGCAGGAGCCAACACTAAAAGAGAGGGAGCGAGAGCAAAATAAAGAGAGAGAGAGAGAGAGAGAGAGAGAGAGACAGACTGAGAGGCTGTGCAGGAGAGCAGGTTTGTTGGGGTAGACTTGGCTAAAACGTCGCCACTTACATAATGACAAAATCGTTGCTCATGACATTCCGTTGCGCAAGGGTGAATGGATGTAGAGCGGGGGAGGGTGGGAGGGGCGGGGTGTGTTTTGCTATTGTATTATGGTTGTAAAGGGGGGGGGGGTTTCTGTTATTCTGTTATTGTCTTTGTCTACTTTACCACTGTTGTTGCTCCGTTTTGCCTGTATTTGCCGACGCTTATAATGCGATTTTCTCATTGTGCTCTGCATCCTAGCGTCCATCGTCTTAGCTTATGCATTTCGCAATGCATTTTGTGAGGGTTGTTCCTTGGCTTCTTTTCGCCATTCGTTTTGGCATGTGTTTCGTGCCTTTTTCTTTAAAGTAAAGTGAAGCTTCTGTTAAGTACAGTAGAACACAGAGGAAAAATCTAAAGTGTGTGCTTAAGGTTGACTCAACTTTGCACTCTCTCTCCACCCATATTCTCATCTCCTACTTTTTACTCCTGGTCACGGTAACTTGATTCTGCGCTTGCATTTGTCACGTTCAGATCCATCTACAATCGGTCTCAGTCACTTTATATTTATAATGGCGAAATATGTACGTGTTATAATACATCAATATTTTTCTTTAGAATTAATTTTCTCTCATCTTAAAATTGGCTATTCTAAAAGGAATGACAAACTTTTTAAAGCGCCCTTCAAAATTCAAGAAATCGATATAATAACAGGGCGATATTGCAGAATATTACGACTGAAAAACAAATGAATTCGAAAGAAAAGTGCAGGTTCGAGCTTAAAGGTGCTTATTAAATGCAAAATAATAAAGAAACTGATTAGATTGTCATTAATTAGCATTGAGCTGTTGATAGGCCATTAAACAAGCAGCAAAAAAACTGGGAAATTGATTTAAATATGTGCCTACAATATGCTCTGTTGATAAGACAAGTGTTTGACAGCTGCCTTAGTCACAGACACTAATGATTATTGGAAATCTCCGCCGCAGCAGACATCACGACTATTGTCGGGCTACTGTTTGCAATTTTTCGATTATAATTGGTGCCAACTACCCAGAAGTACAGCCAAGTTAAGATGTTGCGGCAATGTTTGATTAAGTATTTCAATGGAGAAGGGGTCGAAGACAAACAGAGTTCTAAACCTAAACGTTGTCGGTCGTAGCAATTATCGTATACACTTTATAAGAGCAATTCCTGATCTCCATGTCTTACGAAAATTACGAAGCAATTTGTCAAATTTAACAAGCAGATTTAATGAAGATCAATATTTATTTCTTATTTTTCATCGCTTTTGTTGTAATTGTAATTTTATTGATTGTTGCCCGGAGCGTACAAATTTAATAGATACGCTAAAATGCGATTTTGCCTTATAATTGCGTTTGACGCTGTCACGCTCTCACTTTGTGTTACACAGAGAGTGCATCATCTTTTATTTCGATGTTGCTTCGGCAACCTTTCGCTTTCAATTTTGAACTATTGCAAAATAGGGCCACTTTTAGGCCATCTTGGTAATAATTCTTAGCCGAGTCAATCTGACTATTTCCGTCTGTAAGTAGACACAGTCCTGCGAGTCAACGAAAGCGCTTATCTGGTTGAAAAGGAAGGAAGTCCTATTAGTGTCAGGTTCTTTGTTACATTCCGCCAACTGCTGCCCAAGCATTAAGTCATGAAAAGTCGCGCCATCTCAAGACAGTTTGTGGGTAAACAATAGTTAACTAACTCACTTTTTATACCATGAACCCATTAAAAATGGTTTGAAAAAGTGTAATGGGTTTGTGCACATGTATGTAACAGTCAGAACTAAAGATCTCCGACCCCATAAAGTGTATAAATTCTTAGTTAGCATCCATAGCCGAGCCGGTCTAGTCACGTCCGTCTGTCGCAAATGAAATATTTTAATTAAAGCCACAATTCATAACTGTTGCCTTATGCGAATATACGTATATTTTATAGCAAAATAAGATCTACTGTACAAAATGTATTCAAGATCGGTTAAGAAACACAGAAGTTATTAAGGGAAACGTGTGGTTATATCAGCAAGACACGTGGCTGCAAGCGCAAAGCACACATAAGTGTGTCTTTGAATTCCATAATTATACCCTGAACCCATTAAAAATGGGTAAAAAGGGTATTATGTATTTGTGCAAATGTATGTAACAGGCAGAAGGAAGCATCTCCGACACCATAAAGTATATATATGTATGTATTCTTGATCAGCATCAACAGTCGAGTCGATCTAGCCATGTCCATCTGTCTGTCCGTCCGTCCGTCTGTCCGTCCGTATGTATGAACGCAAGGATCTCAGAACCTGTAAGCGCTAGAGACTTGCTGTAGGTCCTCCTAGTGCCCGCGCAGATCGAGTTTGTTTCCGATGTTCGATAACTTGCCCCGTTTCCAAGTAATCGATAAAAATCGATATCGAAATCCTGTTTTTTGAGCAATTTCGGCAAATAATATGAGCTAGAGTCACCAAACTTGATATGTAGCTTCTAGAATAGTATATACTATATATCAAGTATTTTTCATTTTATACCTATCGCCTGTCGGAAGAAGAGGGTTCAGGGTATCCCCTAGTCGGGAGTTCCCGAATAGAACCTCTTGCTTGTTAAAATTGCAACTGCGATTTTGTTTTATGCTCTACTCTGTGTATGTGCTGCTAATTTATTAAGTTTTTTTTTTCGATTTCATAATTACTTTAAGATCTAGATTCGAGTTTTTTAGTTTGTTAAATAGGTAGCACCGAGTTACTATTCTGGGGTGCTGTACCCTGTACCCTCTATTTTTTGATTCTCTACTTGCATTTTTTTTGTTTCTATCGATTCGCACTTGGTTATTTAGCTATTTGCAGTTAATTTAGATTGCATTGCTGCCATGCTCACGTTTAATAAAACACTTACATGGTACAACGCGCAAGTAATTTATGGTAAACGAAACGATGTTTAAATTAACCTGGTCTAAACGATGTAATTTATGAGGAAATTCGTGAGTTCGTTCAGCTGCAGCACGTGAAAAGAGGGGAACTAAAAATGATAGAGAAAAAGAGATAGATGAAGGATGAAATATTAAGTTTGTGATTTCGATTGGAGATTTCATAAATCATGTTGGGCATTCTCTTAGAGTTTCGTTTGCATAAACAGTCCGTATACCAGAAACGGATGTCAAATCCTTTATTTGTATATATATAACCCTATATGAACGAAGATCCTCCTAGGACCAGATAGTACCTAGTGTAAATCATCAACTTGCCTAGAATCTAAACATTCGATAACAATCAATATAGAAATCCCGTTTTTATTTAAACATGTCTCTTAGATTTTAAGAGGTAGAGTTAGCAAGTTTAACTCTATTTTCGTTAAGGAATATTCAATTGCACAATTTGATTTAAGATCGATTAAGATACACACACACCGTGGCGGTAGTTCCATAAATGAAATTGTTTCTGGTTTTGGTAGAAGAAGGTTTAGGGTATCTCCTAGTCCGGCATCACTTTTCCAATTATTTTTCTACAATTTGCCCTTATGTGAGTAAATTTGCGAAACAGGTGAATCACGTGCCAAATTACATTTAACATACATATTTTAATTGAGATTGAAGTTAATTTGACAATTTTATTTAATTTTCCACATATTTATCTAATGCTTGACTATTTCCTATTGAAGCGAACGCCTTTCCCCCGATTCGGCCCGATATGCTATGTGTTTATCTTTTGTTTAATGTCAACACAGATACGTTAATTAACATCGAAAAGAAACAGCAACGCGTTGATTGCCTTATATCATAATCGGACTCTGACTTTTTTGTTTAGAGTTTCAATATAGTTTTGCAGTCGTCTTTTATGTTGGAGTTGTGTTCACATAAAGGCCGCTGGCCAATTCACTGATTTTGAAATGTTTTCTTTGAATGTTACGTTTGTTGTTTACAATTTAAGGCACTTGTTTTTGTCTTTTTTGCACCAACAAAACATGTTGTGTTTATCAGTTAAAGCCATGTTTTTTTGTGGTGGTATGTAACTTGAGGTTGTAATGAGGGAACTGATGAGTCTTGTAAATTACTTTGAAGGCCTTATATTATTATGCTTTAATGTTGTGGCCCTAACAAGGTGTGTGGCTCTGCGTCTCTTCGGATCTCTCTGGTTCTGTTCTAGTTGTTTGCCTCATAGTCATGCTGACTTTTTATGGCATACCCAGTTAGCAACTTGTTCATGAACTTTTATGGTGATTTCTGTCCGAAGCAAGTCAGACGGAAACTGAAGATGATTCCAGGCCATGTATGTAATATAACTAAAGCTTGTTTGTATGTATGCTATTGATGTAGTCCATCATCTCCTACTGCGAGTGATAAAGTGTGTTCATTTGGTATTGATTTAACGTAATCGCTTAACGCAACATATTTTTAATTAATAAATATTTTAGTTTTGTGACCTACTCGAAAACGGTTGCTATTCAAATTTGTTGTCATTGTTGTTTTAACTTATTGGTAGGCTGTCCGTGAGGCGTCAACGCGTCTTGTATAACAATTTGCAGCACTTTCTCTCCATGCTGTGCGCCTGTGTGCTGCTGGCTTCTCCGCCTCAGGCATTCAACGTCCGATCGCAGTGCTCCACTGAGCTAGCCGCGGCGGGAACAAATGGCTTCCGTTTGAACTGCTTTACCTTCGTTTTTAAGACAAGGCAAGTCAAGACGAAAGAGCTAAACAAAAAAAATAATAATAAATGCCATTTTTGGGCGCAGATATATAATGTGGCAATTCTTTTCAGGCTGTTTGCTTTGCGGTTGAATGACCGTCGGGCGCAGTTTTGTTCGACTGCATGCAGAAATTACAATTTTTTGTTTTGTTTTGTTTTGCAGAAATTTGCATTTACATCTTGCACAAAAGCAAAATACGCAAAATGCTTGGGCCAGCGGTGGGTTGATTGGCTAACAGCAAAAATACGAAAAAAAAAAAAACAACTACAACGAATTCGACGCTCTCTCCACGCTTGAGTTCAGTTGAGACGACTAGGTGGGACAGCAGCAGCAGCAGTAACAGCGGTTGCCACCATCACGTGGGTCACCAACTGGGAACAGCGCAACCAACACAGCAATGTTAAAGGTGTCAAGTGTTATTTGCTGTTAGTTGTTGTTGGGTATATTCAAAACTAGAGTCGACTCCAAAGCTACCACTTCAACAAACACCAGGACAAAGGAACTTGTAACAAGAAAAGGTGAGTATATTGCATGACTAGAGATCACCTGGGGTATGCAGTGGGGTTTTATTTTAGAATTGTGTACGCGGTATTTTCGAGGAAAGATAACTTGAATGAGTCAATCAATTAAATTTTATCTGATTGACTGTTTAAGCCTGACAAATTTATTACATAGAAAGGTGCGCAGGATGGCGACTGCAACAAGTCTTGTTTACTCCTTGGCGCAAGACTAGGTATCGTTTATCTCTTACTGTGCATTTGTAAGGTATTAAGGCAACCAGAGCTGTCACTAATTGTTTTCTGCCGACATTTTCGTAGACTTTGTTTAATATGCCAAGCCCAATCCTTTTGCATCCTCTTGGGAGGCCCTTCTGGGTACGGCGGTTGCTTGGCAATTGCCAATATGTCCGATTTGCATATTGGCAGACTTTTTGAGTTTATTGGGAGTATCTAGGCAGGCGTTAGCTAAGAGTGAAAAAAGCAGTCAACAATTAAAACAAACAAGAGAATAGACATTAAGGGAAATCGGAACAGCAACATGGAAACAACAAAAACCATCAGCATCGAAAAAGAACCAGAAAACAGAGTGTGGTGCTGTGCATGGGGCCTCATCATGCCCGAACAAAATGACAATAGTTCGATAGACGATGATGAACTCACACTAGCCAAGCTAAGGCCAAAGGAGTTTGTTATTACTGGCGGCATCAAGCCGCAGCTGAATATCGTTCACATATCACCAAGCGAGGAGAATGAGTTCCCACATGAGTACAGCCACCAGCTGCCCGAATGCCTTGGAATACATAATGTGGCGCTCAGTCCGGACAGCAGTTGCATAGCTGCTGTGTCTATGGATGGCAGTCTGATGCTGCTTAACATTGAGGGGGGCGTGCGCTTGCCCAGGGTTAGTCACAGTCACAGTCAAGTGAGTAACATTTGGTCAACTGCTTTTGGTCGGAGCAACGATTGCGTCTATGCGGGCTCCGGCAGTGGACACATTTACAAGTACGACACGTCCGTCGGGAAGCTGCAGCATAATTATGACACACATCGCTGCGAAAACGTATTGGGCCTGGCCATTAGCGGGGATCAGCGCTTAGTTGGCGCCACCGATTATGCCGGGAACTTCACATTGCTCGATGGCGCCACCGGGCAGATTTTACGTCGCAGGAACTATAAGAAGCCCATGCGAAGGCTGGTGTATGATCCCTGCATGCGTCATGCGTTGGCTGCCTGCGATGACAAGACCATCAAACTCATTGATTTACCCAGCGGAAGATTGCGTGAAAGCCTCGCCGGTCACGACGCCTTCGTTATGTCCGTGGCTGTGTCGCCAGACGGTTTGCGGTTTGTCAGCGGCGCCTCCGATGGTTCCATCAAGCTGTGGGACGTCAGATCAACAAAGTGCTCTCTGTCCTTTGTGTGCACCACCAATTCGAATCTGTGGGACGTCGCTTTCAATAAGCTGAGCAACAAGATCAGCTTTGTCGGTGACGGAAAGGGCCTTAACATATACTACTGCCTGGGTAATAGGGAAATGATGCTAGTTTAGACATGTGTTTTATTATTTGAAATTATAGATGTAGAATATGTTGTATGCGTTGCGAAAAAAAAGCACGTTTCAAGTTATTGTTTTCTGGATCTAGGCTCCACTATTAGCCTTATCCTGGTTAGCTAGCTAAAAAGTTGACCAATTTTCTGTTTTAAGGCCAGCAACTCCACCCTTGGCTTGGTTTGTTGTAGAGTGTAAGTTGTCCCAGTCTCATAAGTCAGGATTTGGCACAATGTTAAACTGGATATCTTGCATATCTTCTATACGCCTCTGATTGCTTCAGTTATTTCAATTAAGCGTCGCATCCTTTGATGCATGCATGCCTCGTTCGATTTGCTGTCACATGTATGATATTGCCGTGGCTGTCTGCGAGATTAATGACTTCAATTGGCAAGTCGGCCAGTGACTGCATCCTTGACTCGCATTATATTCAGCATTCAACGTTTTCCAGTCTCCCCACACTCAGCGCAACCCACAAAGTAGAACCCACTTGAGGCGGCGACAAGCGTGCAGACTCTTTTGCCAACTCGTTTTCCCACCGTTTAATTGGCATCATTTGTCTAACAAGAACAACCAACGGCGGCGACTTGTTTTGCTTGCGTTCATTTGCAGTTGTTAGCTCTACGTCTATCAAAACATCTTGAGTAGTGAAATCTGTGAACTGCTGTTTGCTGTTGCCTAGTCTTGTCTACGCGAAAATTTGTCACGGGTCAGAGCATGCATAGTTCTCTTGACCAGATATCTGTAAAGTCAAATAAAATAGTAACTGCCAAACACATAATAAATCGATCGAAAAGAAATGGAAACTTTATATATCCACGCTGTATATATATATATATATCTGAAATAATCTTGCATTCAAATCTGACTACATATTTTTTAGTCAAAATCTTACCCTTAACATTTGTACATAGACTTGGGTCAAAAAGTCCCATTCGCACAGCTCCCTTAAAACTCAACCGATTTTCATGAGGATTGGCTTTTTGTTCATGGTTTTCCCTCTAGAATAATCTGGCATTCAAATCTGAACATCCATTTCTTAGTCGAATTTCGTGTCAAAATCTTACCCCAAGATTCGTATATAGACATGGGTCCAAACTTCCCATGCCTATAACTCGGTCAAAACTCATCCGATTTTTGCGAGGTTTGGCTTTTTATTCATGGTTTTCACTCTAGAATAATCTGGCATTCAAATCTGAACATCCATTTCTTAGTCGAATTTCGTGTCAAAATCTTACCCCAAGATTCGTATATAGACATGGGTCCAAGCTTCCCATGCCTATAACTCGGTCAAAACTCATCCGATTTTTGCGAGGTTTGGTTTTTTATTCGTTGTTTTCCCTCTAGAATAATCTGGCATTCAAATCTGAACACATATTTTGTAAACGAATTTCATGTCAAAATCTTACCCCAAGATTCGTATATAGACATGGGTCTAAACTTCCCATTCCCATAACTCGGTCAAATCTCATCCGATTTTTGCGAGATTTGGCTTTTTATTCATGGTTTTCCCTCTAGAATAATCTGGCATTCAAATCTGAACATCTATTTTTTAGTCGAATTTCATGTCAAAATCTTACCCCAAGATTCGTATATAGACATGGGTCCAAACTTCCCATTCCCATAACTCGGTCAAATCTCACCCGATTTTGGCGAGGTTTTGCTTTTTATTCATGGCCTTCCCTCTAGAATAATCTGGCATTCAAATCTGAACGTCTATTTTTTAGTCGAATTTCATGTCAAAATCTTACCCCAAGATTCGTATATAGACATGGGTCCAAACTTCCCATGCCTATAACTCGGTCAAATCTCATCCGATTTTGGCGAGGTTTGGCTTTTTATTCATGGTGTTCCCTCTAGAATAATCTGGCATTCAAATCTGAACCCCAATTTTTTATTTGAATTTGATGTCAAAATTTTACCCCAAGATTCGTATATAGACATGGGTCCAAACTTCCCATGCCTATGAGTCGGTCAAATCTCATCCGATTTTTGCGAGGCTTGGCTTTTTATTCATGGTTTTCCCTCTAGAATAATCTGGCATTCAAATCTGAACATCTATTTCTTAGTCGAATTTCATGTTAAAATCTTACCCCAAGATTCGAATTGGACATATAGTCCAAACTTCCCATGCCTATAACTCGGTCAAATCTCCTCCGATTTTTGCGAGTTTTGGCTTTTTATTCATGGTTTTCCCTCTAGAATAATCTGGCATTCAAATCTGAACACATATTTTGTAGTCGAATTTCATGTCAAAATCTTACCCCAAGATTCGTATATAGACATGGGTCTAAACTTCCCATTCCCATAACTTGGTCAAATCTCATCCGATTTTTACGAGGTATGGCTTTTTATTCATGGTTTTCCCTCTAGAATAATCTGGCATTCAAATCTGAACATCTATTTCTTAGTCGAATTTCATTTTAAAATCTTACCCCAAGATTCGTATATAGACATGGGTCCAAACTTCCCATTCCCATAACTCGGTCAAATCTCACCCGATTTTGGCGAGGTTTTGCTTTTTATTCATTGCCTTCCCTCTAGAATAATCTGGCATTCAAATCTGAACGTCTATTTTTTAGTCGAATTTCATGTCAAAATCTTACCCCAAGATTCGTATATAGACATGGGTCCAAACTTCCCATGCCTATAACTCGGTCAAATCTCATCCGATTTTTGCGAGGTTTGGCTTTTTATTCATGGTGTTCCCTCTAGAATAATCTGGCATTCAAATCTGAACCCCAATTTTTTATTTGAATTTCATGTCAAAATCTTACCCCAAGATTCGTATATAGACATGGGTCCAAACTTCCCATGCCTATGAGTCGGTCAAATCTCATCCGATTTTTGCGAGGCTTGGCTTTTTATTCATGGCTTTCCCTCTAGAATAATCTGGCATGCAAATCTGAACACATATTTTTTAGTCGAATTTCATGTTAAAATCTTACCCCAAGATTCGTATATAGACATGGGTCGAAACTTCCCATTCCCATAACTCGGTCAAATCTCACCCGATTTTGGCGAGGTTTTGCTTTTTATTCATGGCCTTCCCTCTAGAATAATCTGGCATTCAAATCTGAACGTCTATTTTTTAGTCGAATTTCATGTCAAAATCTTACCCCAAGATTCGTATATAGACATGGGTCAAACTTCCCATGCCATAACTCGGTCAAATCTCATCCGATTTTGCGAGGTTGGTTTTTTTCTGGTTTCCCTCTAGAATAATCTGGCATTCAAATCTGAACACATATTTTTTAGCGAATTTCCCTATAACTCGGTCAAATCTCATCCGATTTTTGCGAGGTTTGGCTTTTTATTCATGGCTTTCCCTCTAGAATAATCTGGCATTCAAATCTGAACACCAATTTTTTAGTCGAATTTCATGTCAAAATCTTACCCCAAGATTCGTATATAGACATGGGTCCAAACTTCCCATGCCTATAACTCGGTCAAATCTCATCCGATTTTTGCGAGGCTTGGCTTTTTATTCATGGTTTTCCCTCTAGAATAATCTGGCATTCAAATCTGAACATCCTATTTTTTAGTCGAATTTCATGTCAAAATCTTACCCCAAGATTCGTATATGGACATGGGTCCAAACTTCCCATGCCTATAACTCGGTCAAATCTCATCCGATTTGTACGAGGTATGGCTTTTTATTCATGGTTTTCCCTCTAGAAAAATCTGGCATTCAAATCTGAACACATATTTTTTAGTCGAATTTCATGTCAAAATCTTACCCCAAGATTCGTATATAGACATGGGTCCAAACTTCCCATTCCCATAACTCGGTCAAATCTCATCCGATTTTTACGACGATTGTGGGCTTATTCATGGTTTTCCCTCTAGAATAATCTGGCATTCAAATCGAACACTATTTTTAGTCGAATTTCATGTCAAAATCTTACCCAAGATTCGTATATAGACATGGGTCAAACTTCCCATGCCATAACTCGGTCAAATCTCATCCGATTTTACGAGGTATGGCTTTTTATTCATGGTTTTCCCTCTAGAATAATCTGGCATTCAAATCTGAACATCTATTTCTTAGTCGAATTTCATGTTAAAATCTTACCCCAAGGTTCGTGTATAGACATGGGTCCAAACTTCCCATGCCTATAACTCGGTCAAATCTCATCCGATTTTTGCGAGGTTTGGCTTTTTATTCATGGTTTTCCCTCTAGAATAATCTGGCATTCAAATCTGAACACATATTTTGTAGTCGAATTTCATGTCAAAATCTTACCCAAGATTCGTATATAGACATGGGTCCAAACTTCCCATGCCTATAACTCGGTCAAATCTCATCCGATTTTTGCGAGGTTTGGCTTTTTATTCATGGTTTTCCCTCTAGAATAATCTGGCATTCAAATCTGAACACATATTTTGTAGTCGAATTTCATGTCAAAATCTTACCCAAGATTCGTATATAGACATGGGTCCAAACTTCCCATTCCCATAACTCGGTCAAATCTCATCCGATTTTTGCGAGGTTTGGCTTTTTATTCATGGTTTTCCCTCTAGAATAATCTGGCATTCAAATCTGAACACATATTTTTTAGTCGAATTTCATGTCAAAATCTTACCCCAAGATTCGTATATAGACATGGGTCCAAACTTCCCATTCCCATAACTCGGTCAAATCTCATCCGATTTTTACGAGGTTGGCTTTTTATTCATGGTTTTCCCTCTAGAATAATCTGGCATTCAAATCTGAACACTATTTTTAGTCGAATTTCATGTCAAAATCTTACCCCAAGATTCGTATATAGACATGGGTCCAAACTTCCCATTCCCATAACTCGGTCAAATCTCATCCGATTTTTGCGAGGTTTGGCTTTTTATTCATGGTTTTCCCTCTAGAATAATCTGGCATTCAAATCTGAACATCTATTTTTTAGTCGAATTTCATGTCAAAATCTTACCCCAAGATTCGTATATAGACATGGGTCCAAACTTCCCATTCCCATAACTCGGTCAAATCTCATCCGATTTTTGCGAGATTTGGCTTTTTATTCATGGTTTTTCCCCTCTAAACATGGAATCTGACCCCAGATTCGTATATAGACATGGGTCCAAACTTCCCATGCCATAACTCGGTCAAATCTCATCCGATTTTTGCGAGGTTTGGCTTTTTATTCGTGGTTTTCCCTCTAGAATAATCTGGCATTCAAATCTGAACACATATTTTTTAGTCGAATTTCATGTCAAAATCTTACCCCAAGATTCGTATATAGACATGGGTCCAAACTTCCCATGCCTATAACTCGGTCAAATCTCATCCGATTTTTGCGAGGTTTGGCTTTTTATTCGTGGTTTTCCCTCTAGAATAATCTGGCATTCAAATCTGAACACATATTTTTTAGTCGAATTTCATGTCAAAATCTTACCCCAAGATTCGTATATAGACATGGGTCCAAACTTCCCATGCCCATAACTCGGTCAAATCTCATCCGATTTTTGCGAGGTTTGGCTTTTTATTCATGGTTTTCCCTCTAGAATAATCTGGCATTCAAATCTGAACACTATTTTTTAGTCGAATTTCATGTCAAAATCTTACCCCAAGATTCGTATATAGACATGGGTCCAAACTTCCCATTCCCATAACTCGGTCAAATCTCATCCGATTTTACGAGGTATGGCTTTTTATTCATGGTTTGAATCTGTTCAAATCTCATCCCGATTCGTATTAGACGAGGTTTGGCTTTTTATTCATGTTTTCCCTCTAGAATAATCTGGCATTCAAATCTGAACACTATTTTTTAGTCGAATTTCATGTCAAAATCTTACCCCAAGATTCGTATATAGACATGGGTCCAAACTTCCCATGCCTATAACTCGGTCAAATCTCATCCGATTTTTGCGAGGTTTGGCTTTTTATTCGTGGTTTTCCCTCTAGAATAATCTGGCATTCAAATCTGAACACTATTTTTTAGTCGAATTTCATGTCAAAATCTTACCCCAAGATTCGTATATAGACATGGGTCCAAACTTCCCATGCCTATAACTCGGTCAAATCTCATCCGATTTTTGCGAGGTTTGGCTTTTTATTCATGGTTTTCCCTCTAGAATAATCTGGCATTCAAATCTGAACATCTATTTCTTAGTCGAATTTCATGTTAAAATCTTACCCCAAGATTCGTATATAGACATGGGTCCAAACTTCCCATTCCCATAACTCGGTCAAATCTCATCCGACTTTTGCGAGATTTTTTTCCCTCTAGAATAATCTGGCATTCAAATCTGAACATCTATTTTTTAGTCGAATTTCATGTCAAAATCTTACCCCAAGATTCGTATATAGACATGGGTCTAAACTTCCCATTCCCATAACTCGGTCAAATCTCATCCGATTTGTACGAGGTATGGCTTTTTATTCATGGTTTTCCCTCTAGAATAATCTGGCATTCAAATCCGAACACATATTTTTTAGTCGAATTTCATGTTAAAATCTTACCCCAAGATTCGTATATAGACATGGGTCCAAACTTCCCATGCCTATAACTCGGTCAAATCTCATCCGATTTTTACGAGGTTTGGCCCTTTATTCATGGCCTTCCCTCTAGAATAATCTGGCATTTAAATCTGAATACCTATTTTTTAGTCGAATTTCATGTCATAATCTTACCCCAAGATTCGTATATAGACATGGGTCTAAAACTCCCATTCCTATAACTCGGTCAAATCTCATCCGATTTTTGCGGGGTTTGGCTGTTTATTCATGGTTTTCCCTCTAAAATAATCTGGCATTCAAATCTGAACACATATATATTAGTCGAATTTCATGTCAAAATCTTACCCCAAGATTCGTATATAGACATGGGTCCAAACTTCCCATGCCTATAACTCGGTCAAATCTCATCCGATTTTTGCGAGGTTTGGCTTTTTATTCATGTTTTTCCCTCTAGAATAATCTGGCATTCAAATATGAACACATATTTTTTAGTCGAATTTCATGTCAAAATCTTACCCCAAAATTCGTATATAGACATGGGTCCAAACTTCCCATTCCCATAACTCGGTCAAATCTCACCCGATTTTTACGAGGCTTGGCTTTTTATAAATGGTTTTCCCTCTAGAATAATCTTGCATTCAAATCTGACAACAAAATTTTTGGTCGAATTTCATGTCAACATATTACCCCAAGATTCGTATATAGACATGGGTCCAAACTTCCCATGCCTATAACTCGGTCAAATCTCATCCGACTTTTGCGAGGTTTGGTTTTTTATTCGTGGTTTTCCCTCTAGAATAATCTGGCATTCAAATCTGAACACATATTTTTTAGTCGAATTTCATGTCAAAATCTTACCCCAAGATTCGTATATAGACATGGGTCCAAACTTCCCATTCCCATAACTCGGTCAAATCTCATCCGATTTTTGCGGGGTTTGGCTGTTTATTCATGGTTTTCCCTCTAAAATAATCTGGCATTCAAATCTGAACACATATATTTTAGTCGAATTTCATGTCAAAATCTTACCCCAAGATTCGTATATAGACATGGGTCCAAACTTCCCATTCCCATAACTCGGTCAAATCTCATCCGATTTTTGCGAGGTTATTCATGGTGTTTCCTCTAGAATAATCTGGCATTCAAATCTGAACACATATGTATATTTGCGTCGAATTTCATGACAATTTCTTATTCTTATCTTTATTCACAAAAAACAAGAGGTAATTAAAATAAATTTACATGTTTAACTTTATACTTGGTCAAAAGCCATTTCGATACCTTTCTTGGTTCTAAATGAATTTGACTCAACTTTACTGTTTTACATGCGGCAGTACTTAACTAAATTCGACTTTTCGCTACCTCACTAATTGCAGTCAATCGCTATGATAAACATTTACCTGCAGCTTCAATCTATCGCCAATCTAACAATCAGCGGCCTGGGAGCTATTGTTCATTGTTCACATTATATTTTTTTTTCCTAGGTGAAGCGTCGACACAATTATATCACACGACTTTGTTATTGTTGTTATTATTATTGACGTGGTTGCTGACCCAGACACATCGGGAAGGACGTGTGCGCGCTTTCCTTTCCTTTCCTTGTGCCGTGTATCCTTGGATGCCGTCTGTTTGTAACGCATATAACGAGCGCAATTTAACAATTCCTTGTCGACAATTAACATGTAAACACCCAATACTGGTGGGCCGTTTGTCCTTACTTTTTGCCGTTTGATCAAAATATATTATTTTGTTTTGTTTTTGGTCCTAGTATAATTTAATTTTTTGGTTTTTCCGTTTAGTCAAAATTTTGTCGACCCTAGTTTAATTTGATTTTTTGTTTCCGTTTTATATTTAATTTTGTCGACGGTATAATTTTGTTTTTTTGTTTCCTCCTTTTTTCTGTTTAATCAAAATATATTAATTTTGTCGACGGTAGTATAATTTAATTTTCGGTTTTTTTCCTTTTAATCGGGATATATTTATTTTGCTGCGTGGGATTTTAAAATACCTGGTTCCTATTCTTCTCTCGTACTACTCGCTGTGCGTTTGTCGATATTGACATGCCGATTGTCTGCCACTGCCCACTTTTCCGATTCATACATAACAAAGACCCATTTTATTCTTGAGTTTGGCTCCTGTCTGGTGCCCACAATATTCAATATATCAAGACATAATTAATTCTTTTGAAAAACTTTTATGATTTTTCTTCCGTTCACCTGGGATCCTGGTGTTCTGCTTCTATTTTTTAATTTTCCAGTCTACCCCTGATATTGAATATACCTTTAAATCATATAATTATTTTTGGCGTAAAATTTGCTCGTAATTAAAAACTACCCAATTAGAGGGCATAACATGTACAGCTTAAGGAAAGAGTATCATTTGCCATGAGCAAGGGAATTGAAATAAAACTTGTCATTAACTCAATACCAGCTACCGAATATGTAGATTCGATCTTTGAATATTTGGTAGACACAGACCAACCAAATTGCAGAATTTCGCTTTGGCCATTTACGGTGTATACGTGATATTTGAAATGCATCTACCGCAGCACGTTTATCGCTTGGCTTATCGCACTCCGATTATCTGGTACGCTCCGCTTCTGCAGTGCTCGACAATAGTTAGTATGCCAGATCAGAGATTATTTTTATCACAGCTCTGATAAGTTTATCTTATTCATGGTCGCAAGTCTTTATAACTTTTGTTGAGATTAGATAACCGTTGTGCTTGTGCCGCCGTCTGATTTGTAAATCAAAACTTGTTTTGGTCTATATTTATATTTTTCTTTGTTCGCTTTGCATTGTAAATTGTTATACGCACACAGTCGAATCTGTCGCATGCCCAATTTTAATTTTTGTGTCTCTCTATAAAGTGCATAGTTCTGTGTGTGGGGTGTTATCTGTGTCATTTGTTTACTTTCATGTTATTTATTGTTGTTTTTGTATAGTTGTGAGTACGCAGTCTATTGTCTTTGCGATAATTTTGTCATAAACAAAATACACAACTCACACACAACCGACATTTCTGCTTCTACCCACAATTCGAAGAGCCAATTTCTTGAATGCTAACTATTTTATATATAGTAATAAGCTCGTGTAACTTCGGTTAGAAGAATTTATCTTATCTCTTATATTGGAAAACAGTCGTAAATTTTTACTTGCGACTTCCCCCAACCCCTTAAAAATACTGATGATGTCTTTTGGTATATTTGAATTCTTCAAAATTGCTCGATAATCTAAATCTATGCACCCTCTCAACCGGGAATTTTTACTATTTGAAAGCTTTTTCACATTGGCAATCGCTGTAGCGCACTCCAAAACTCGCATGGGCCCTATCAGATATCAGTGGAAGCACTAAAAAACAGCAAATAGCCTCTCTCTCTCTCTCTCACCTTGTCTCATTCTCTCTTTCTTTCCATTCATATCTCTCAGTAGCTAAATTATTTCCACCCTTACAGCTGGCAACGCCTTCCTTAAAAGTCTTCGAATTGGTGGGCTTATTTTGCTGTTAAACGTTGCCGGACTTTCTTTGAGAGCTGCTGACCCATCAATAGAAACTGCATTTGATCACAAACAACAATAGATATAGCATTATTTTATTCTGAAAGCAAATAAGTCGTAGCAGAAAGTGAAAAGCGTTGCGAAAGTCAAAGCAGATGACAAAAATGGCACGGGTAAAAAGACGATTTTTTCATTTGAGGCGCGATACTCCGTGCTATCAGACGACAATTAGTCATAGTCCAAAACGATATACTGAATAATTTCTAGCGTTATCTAATTTTCTGCTATTCTTTTGCTACCTTTATTTTTTGTTTTTTTTAGACCCGATATGGAGAAGCCCATGCAGCATGCGCCCGCTCCCGCTCCCGTTGGGAAAGTCTCTCAAATTGCCAACATCTTCCAGCGGAAACCCATTGAAATTCAGCCGGTCGAGCAGCTTAGCGCCGTGGCCGCAGCTCACGCAGCAGCCGCCGCCGCCGCAGCTGCAGCTCATCCTCCAGTGCGCACCGAATCCCATTCGGCTAGATTTAACAACGCACGAGCACTCTTTGAAAAACTGGGAGTCGAGTCCAATGTATCGAATGTGAGCGCACGTCTAATGCGCAGCGGTTCACGTGAGGATAACCTGTACGAAGGCTCCGATCGCTCCTCATCGCGCTCCTCGGATCGCTCGCAGTCTCCGCCGAAGCGGCGTATGCCCTTCCCGTCCGGCGCATCCCTCACTCAGAGTAACAACGGCGATCGTCTCAACAATACCAAATTTATCGTGGATCCAACGGCAGCTGCCAAATATCCACAGCACAATTTATCACGGCTGAAGCTGGAAGAGTTGAACCAAGTTGCAGCATCGCCGCCTCCATCGAGCGGTTCGGTCAGTGCGCTTTTTGCCGGTGGCGGCGACAAGCCGGAGAAACCCGAGCGCAAATTCAATTCTCGCGAGCTTATTGAGAAGCAAAAGAAGTGGACTTCGCACTTCACCAAGACAAAGACAACACGTACTCATAGCGATCTCAATCGTTGTGATATCATACGCACCGTGCCCGGCACAGGCCTCATTATGGATGGCGAGAAGACGCCAAAAACGATGCCGCCTGTACCCGTGACGGCGAGCCCGGCGGCCATTCCTCCTCCCCCTACGGCTATTCCACCAGAGATAAAGCCGCGAAGTGGCAAAATTGGCAGTCCTGTGAAATCGCCTCCCTTGCCGCCCATTCCAGCCATTAAGCCAAAGAATCTTAGTCCCGTGAAATTCAATACGGACCACGTGCGTTCGCCAACCAAATGCGCTGAGGCGACGGCGCCACCACCACCACCAGCCAAATCCGCAGCCGTCACGGCGGCCATGCAACGCTCAGCGCTGTTGCAACAGGAGCAGCAGCAGCAGCAGCAAATAACTGCCCCTGTGCCGCCTGAGAAGCCACGCAAAAAGTCCATCGATATTGTCGACGATGCAGCGCCTACCACTTGCTCCTCGCCCGCGTCCTGCGCCTCGCCCACCATGATGCAGGCAACCAAGCGAGGTTCTATCGATGCGGCTGTCCCTGAAGCATCATTTACAGGCAATAGCAATGGCCTTAGTGGAAGCACCAATTCAGCAACATCTGGCTCGCCGGTGGCCAGCGCATCATCGGGACCATCCTCACCCGTGCATACTGAGGATGAAAAACAAGAGAATGAGTCCACAGAGAAGTCTGATACTGAGGCTTATCCCAACAGCTACAATAGTGTGCCACGACGACGACGACGGAGTGAAAACGAGGGTAAGTTAAACTTTTTTTTAAAGGACCTTCAGAGGCCGGTATATTATTATAAAAGCATGTAAAATCCCAGGGCAGACATTTCCAGCCTCATAATGGATATTTCATAAATCCATTTTTACTGGCTCAGTCTCTATTCTTTCTATTGATTTTTTCACCTCTGACTAGCTATCTTCCTTTTTATACCCTGTACCCACAAATGAGCAAAAAGGTATATTGATTTTGTTCAAACGAAGGTAACAGGCAGATGGAGACGTGTGCCCATGACCCCATAATGTGTATTATTCTTTAGGACGACAACCGGATTTGATTTGGCTATGTCCGTCTATATGTATTATATAATATCCCATACGCAAAACGAGCTTTTCATTTTTTTTTTGGCGATATCTCGTCTGATTTGTAAAATATCGATAACAGTCGATAAACTATAAGATCTAGGTACACCAGATGTTTATGCTCTATATAGATTATATATACAGATTAACAGCATTTCCCTTTCACTATATATTCTTACCATATATCTACAGATTTTTAATTGTTTTCTGATGGAATGCTAAAAAATGTCAAAGAGCTTCTTGTTTTTGCTCTTTCACTCTAAATCATTATAAAATAACAGGGTATTTGGTAGTCGAGACGTCTTGAGCAGTTTTCTTTATGTGGTAGTTAGTTGATTCAGTGAAATAATTCCTAAAATGAATGTACGCCAGAATACACTGTGTTCTCCAACTTTTAACTATGTACAACTAGCGCACTTTGTGTCCCTGGGTTCAAGCACCTTAGCTGACATGTTTTGGATGTGTGTGGGTGTGTGAGTGTGCGTGTGTGTGTGTTGTAAACCCCTAGGCATATACGAGACACAGAGTTCGAAGCAGGTCGACGTTAGGTTCTGCGCACATTGCTCGCTGTTTTGCTGCCCTTCTATGCCCATTCCATCGTTTATTATAGCATTTCTTTTTTTTAAACTGCACACAATTCGTGACTTCAAATGCCCCCCTCCTCCTCACCTCTCCTCCGCCCTGTTCAAGTTGCTGCAGTTTGTTTTGCTTGGCTCTCAGAGAGGCGCACATTCCAATATGGGTCAAATACACCAGGCATATCAAATGCAGCCCCCATGGCGCAAGTAGCAACAACAGCATTCCAAGCTTTGTGTCTGTCCGTCCATCCTCCTCCTCCTCTCGTTGCCAGAGTCTTCACAGCAATCTGTTGTCGACCATCTCCAAGCGACGAAGACGGCGACGTTGCGGATTTTGTTGGGATTCTCTTGGCCAGCAATCTGCTCTAACGTCTCGCCTCACCGTCCTCCCGTCGCTCCTCCGTTGAGGCTCTATACATAAAATTGTATTAATGCCAGATTAAGAATTCAGAGATGCGTTGCTCTTCTTGCCTCCTTTTTGTGCCTTCTGCTTCGTTTTTTCTACTGCTGCTGATTACAAAATTGAAACTTGCACGCTGCGCTTCCGCCTGATATTTTCTGCTGGACTCCGACTTGCGCGAGCTGCCTCGAGGAATGAGTGAGGCAGGAGCGGGCGGGCGAGCGGTGAGGAGAAATCAAATGGACTGCCAGGCCAAGCCTGTTACTTATTAATTCATAATTCTTTAGTGCTCTGTGCTCTGCTGTGGGCGTGGCCTTACCTTGATTATCGATCACGTTGTTGCTGTTAAGACAATGCCACATTTTGAATGCAAAGCCAGAGTCATTATCACTTGAATTGACGGAGGGCAAACCTACCCTGTCTTAATCTTGAAATATTTGAATCAAGTTGTGATTTTCGTTTTCGAAATGTATGAAATTAATTGAAATACATCAATAGCTTGGTATGTGTAGGTTCGCAAATACCATACGCACATGATGTTTATTTTAGTGTTGTGATAACTAAAATAAATCAATTTCTAACTCCATTTTTAGGTTCAAAAGTCTAAGTATAGTCCGTTTGTAACTGCGTACAGGTTGTTTTAATAATTTTTGCTTATATTTTGGCAACGACATATTATAATAACACATCCAAAATCACTTCAATTATAAATAAGCAAAAGTGGGGGACATTAAAAGAAGCCCACATGAATGGGAGAATACTACTAGACACAGGGGACGGTTATGGGAAGGTCTGGAACACTATGAATGGGTCTAGGCAGTCACACGAGTTTATAAATAAAATGGACAGCACTACTTGAGCGCCAGAATGAGTAGCACAGAGCCTAAGGCGGGCATAAGTGTGCCGATCTCTAGAACACTAAGACCAGCGCCAGCCCTCCACATGTAGTACATATATTCGAAGGTATATTGTGTCTGCCAAAATGTTTCTATGTACTGCTCCACTTTATGCTTTGTATATAGACACTCATATAATCAAACAGGCAAATAATCGACATCTCTGTACATAAAACTGGGAAGGTTATCGTTGAAACACTTTTATTGAATTCACGTAAAAATGGTACCCTCAAATATCCTATTTAGACATAGGTCGACATTTTCTACCCCCATAAATCGGTCAAGTCGCATCCCGCGTGGAAAACGCGAGGAACTATGTGGATCCTAGACACGGTCGAACTGAACGCGATGAAGTTGGAACGCTTTAACTTTGAGAGTGATTGTGAAAGTGGCTAAGTGGAATCGGAATCTGGGGATTTCCGAGCTTTTAGCGCCATCTGTGCTAAAGCTTTCGTGTGGGGTAGGCGCTTAGTTGGCGCAGCAACCAGTTGAGAGCTTTCGCCGTTTGCCGCTAGATGGCAGCAGCTGGTGCTTTCAATGGCCTCGCAGAGGGTATTATTATTTGTCGCGCACTCGATTCGATCAAGTCTTAATTGAGAAGTTATTCAAGAACACATCTATTATTACTACTGCAGAACTTAATACTAGGTATATTATAGTATTCCTGCATGTTCCTTACGCATGTGCTTTTGTATTATTTATTGTATACCCCTTGAGTTCAATGCCCTCCCAGTGCGTGGGTTTGTGACAGCCACTTTTATTATTTCCCGCTGCCGTAGCTACCGTGTCGCTAATTTTGTTCTTGCACAAAATTTTCCGTAAAATGTTGGCTTTGGTCAATTCTGTATGGGAATGTAGTTCTTTTTAGCTTTGTCATGGCTTCGATGACGTTTAGAATTATAATATCAATCACGGTAATTTTACCAACTAAATTAATAAACAATTACAAATATTCTAAATAAGTGTAATCTTGTATTAGTTCTAGAAACATAATACAGATAGTAGATTCTAAGAACATTTCTGGCCTTTTCCAACAGACGCTGCTTGTGCAATCTGGCAGTTTGACAAGTGACAACCTTTCGGCCTCAGAGTCTAATTCGCTAGAGAAATGTGTAAGGGATAAGTTTCCCCCACATGGGTCACCCTGTGAAACGGAACTTGGTGCTAGCTGTGCTATTTGTCTGACAGGCCACCAGCAATGGGCAATTTGCCAAAAAGTGCGAACGAAGAGCGCGAAAATGAGCAGGAGAGAGACAGAGACAGGGAGAGGGAGAGACAGAGACAGAGACTGCGTGATAGAGAGAATACGAATCTTGCGCTCTTTTTAGCAGCTGTAGCCGATCAAAAATTCTTTCAATCTTACAAAATTTTGCGCTTGATCTTTTAGTTAATGTCGCGTTTCCGTAGCGTCTCCATTGATAAAGCGTCAATAATTATTTTGTTTAATTCGGGCAACATTATTCGACGCTACGTGCAAGTTTTAATTGCCTCAACTCACATTATATATTTAACTAAGGCCAAACAAACAAAATATCAAAAACACTGGAATTTTTTTAGATTCTACGGAACTTTGATAAATGGAGTGAAAGCTTTGCGCGTTTTCGAATCGTTGCCAGTACCATGACAAATACGATTAATCGCAAACATTATCTTAATCATGCGCATGTTGTCAAGGCGTGATTGAATATAAACATTATTACAAAACATATTTTTTTATGTCATTAAGTTTTCTAAATCCAAAAAAGAAGCTTTCGTTCGTCTGCAGCTTGATTTGCATCTAAATCATTATAGCCGTAATAAGATTTCAACTTAAATTCGATTTTAAGTTATACCTGGAGGGCGACGAGGTCCGTCGAATCGGATCGCTATAACTTAGTTTCCATGGTGGTGATCGTCCAAAAATACATATACCTAGACTACCGAAATATTGTTTACTTAGAGCTTAGTGGGGCATAATTTGCCATCAGCATTTTGTTAAACAAAGGCTTCGACAAGTACGGAGAGAAACTTATTTTTCTCTGTACTTTTGTATATTGCAACATAGCAACAAGCACAAAAATAACAACATACAACCGAAACAATGAAGACAATTTTCTATGCATACAATTTTAGAAACTCATTCTAAATTTGTCTGACGACTGAAAAAACAAAATATATTCGGTCAACGGGAGGGATTTGTTCACGATTGTTTAATGGCTGAACTCGTTATCTCTCAATATTAACCCATTCTATCTGTCTATCTGTCTGTGGTCTTGAATTTTTCTAGTCAGTTAAATAATTTTTAAACGATTTCGATGGTTGTGTTTAATACAAATTATTTTTGGCAAGGCCCAATATTATTTTAATGATTCTTAATCGTTAATCAATGTTTTGTTAGGATTGTTGTACAACAAACCAAAAAAGAAAAGAGCACAACAGAAATGTTATTTTTTGTTTAGATTTTCAACATTGACCTTGTATCAAGTTTATTTTCTTGAACAGAAACGAATTTACTCTGTCGTATTGGTGTTACCCTCAAAGCGATGTGCATTCAAATTCGACCTCATTACGTTTTTTATTGGCACGCACTCGACCTGCTTTCCCTTGTGACATTAGGAATTCTTGCTTGTCTAATTGGCGTTAAGTATACGCAAGGGATATTTTCACGGGCATAGTTTTAAAACGTGCAAATAAAAACATATTTTGATTTCATTACCGAATCTCGTAAATATTCCATTGTTGTAGGGCTACAAAAAATGTGCAATCAAATTGTAACAGACCTTTAATCGCGTCGTGCATCAACTTGAAATAAGTGCAAAAGAAAATGTGTCTCAGCCTGCGCAACTTGTTCAAAGTCTGTCGAGGTTAGTAAAGAAATAATAAACCTATAACCTGTATATGTAAAATACTAAAAATGTATTCAAACTACTTTTATCTTTGTCAGTTAAATTTTCAGCTAACTATAGCTATTCGGTGTAACTAAATTAATAGCTTAGTTAGTGCTGTTTGCATCTCTTGGGACCGTTTGCATATTGTTGACCTAGCTCATTAGGGATGTTAAATAATTTTTATTTTGTTTATTTCCGTCGGCTTTTATGAATTCATTATTGTTATACCCTTAAAAAGGGTATTATAATCTTATCAAAAAAGGTGTAAGTCATCAAAGGAGGCAACCCAGACTCATTTAAAGATATATACTTGTATTTAATTATTATCAGGTAAAGTTTTAGTATTTCGCAGAATTTGAGAAATACTAATTAACATCGGACTACTTTATCATATAGTTGAAATAGAAAAAATTAATAAGCATAAAAAAAATTTATAATCAAAGTATTTTCTACGAAGGGATATAAGTATTATATATATATATATATATATGTGTGTGTGTTTGTTAGTGTATTCATGCATGTATGTATGTATGCATTCATGTATATACTATTTATGCATGCATGTTTGCTTTCCAAAAACCAAACGCAGACCAAGCTTATTTGACGCTGTGCAGCAAATTTAAATAAAACGAATTTCTGCCAAGTGCTCTCCTCCTCGATTCTCAAGAATTCAATTAGGCTCTGCAGTTGTTCATGCTTCGTATTTTTTTTATGTATGTATGTATGTATGTATGTATGTATGTATGTATGTATGTATGTATGTATGTATGTATGTATGTATGTAAGTATGTATGTAAGTATGTAAGTATGTATGTATGTATGTATGTATGTATGTATGTATGATATGTATTTATGTATGTATGTATGAATGTATTTATGTATGTATGGATGTATGGATGTATGTATGTATGTATTTATGTTCGTATGTATTTATGTATGTATGTAAGTATGTATGTGTGTATCTATGTATGTATGTATTTATTTTCCACACATGCGAGTGGCATTTTTCGAGCCCCATCTTAACATGCACCTTCATCACATAAGGTGACTACAGTGCAATTTTCAGTTTTTAGCTCTAACGGATTAGGCTGTGTGTTGATCACCAATCAGTCAGTCAGGGCAAACAGTTTTCTATAAAGATATAATATATAATATTTATATATAATTTCTTTGCTAAGTCACGACTTTTTTCATACTATAGAACATTTGTCTATAAGGGTATCTAATAGTTGACATCCTGAATATAAACGTTCTTTCGTGTTTTTAATTAAAACAACACGCATGTTTATTTGACGTTAAGCTAGGTGTTCAAAGCAGATCCGTTGTTAGCCTGCTCAAATGAAGTTAGTCAGTCAGCATTGGCAAAATGTGGGCTCTACTTGGTATTCTGGTCGGATTGTCTAACAGCACAACCACAACTACAACTACTTTGGATCTGTCAGATATTAGCTGCCGGATCGCCACAACGGAATCCGCTCAAACCACCTACATATATCGCTGTTTTAGCTGCCCCGCAGCTAATTCGGTTACTTACCAGACTTTGGAACAGAAGCTGTATCGTTGTGTGGCTTCGCAGTTGCCCAGCTGTATGCGCAGCATAGAAGCTCACGAGATCGAGCCAATTCGTCAGACAAGTAGCATGAGTATTTTTCACATACCCGCCGGTGACGCTGGACAGCCTTTGGTGCGCCGAATCTTGGACATGCTGAATCCTCAACAGACGCGGCGACATTTCCATAAATATCTGTTCGTGTGGCCAGAAGCTAGTGAGCAACAGCTAAGGCAACTGTTTGAGGAATGTTGGCGAAAGCAATTGCTCTTCGCTTTGGCAATAACCCAACCGGAGAATATTTACGATTTCCAGCCTTTTGGTGACGAAGGACTGCAACTGAAAAAGGTATCCAGTGATGTCAACTACTACATTGACAAGTTGAGGAATTTGCATGGCCATGAGCTCCGGTTTTCTATGTTCACTCATCCGCTGCGGGCCCAGCCGCTTACGCCTGTGGAGAGCGCAGGCTTTGAAGCTATTGATGGGTCCGTTGCGCGACTTTTGGCCAAAAAACTAAATGCCACAGCTCGCTATGTGGTGCCGCGAGATGGTGAAGCCTATGGACGTTGCCTGGACAATGGCAGTTTCACGGGCGTCGTGCAGGACTTGGTAAATGGCGAAACGCATATTGCACTCAATATACGCTTTGTTTTGGAATGCATGATGCCGTTCCTAGAATCGCTATATCCATACACTCGAACCATTCTCTGCTTAGTGGTTCCGGCGGCAGGACTGCAGCCGGAATATCGTATCTTTGTGACCGCTTTTCGGAATTCCGTTTGGCACCTGCTACTGGCCAATTTCTTGATTGCCTTTGTGCTTTTCGTCCTGTTACAGTTGGTGCTATGTCGCATTGTCGGAGATGCAAGTTCCCACTGGTACGATGTTTTTGAAATGCTCTTCAAGACGCATTTGGGCCAACCCGTCGATCGTTTCTCGCCAATTAGCTCGCTACGCGCATTTCTCATTGGATGGATTCTATTCAGCTATGTGTTGACTTCTTTATACTTTGCCAAGCTGGAGAGCAGCTTTGTCCGGCCAAGCTATCAGCCAGAGATAGATATGCTCGATGAGTTCTCACCAGTTGGTCTGCGTGTACACGGAATAGATACCATGTTTGAGGCTGTCAACTTATCACTTTCGGAGCGACATTATCGTCTGCTTACAGCCAATCACCGAGTGCATCCTCTTCAGGAGAGTGAACAGTTCTTTGAGCTGTTAATCAGCCGTCGTTATAAAAAAGATGTCTTTATTATGCGTGCTGATAAAGCTAAAGAATTCCTTGCACTCACCTTCAATGCAGAGGCGGAACGTCCCGCCTACCACATTGTCAAGCAATATCTGAGATCTATGCCGAGCACCTATGTCCTGCCGCTGGGCTCACCATTTCTATACAAGTTTCAGCAAATATTAAGTAATTTATATGAGCACGGTTTTTTCGAGTACTGGTTGCGCATGGATGATGTGCACCGGAGTCGTACCTCTCAATCCGATGAGTTTTTTGAGGATCTTGGCGAGCAGACCGAACTAGAAGCAGATGAGGATGCTGCAGATCCCGAAGAGTGGCGCCAAAAACGAGTCGTTCTCACTTTGGACATTCTACAGGGCGCATTTTATTTGTGGACCATTGGCATTATTGTGAGCATAGTTGGCTTTCTACTGGAGCAGGGCTATTTCCACTGGCACCGCTTGCACCTTAGTTAATTGTAACTTCGAATCATAACAATTAAATCATTAAAAATAATTTAGCTGCTAGCATTACATTGATATATGTATTACTAAGTGTATTAAGAAGTGTGTTATATTATTTCCCTTTTGAAAACCCTTTGCATTTATTATCATTTAAATAGAAAGAGAATTGACAGAAATTTGGAAACTTTGCCCGAAATTAAACAACAAAATTGAAACCCGCTGTGTACACAACTAAAGGGATTTCATTCCTTAACAAACTTCTCATATCAATTGGTTTGGTTGTAGTTGTAGCTTGGTCTTCTCAAAATGGCCACAGGCTACAGTTCAACGCAATTGCAGACATCTCATAGCGATGAAAGGATCAAGGCGAACGTTCGTCGAGGCAATCAGTCCAGGTCGCCCAATGATGAGAGAAACAGCCAGACGAGTCTTAGGCGAAACACAAGGCTGCAATCTCAGAATCGCTTTTGTCTTCAATATAGCGATGATGATTCGTTTGAAACTGTCGAAGAGTTGCTGAACACAGACTTCCGGTTGATTCTGGCTGTCACTCCCAAGCCTGAGGAGATATTTTGTCCAAAGTCCTCCGATTACCAGCTGGCCATGCATTGGTACAGGAAACTAAGCACCTGGAAGTGCGAGACATTGAACGAGCTGCGCTTACGCCAGGTTTACATGAGTCACCTCAGCGTTTGTTTTAATCAAAAGCGTCTACGCGGCATATTTATGCAAATACCGCCGAATGAACTAATTATGGTGGACTTTATGGAAAAGAGCGAATCTTTGCCATGTTGCACGTCCACGTCAATGATGAACACCAGCGCCTGGCAGGCCATGGCCACCATGATGCAGCAGCAGCAGCAACCGGAAAGAGCAGCAGGAAGTTGCTGCAAAGCTAATGAATCCCATGGAATGTCTCGCTCTGCTGGTGGCAGCAACAAGCGCAGGTGCACACTTCGACCCCCCGCACACAAGATCACCTGCAAATCGAGGCCCAAACTAGTGCCTAGGTATTTTGCTGAGGCAAAGGATTTATATTCCAGCAGCACCTCAAGTGTATCATCGTCACGTGAGAACAAAAGTCAGCACGGTTCTGGCACCTTTGGGTACAACATGCGTCACCGTCGCCCGATCGATGAGCAGGCACGCAAGGATATGAACTATCTGTTGGAAACGATCAAAAGTGAACTACGCGGCCAGGAGAACCAGAACACAGATGAGTACCTCGAATTGGAACTGAGGCGCTATCGTGATTTTTATGCACGCCATAGGCACACGGATCCCGAATTTAAGGTCAATGTGGCTGCGGGTCCGGAAAAAGAGCGTATCTTTATGCTTCTGAATATGCAAAACGATTTGGTCAAATTGTTGTCTGACTGAAAAGCTATAACCCAATTGTTCTATTTTGTATGTTTTGTAACAGACAAAAATAAACTTGGTCATGAAGTTTAAAGTTGTTACTTTTAATGTTTTAATTCACTTTATGAACTTGTTTTATTGACAGAATTTGTTTTTATATTGAGAAATAATAGTTATAAATTGAATAGTTAAAAAATTGAAATATTTCAATAACAGCGTATTAATTCCTTTGCATTACAGGTCAAAAATCTGTGGACGAAACATCAATCCAGCAGCAGGAACATCAATATTCAAGCTCCAACTCCATCAACAACTCCCCGCAGCGTGTGCCCCACAAGCGGAGCAGCATCACGGTAAATATGCCTGCGGCCGGACTGGGTCAGCGACCGCCTAGCATCATTTCGACGGCCAGCCAGGACGAGGGTCCTGTGCTGAGTGCGAGTGAGACAGCGTCCGAGCGGAAGATCAAGCTACAGTCACCAGCATGTGATGCCACTCCGCCGGAGCAGCTCAACAACAGTCTCAACTATGTGGATGTCGGCTATCGCCTCAATCCCGATGGCAGCGAGTCACGCGATGTCTACAGCAGCGAAGCGGATCTCTATGTTACGGCCAAGGTGAGCGACATGCAGCGTAAGTTTCACGGCGCCAACGGCTTCTCCCACGAGTCGAGCACAGTGTATGCGATAATTGTGCCAGAGCAGCAAGAGCCACAGATTGGGACATCCTCACGTGTTCTGCTGCAGTCTCCCACATCAAGTCTCGATGGATCGCCGCTATATCGTGGCGCCTTCAATTCGCCGCCCGTGGGCGTGGTTTCGCCTATAAGGCGCCGCAACAATGGACAGCAAAGTGAACAGAATGGCGGAGGGAGCGAAACATGCAGCACTAAATCCACTCCCCCAATGTCGCCAGCTCGTGCCGGGCTAATCAAGGGTATTGCGCCCATTGCGTCCATAGATCCTCATGAGGCGGAACTCAACCTGGAGGAGGAGGAGGAGGAAGAAGAGGACGAGCAATTGGCTGTGGAATATGTCGAGGTGATGAAAGAGGTGGCGCCTGTTTTGCCTGAACGGCGTGCGCCTGCACTTGAGCTTCAAGATCTGGAGTATGCGGACACTAGCGCTGGCGAGGATGAGGAGGACATATTACAACATTTAAACACGGATGTTATCGATGAGATGAGCAAGGTGCATGTAACTTCTGCTTCTGCTCCTGCTGCTGCTTCCGCCGCGGCCATGCCACGCGATGACAGCTTACCGGATGCCATGACAGCCGCCGAGGCCGAGCGATTGTTGAGTTCAAGGTGAGATCCTCTGCGACATTCTCCAAATGCATGCTGCTCCTTATAAATGTTTCAGTTAGTAGTTATAGTGAAGCATGTGGAATGGATATCATAAATAATCGTTTTATTTAAACTTGCTTTAGTAAGGAGCACTTGTACTCCTTAAATATATATATATAGAGAGTTCCTGTTGCTTAAGTTGGTCTTAGGCATTTTTAGATAGCTCGCAGCCAGAGTTCAAGCAGTTAGTCGAGGCTTCTTTTGTATATCCTCTTCGTTTTGTGTTATTTTCTTTATGTAATCCTTCTTCCTGTTTTATACACTCACAACCTAGTGTAAACATTTATCTTTGCCTCCCAAGTCGGGCTTTGTTTGTCCGCCTGAGTCCATTTAAAGCATTTATAATGATGGTCACACCTCCAACCTCATCAAACTTGTAATTTGAAGCTTTTTTGTATCGTTAGTCGTTCATTCAGTCACCCTTACACAGAGTTCTAGTTTCAGTTCTGCCACCTTCCGTACACTCTCTAGAGTCTTGTGCTTGAATTGTAACCTTGGAAAAGTCCTGGCCATGTACCAATATGTTTAATGACGTCGTTTACAAAGTGCACTTTGCCTGTTTGGTTCGCAGTAAATGTTTGAACTATCCATATTTCGGAATAGTTATAAGTCTCACTCATACAGAGCTCCCAGGTGTGGCATATCTGACCCCCATATCTAGACTATCTGCTGCCCTTTCACCTGCTGCTACTGCTTAAAGTGTTAAACTGAAAGGAACAGTTTTTATACCTATTTTTCCTTTGCCTTATATCACGCAAATAACCAATTATATATATTTGTAAATTTGTACCTAAAAATGTTGCTAGTATTTATTTTTGTATGAATAAATTTCCTAGAGTTACGTACGTTACAAATATTCAACTAAGCTGGTTCCATCTGCCCTAGCACAACAATATACCCTTGTTACCCATTTTCAATGAATATGAAAATTGTCTCAACAAATCCAACTCAAGAGCACACACCGTGAGAGAAGCAGAGAGCGAGTTGAGTTCAGTTAACTCTGTGTTGGCTGTTGAATGAGTTGAGTTTCTCTTTACCCTCTCTCTCTCTCTCTCTCTCTCTGTATAGCTATGGCTCGTGCAGCGTGCAGCAAATACACAGACCCTGTTGTTGCATTTCCCAGAAAACAATCACATGGCCGCCAGAAAGCCATCCGTTCGGCTGTCGCATTGCTGCTGTTGCGGTCCTTCAGTTTTTTTTTAAATTTCTGTGGCAATCGGCATTTTCGTGTGTCAGCGTCGTTTGAATTAACATATTGTGCATGAACGAAAATGAAAAAAACCACGAAACAACGGCGTAAAATAGAAAAAAAATTAAAATAACAAAGTGAATCTTAATCGCTTCGAAATCAAGTTTAATTGAAACGCATTCGCTGCGTTTTGCAATATGCCAGCGGTCTGTTAAAATCGCAAACAAGGCACAATTAATGTGAGAATAAGCCCCATAGAAAAAAACTTTTAAATTATATTTCCTAGTTTAAGTGCACAATGTGATGGGAAATATTTGTAAATTTTTGCACAATTTCGCGGGTCTCCGGCAATTCTATCCATAGATATGCATAGATGTATTTGAGTCAAGTTACTTTTGGCATTAACTCTTTTAAAGCTGATTCGATTTAAATGCATATTGCAGGGTACAAATAGGAATAAGACTTGTTTTTTAGGTGGCACAAATCGATGTCGATTGTATTCGAATAGCGGAGGAAGCTCCAAACCAGAAGCTGTCTCTCTCGCTTTTTCTAAAATCATGAATGATTTCATACTGCAATTAGAGAGTTACATTTATACAAAATCACTCTGGCAACAGTGCCATGAACTTTAACTCTTAACATGGAATTCATAACTGGCCCGAAATATCATAAATCGTTGTCTTGATGACGTCGTCTTTAGTTTTCAGCTTCGACCATGTGTTGATAGTGTCCTTGGCCAAAAGTCACCCCACAACTGCCCTTAGCGTGAAGCCCACAGATTTATCATTTATCATTGAGCCATTTGTTCAGTGAACAGAAAAGAGAGTTATACATTGTGTTGGGCAATATGCAATATGCGTTTGTCCTTGACGAAGTTGTTGCGGGTTCCCATTCTCACTTTGAGGCCTTTTTGCTGGCCAATTTTGGACAACTTCTGAACGTAATGGGACACTTAAACTTTAGCTGCATTTCACTTCAGCAATTGCACTTACAAAATCAAAAAAGGTTCAGCTTTTTTTTATAATTATTATCAGCCGAAGTAAGATCTCTATTTTCCAAATATTCGCCTTAGTCTGAAGCATATATCAGAAAGTATTTTTTGTGTGCCATTATAATATAATATAATAGAATATAATAATAATAATAGAAGTGAAATTGCATTAATTCGTTTATTAAAGTAGAAAGAGGCATTGACTTAAGACAAATAGTTCCCCAAAAGTAGATTCGCTTCCGCTTGCCCTTTGTTTAAATTTTACTCTCTGTTTATTTGTTTATAAGCTGAAGCCACATATATTGCCTGCAACTTGATGAGAATAGATGCACTTGAATGTGTTATTTAGCTAAGCACTTCAAATTTTGCAATTTATTTATCTGCTTTCCCGAATATAAAAGTGTACAGTGGTAAAAGTTTGTAAAAGCCAACAGAAAGCAAATCCGACCTTTAAATTGTACTCTAGAGCAGCATCAGTAAATCACAGCCAATACGCATATATATAAACGATTCTTTTTATGGATTGTCTCTCCTTTGTGATCATATGTATATGTAGTTTGTTAGAGCTGTTACCAACTTCCTCTGTACTCATGCAATCTCTTCTGCTATCTCTTTGCCATTGCTTCTTCGAGTGTCGTGGCATTTATAACTTTCTTGTCAAATGACTCCTGTTGCTGCCATAAATTGTGGCACTTACAGAGGATTTGACTTTCATTCAAACAGCGTCAGCATTCACCTTGACTCACTTTATTGAGTCGTCCGAACTCAAAATAGGGCCACAAAACGGCTTTGGCAAATACAAAGACAACTCATTTAAATATATTTATATACATTAAAATATATTTTATCAATAAAAGCAGCTAAACCGGCGTACACCCTGTCCCTTGAATTGGCAAAAAAAAAAAGAATTTAATTATATTTACCACAATGACTGCGAGTCTCATTCATGACGTCATACTGTGGGGCACTCAAAATAGAGAACCCAACTTGCCAGCGACAGATTGTGAGATTGAGTGAGTGTATTCAGTGTGAGCGAGAGAGAGAGCGAGGTTGAAGGACTTGTGTTGGTTTCCCGCTATTTTTACTGCTCTTTTATGGTACGAAGCTACGTTCGTTCCCTTAGTGCTGTTGTTCTTTAAAATTAATTAAAATCGTATGACAAAACAACAAGCGTTGACCTTGTTTTACCAGAGTATATATAGCCAGACACACATACGCACAAACCTTGTTTGTTTAACTTTAAGGTGTGTCCTTATGTAAGGACTTCTCTCTTGTGGCTTTTCCTAATAAGCAATGCCGCACTCTGTTCTGCGGGCAACAAATAAAATTCAACAACAAGAAATGCACCGACAATACAACCATTAGAATTCACCCAAAGTTAACTGCGGCTTATTGCATTTGACTTTCTCGCTCTGAACATCGGAATATTAATCAAAATGCTTTTGGCTTTTCGCTTGCTATTGGGCATATTAACTATGTCAGGCACTTTAAAGAAGTCCGAAAATATACAATAGTTAATATAGTTATTGTACAACAATACGTCAAGAGTGTTTTAGCTGCTTAGATGTTTCATTATTGATTATGCTTTGTTCTTAAAGTTTATTCCAACAATTTTTGATTCGCTGTTCGCTAGAACTGTCAGGTTCGTGTTTTATTTTACTACCCAAATGAAACTTTCTACTGTTACCCTTGTCGTATGCGTTATATATTATTTTCATTACGATCTCCAGACGACGCATATGCGCTATTTGGGGAAGATTACAGAAGAGGGAAAAAAGTGTGACCTATATTACACATAAATCACAATCAGTCGTGTTTATTTCTATTTGAAGTGCATCTTCCTAGCTTTAAAATTGTAGAATTACTGTCGGATGCTTCAATCGAGAATATCCTCTTTAATGGGGAGCAGTTGTTCCTTTATTGTTTAATTGCATTTCATTGGCTGTTCGTCGGGATTTAAAGCTCCGAAATGAACGAATTTGTGAGGCTAGGCAAGGTTGATTTGGCATTCTAATTATAATTTCAAATATACCATACACGCAGCTGGACACTGGCAATTGCAAAACGCATTGTTTCGGTTCATAGAAACAAATTCAGCAGAAGCTAATTAACATTTCCCATTGGTGTTGCAGAGAAAAAGACAAATAAATCGACCGTAAATATTCAGTCAAGAGTACTCTTGACAAAAAGATACACAACATAAATAAAATAGAGAGTTAAAAGTGTAAGTTAAACAAAAGTGTCCTAATATAAAGAATATTTGAGACTGCAAAAGAGTAATAGTGCTAGGGGGGAGGGTTGGGGGTTGACGAAAAAATAGAAGGACTAACAAGTATTACAAAACTCCTGTCTTCCATGTGCACAGCTCCGTGTGTTGTTTTCTGTAGCAGCCTGTACCTCATTATCAACAACATAATCAAGCACTTACAACATGCAACAACAGCAACATGAGTACCAAATGAGGGGTTGTGTGCATGTGTGTATATATGTGTGTGTGTGTGTTTGGTAGTGTGTATATTTTAGCTGATTAGCAACAAGAGCAGACGCCAGCAACTTTTCCATTTGTTGGCAGTAATTACCAGGCACAGACAGAGAAGATCAGACACACACCCAAAGGCACACACACACACGAACACACACACCTAGAATGATAGTTGAGTTATGCTAACACGTGACGTCACGCACGTTGCGAGAGTGACGCAACACTTATCCGTTAAATGCAGCCAACAACTCGCATACGCCCATCATTCTCTTGGCCTCGTCAGGTGCAACGTGGCGTATGCGCATTAAATTCACTTCACATAAGTCCTTCACTCATACTTTGCCGCTTCGTATTGTGACTTTACTTTAACTAACTCCAAAATTTACTAAATTCTCAGCATTGCAATAGTTATATGAGGCTTTGAATTGAGCGATCAATCGGATTTGTCAGCTCACTTTCATATTTTATTAATAAGTTATTAATTTGTAGATTATCCATCAGTTTTCATCATCCTAGTTGCATGTGTATTAAATGAGTCTATTTTTTATTTAAAAAATTCATGTATTTTAATATTTAAGCGTACTTTGCTGTAATTGTAGTTTTAATTTGCCTGTACGTACATATATATTACTATTACATTTATATATAATTTTAAATTATTCTTTCCCTTTCTTTTATGTATTGATCTTGCATTTATTTCCCGTATTTGACTGTTATTGTTGCTTTTGTCCATTGTCCTACAATGTAAACTTTGCCTATGTGTATGCTATGTGTATGTTTGCGTCTCATGCCGTAGCATTTTGGAAAACAAAATCAGGTTCGTAGTGCCCAAAATGCATAACGTAACCCCTTTCAACTCTGTTCTCCAACCGTGTTATTAATGACAATCTTTAATATTGCTTTCAATTGACAGACAACAGTCGCTGCTATCTGACGAGCAGGCAAAAGAAGTTGAGCAAATACTCAACGTGTCGCCCAACGTGGGCGTGGCTGTTGCTGCCGTTGTTGCCACAGCAACATCGCCGACTACCATCAAGAATCTCATCGAGGAGTCTACAGCGGCCAAGGAATCGACAGTCCCGGCCCAAGTCTCCCAAGTTCAGCAGGACACTCAAATTTCAACTGCTCCTGTGGCTGTTGTGGAGGAGGAAGGGTCAGATGAAGAGGAGGACCAGCAGGTCGCCGAAGACTTTGATTCGGATGACGTTGAAGCTGTTAATATTGTCGGTATTGGACATGCAGAACCCACAACTGGTGCTGCGTTGAATGCGACATTCGTAAAGGCGGATAGTACAGAGACAGAGACTACCACAACAACAACGCCATCGACAGCAACAGCATCGACTACACGGCACGACGACGACGAGCCGGAGTGGCTGCGTGATGTGCTCGAGGCGCCAACGCGTAGTCTAGAGAATCTGCTAATAAACACAACGACACGACGCCAAACGGAACTTGAGAATGGCTACGAAGTCCCGGAAGCAGGGACCGAGGGAAAACATTCCGACTTAAATCAGACCTATGTGACCGGCGAGTCACTGCACGAATCAATTGTGTCCGTGGAGTCCACACAGTCGGATGCGACGTTCAATCAGACGACCACCATCGACGACAGCATCATCTCCAGCAAGCACAACTCCACATATTCGTTGGGGGGGGATATTGAGCAAGCAACTTGTTCGACTGTTTTGAGCACTGGCATAACTGAGTTGGACGATAGCCAGTATTATATACCAGAATATCCGCCAGTAAGGAGCAAGGAGGTACTTGTGGAGGCGGGCGTGCATTATTTTGAGGATGGCAATTTTTGGATGGAAGTGCCAGGTAGGTCGAGGAGGCTGGGTCTACATTTTTTTAACCGATGCACTAAGCTCGCCACTTTGAAACTTCTAAAAGGTCTGCTAGACTTTGACGACGACGACTGCTCCTATCCTCCAATCACAGTACGAAAGAATCCAAAGGTCCGCTTCAGCTCCGGCCCCATACACGTATATTCGACATTCTCTGTGACAGACTACGATCGCCGCAATGAAGATGTCGATCCGGTGGCCGCTTCGGCCGAATATGAACTGGAGAAGCGTGTCGAAAAGATGCACGTCTTTCCTGTTGAATTAATGAAAGGTCCCGAGGGTTTAGGTCTCAGCATTATTGGTATGGGCGTTGGCGCCGACGCTGGCTTAGAAAAACTAGGCATATTCGTCAAAACAATCACTGACAACGGCGCCGCAGCACGCGACGGCCGTATACAAGTAAGTATCGTCAATCCTATATCCAATCTCCATAACATTTTTATAATCATTTTTCATCCCTGCAGGTCAACGATCAGATAATCGAAGTAGACGGTAAAAGTCTGGTGGGCGTTACCCAAGCCTATGCAGCTTCGGTGCTGCGCAATACATCCGGTCTAGTCAAATTTCAAATCGGACGCGAACGTGATCCCGAAAACTCCGAAGTTGCCCAGCTCATACGGCTGAGTCTGCAAGCTGATCGCGAAAAAGAAGAGCGCATTAAACGGTAATCCATTAAATCTATCAATCCCAACCTGGTCAGTTGATTACTTTTTGCTTTCTTAGTCAACAAGAAGAGTATCTGCGCCGCACGCTCGACTACTCCGAGGATTCGACGCAGCCAGTTTCAGCCAATTCAAGCGTCTGCGAGGGACCATCTAGTCCCGTACAGGTCGAGCATCCAATGGAGGTCGAGGCGACACACTCACAGGAGGTTGAGTCGCTCAAGCGTCTTCTACAGGAGGTATGTCTCGTGTGTGCAAATCCGTGTACCCAAGCTCTGTTTGCAGTTGTGCTAAAATCGTGTTCTTTTTCTCTCCTTTTGCTGAATTTCAAAATTGGCTTGTACTACGCGGAAATTGAAATGCAGCATAAAGCGGTAATTGGTCATAAGAAATAAAACGTCTCTTAAAGAAATACAAGTTATAGTTAGACCCCTCATATCGCCCAATATTTAAGTTTATAATCATTTTGATTTTAATTTAAATTATTGCAAATTTAACTTAGAGAGTGTTTTTTTTTCTACAAAGTAGTCTTGCAGCTTGCCATTCTGGCATAGATGCTTCTTTGTTCTGTCTATCGTCCGTATGTAGAAATCGTCCCGAAGGGGTTTTTAAAATATTGTAACCAACCATTCAAATGGCAAACGAATTGAGCTCTTCATTAAATCTGAAGGGCTAAATTAAACACCAAGGATTCTTAATCTTCGTTATTTATTATTTATTTATCGTCTCATTTTTGCTTATAATTTATGCTGTTATTATTTTATATTTTTCATTCAGAGCGAAATGGGTTGCATGGTTAAGGAAGAAATTATTCAAAATCTTAAACGGAAGGTTTGTTGGAGTTTTTTTTAATTATTATTGTTATCAATCTCATATCATCTCATAAATTCTACAATACAAAAAGGCGAACTAAAACTAATGCTTTTCCAATTTCCTCCTCCATCTATAGTTGGTCAAGCTCGAGACAACAGGCAATGAGAACGAACTGCTGAGTGAACGACTGCGCCAGAGTGAGCGTGAGCTGGGCAATATTAAGAAGGAGGCGGCCAATCTTCAAAATATGCTGCAGCAGTCGCAGGCGCAGTATATGGCACTGGACAAAAAGTACAACAAAGCAAAGAGGCTGGTTCGCGAGTATCAGCAGCGCGAGCTGGATATGTGCCATCGCGAGGAGTTCTATCAGCAGCTGCTGCAGGAGAAGGACACTGAGTACAATGCGTTAGTCAAAAAGCTCAAGGATCGTGTTATCAATCTGGAGCATGAACTTCAAGAAACGCAGCGAAAGGCTGGTTTTCCAGTGGGCTTGCCCTACGATAGCGCCACTCTTAAGTTAACTCCCCAAATGATGCGTAAGACGCCACCCAAGCCTCTCTTCCATAAGCTGGAAACGGAACTATCCGACACGGAAATCTCCGATCTGTCACCCGACGGAGACGGCGTCAAAACGGCAACCGTGGAGCGCAAAGTTCCCGTTAAGGACGAACTTGACGCGGCCGTGCCGCAGCACGAGCTGCTGGACAACTCTGTCAACAAAACCAAGATCGAGCTGGGTGAGTACCTGGCCCAGCAATTTTATTCAGCTTCTGGCACTTCATTGATTTGATTTTAATTTTTGTTGTGTGTGAAAAGTTATGAATAAGTTTCGTATTGTTTTTTGATGAAATTTGTACGCTTTGTCTGTGTGTGCTAAATGTTTTGTAATTCTTCTTTTCATTCTCTCTCCAATCTCTCTTTGTATTTTGTGCGCATTGTTGCTGCCGCTCAATTTGATTTGTGATTTGCTCTTCCACGTGCTCGTGTGCGTTCCATATTTGTTTGTTCGTTTGATTTGAAATTATCACGCCCACTGCTGCGCCATCTCACTACCATACTACACAACAAAATTGATTGAATATATGATAAAATACCAAAAATTCAAAAAAAAAATAATTTAAACAAATAAATCTATAAAAAAATCATCGAATTAAAAAATATCTAAACAAAAGCCTCCCGTGGTGGTCTAGCTAATCGCCAGCTACCCTCGACGAACGTATCTAATGGTAGTAACAGCAGCGCCAATGGAGCCAGCGAATTGCTGCTAAATGGCAATCTATGCAAGCGCAGCAGAAGCAACAGCCGTAGCTCGGATTGCACTCTGGATGACAGTGAGGAGGAGGAAGAGGTGGAACTGGAGCAGACTGCACTCAATTTGGCAACGAGTGTGTCTTCCGGCCATGATGGCATCAACCTATCCAATGGCAACTCGCACCTACTAGCCAACGTGAATAACTTACTGCAGAATCATCCGCCTGCGTCAAATACGCCTATTGGCAGCAGCATTGTGCCAGCCTCCGCCTCGAATGGACATGTAGGGACCACAACGGCCATACTGCTTAATTCGACGTCATCGGCTTCGTCCAGCTCATCGAATCAATCAACGGCACGCGAGGCTCAAATCAATCAGCTCTATGCTCAGGTGCACAAGGATCCCAGCAAGCAACAGCAGCAACAGCATCAGGCCAGCACCAGTTTGTTTAAGAATGCGCTGGGCTCGCCGGCGGAGACTGGAGGTGGATTGAACGACTTTCATCGCGGAAGCATGACAACCTTTGGCACTGTGGCAAGTGGCGGTGGCAGTGCTAGTAATCGCGATCTCAACAGCTCATACGACTCTATAGTGGGCTCTAATGATAAGCTAGCAGAGAACGATCAGGGCGAGAACTGGATGTATCCGAGCCGGCGCCGTGTGGCCCCCAACAATGGCAGCAAGTTACCGGGCTCCACTTTCACTGAGCAGCTCAATCAAGCACTGTCCGATCGTGAGAGGTGGGTGACATCACACACACACACACACACAGCATACAGTTAAACAAAATGTTATACGTTCGGAATTTTGCAGACGTTTAGGGGACGGCTCCTCGCGCCACTCCAGCGATGATTACACAGAGATCAACAAGAGCCAAAGTGCCGCAGCGATTAACTGCAAGACGCTAATCAACGAGATTCGCCAGGCGGTCAATGAAGCACAGCCAAAAGGTGAACTATTCAAAAAAAACAAAAAATGACTTGCAACCGGTTTCAACAAGGAATCGTTGATTATCCTATAAAAGACTAACTCAAATTCTCTCCCCGTTATCATATACTTCTATCAAAAGCTCCATTTATTCATGTGCACATAAAGACATTACAAGTTTATTGTTATACATACCCCAAACTGTTATGATAACCAAGTACTCTGTTATACTCAACTATATACTGTTGTATTGAACGTTAATGCGTGTGCCATTCCATTTTATGAATCCCTCAGTAATATTACTAAATTGTTACACGTCGTGTTATAGCCATACATCTTTCTGTCACTCTGTTCATATGGTGCATACAACAACAAATGGCATCACATGAATAATAACACAGCAATGTTTATTCTTCTCTCTCCTCTCTCTCTTCCTTGCTCTCTTGCTGCTACGACTAACTATTAACACTGTAATTCCTCTAAAGTAAAACAAGTTGTTCCGCAATCGCTCTCCCCGCCCGGCACAGTGCCCTGGCAACAGCAGCATCATCAGCAGCATCAACAGCAGCAGCTAACCCAATCAGCGCATGTCACCGGACCGCCATCACCGACTAGCATGTCCTCGGGCTGCTCCTCGCCCGGTTACTCGCCCAGCCGGACCCTGGATCTGTCCGGCTCCAGTTCTAGTTTCTCGGATCGTAAAGCGGCTGTCGCCTGCTACAATTATAAAGGAGGCCCCGTACACGAATGGACCAAGGAGCAGGTAAACTACTAACCGAGAGAATCAACAAGTTTTGTCAAAATAAACAAAAAAAATTGGACTGCACAGGTGGGACACTGGTTGATGGGCATTGAGCTAGAGCGCTATATACCTGTCTTCAAGGAGCACAACGTGGAAGGCGGCGCTTTGCTCACTCTTGACTCGAAGGACTTTAAAACATTGGGCATTTGCGGTGATGACAAAAATCGTTTAAAAAAACGATTAAAGGACCTGAAGGCCAGCATCGAAAAGGAGCGCAAAGACATGGAGCGCGAACGTCGCGAACGCGAAAAGGCCATACGCAAGGCTGAAAAGAAGGCAGCCAAAAAAAAGTAGTTGAATTCTAGATTTTAAGCAACAAAGTAGCCAAAAACCAAAACCATATATGCATACTAAGCACTCATAAGATCTATGCATACCACATCAAATGCGTTTAATTATATATATTTATAGAAATATATCATATATATATGAGTATATAATAGTTATATATCTTATAAAATAACTAATAAGAATACACATAATTTATTTGTACAACAGACATCTATAATACGTACTACATTTTAACTTATTGAAACTAATGCAGCATAGATGTATTTATGAACTATTCTAATAATTAATAGCAAGCAACAGATGTGGTCAGGGACGGTACATGCCTATATAGAAAGTAACTTGACTTGACCAATCTATAAATTTAAACCCTACAAGCTGAATAACACACAATTTAAATTATCCAAATCAAAACATAAGCACACACACCAACACCCAACATAGAGAAGAAAAACAAAGCTAACAAGAGGAAGCGTTGGACTGACTGATTTTTATGAATTATTAATAGAGAAAGGGAAAAATTCTTTATGCAATTAAAAGTAAAGGAAAACGATAAGGAGTTTGAACAATTGAATTGAGAATGAAACACGAAAAGTCTTACGAGTAGCACACTTAAGGAATTAGCTGAACAGACTTGAAGCGGCTTTCAACAGCTGCTTCAACTAAATATAAAAATACATACGTTTAACCATAAATATACTAATAATATATTATATCTAAAAATATATATGTAATATTTAAGTTAATTGCAAAAGGTAACACAACCATAAGTTAAACAATATATCTCGTGTTTTTTTTGTTTTCTATAACATTGTGCAATTTTAAGATTAGCCTACAATATTGTAATCGCTCACACATGAAACTGCAATTGCATTGTATTTGCCAAGATAGTGTATGTAATTAGTCTCAAAGTTTTCTAAAGTATTCGTATTTGCTTAATAATATGTTTTGCAAGCCACTTAAGTACTTAAGTTTCAAGATATAATCGATGTGGTTACCAGATAAGATAATTGATCGTGGATAGATCAATCAAATCATAAGATCGTATATGCCAATATATGCCAGGATAAACATAGAGAGCAAAGATCTTACCCTAGCTAGTATATACATATGCCCCTTCATATGTATGTATGTATGTGTCTAACTTTATGTTTTAGCGTGAGTGCACTTTATTTTTACTTTTACTTTTGTAACATACATTTAGTTGATATATTAAATATATATGTATAACATAATACTAATTAAAATGTTATTCTTAGTTTTAATGTTTTTCTCGTTCTCGTAGTTTTGCTCAATGTCTAGTTTTAATCCCATTTTGCAATACAAGTTCTTGTCGTTTTTTTTTTAATTAGACTATGGTTATTGTATAAAAGCAAAGTATCCATTCCTTTTTGATTCTCTTACATGTTCGCCCAGCTAAAATATCTGGTTTAGTCATTTTTACAATACATCTTATAATGATATTCTTATCCTGTTTGCCAAATTTTTTTTTTGTCAGGATCTCCAAATATCTTGCCAATTAAGACATTTCATATTCGACTTTGTCGAGTATTTTTACTTTTGGGGTAGTTGTTTTTAAGTTTCATAATCAAAATTAAAACAAACAACAAATTTGGACAAATTGAAACTTTGAAATAGGTTGGCCTAGCCCTGTATCGCAAAATATTACAAGTCAAAGCACTTACAAAACACATTCGTGCCTTTTTAATTGCAAAAAACCGTCCCACAAGCAAAAAACCTTTTTTTATTATTTGATATCGACCAGGAATTTGTCCGAACAGCGTCCAATAGTTCCGCCCTTTTGACCTCAATCAAAATACGAATATGTTAAACTATTTAAATTCCGCATATTTCTTAAATAAGAAATTTGTTTGAATAGATGATTGACATGTTAAATTACCTTGTACTCATTTCAATAGGAATTTTCGTTTTGTAAAGTTAAACATGTTTGCAACGAATTCAAATGTTTTTGTAGTTGTTGTTTAGTCTGGGTCTGGATTGGGGTTGCGATAGTAAATTCTGCCTCTTTTATTTTTTTTGCACACAAATGTTTACTTAGATCGATTTGTTATTTTCCTGTCCGGGCCTGTCTGATTTAAACTATGAATGAGTTTAATTTTTTGAGTTTAAGTTCAAGTCCTTGGGTGTGTGATGGGAAGATCTACGCAGAGGTTCACGAGACTTTCTAGGTATTCGCAGTACTTATTGCTTAGCAATTTTCCACTTGTCTGCAAGGCTCAGAAGGTGTCGAACTGAAATCGGGCCTTATCAGTGTAAATCAGTTAAGGTACAACAATAAAATCATAGACACAGTCCGCGTAATACCCTTGCAGAGTGTAATATAGTTTAGTTTCAAAATATGCAACTGAACTGTTTTTTACCATAATTATTCGCTGAACTCAGCCAGTGTAGGTTTCAAAACGTTCTGTTTCATTTTATTGTTTCAATTAATCATTTTTTTCACAATAATTTCCATATGGTAAGCAGAACAATTTCGCAATATCAATGAAAAAAAAAACAGTAAGAGCACAAAATAAAAAAAAAAACAATAGCAATGCAATCAACTTGGCTACTCCAATAAAACTATACTTAATCAAAAGAGTTGAAAATCATTAAAAATTAATTATAATATAAAATATATGTCTTGCTAATGAGCTAACGATTTATACTCAAAACTGCAAATAAAATAAACGTCACATCTAGTACCACAAATTTTCATCTAGAGGCAGGCAAAGATGACTGCCAACTCATGATTCTCTTATCAGCTGCTGTTATCTGTCTATGTCTATGTCTGACGTGTGAAAAGATTCTTTACATCAATAACAAAAAACAAACAAAAACAAAAGAAATGCGCAACAATTTTCTTCGAGTTTTCTCGTTCTCTCTTAATCATAGATGCAGTCGTTAGATATATGTACCTAAAACAGCCCGGTTCTTGAATATTCCATGTGAACGGAATTTTTTCTTATCAACTGGAAATTTTCCATGCTCGTCCACTGACAACTACCTGCTGTTTATTTAAAGATCAGATTTTAGTTTGTGCGGGAAATTCAAAGCGAACCAGCTCGAAAGTTAATAATATGCATTCTTTTGTTTTTAATTTTTTAGTAATTTGTTTGATTTAAATTTAAAACTTAACTTAAAATATAATAATATTATTCACGTGAATAATATTTATATAAAGAACTAATAGTTATCACCATAGGCTTTCTCAAGAAATTTACTTGAATCTAATGAGGTCTGCACAAAGAAAAATAAAGTTGTTTACTTGAATTGTAAATCGCTTGGGGCATAAAAATATATATATTAATCTCGCTGACGTATACCCCCCTCGAACTGGGCCTGATAAGCCTGATAATTTCAGTTGGGAAGCTGAATTTATCAGTATTTGTCACTGTAATATTATTATTATTATTATTATTATTGCAGTTTTCTTAATGGCAGACGGTTTCTGAGCTTGTCCGAAATGTACGTGCAAATATTTAGCTAACAGTTGTTGCCAGGTAATATAAATTGCATTTGCGATTCCATATGGGCTGGCTTTCACTGTTCGTCGGGCTTATCAACGAATCGGATGATTTGAGCATTCAGTAAAAATACTCGCCTTGTTTTGAAGCACAGCTTTTGATAAGCTCAACAATAATAACAAGAACATATTCAACGTGCGGAATGTTTTAAAAAAATGTTTTCAAATAATGAGAAACACGCAATATGTACATTTTGCTTATAGAATTTTTGTAATAAGCTCTGACAAAACCAGGACTCGTAGTCATAGTTTTTTTAAGCTAAGGTTTCAATCAGAAACGGGGCATTTTATAAATATTAAAAATATTAAAAACTGAGTATATTGTCAAGTTCAAGTTTCGCAATAAGTAATACAATTTAATCTTATCATTGGATAACACAATCTTTGTCTAATAGTGAGCACACATGTGGGCAACTTTTAATTGGTGATATTAGAGAAGCAATTTCAGCGAATTAATTACGTTTATTATCAAATCGAAGGCGGGTTTTAGTTTTTTTTTTATTTTTATTTTAAATTTAGTTTATTTTGTGTATTTGTGTTTGTTTTTATTTCTTTTCTAAATGTATTAAATTTAGCTCAATTGAATCAGTTAAGAGCTTCGATTCCGGTATGGCTGACGTCGATGAAACGACAACAACAACAACAACAACAAGAGCAGCTCGGATCCTAAATTGAATATTGAACAATAAACGCTGACTGAGCCGCACGCAGAGGCAGCGCTGCGACACCGACGTCGACGTCAACGTCAGCGTCAACGTCAGCGACACGCCAGCTGGCTGCTGTTTAAAAGTGGAAGCGACGCTGACGACGCGGCTCAATTATCAAAGTACACTCGAGGAGGCAACTGGAAACGCGAAACGAGTAATCACAATAAAGGAGAACTAAAAAAACAGATCGCGACAATAACGAGATAATAAAAGAAATACCAGTCTGTTGGATTTAAATTAGCTTTGATTTGTTTATAATCAAATCGGCGAACTGATTAGTAAGCAGCACATTGTGAAAGTTCATCAAGACATTTACATACTTTTGTGAACACGACAACACACAACCTGTGCAAAGTTATATAACATTTTCCAATTGTCCACAATTAACTCAAAAAACCCGAAAGGAAGTGCAATACAATATGACTGGCTATAATTCCAAAGGCGACGTGGCCACCAGCAATGGAAATCACAACAACAGCAGTGGACACAGCAATGGACACAAAACCTCTGAATATACCGCGCAGGAGAACCACACGTAAGAAAAACAATCAATCGAAAGAAAAAAAACAACAATAGACCGCTTAGTTATTTAAGTAACCTGCTATCAACAATGCACAATAATTGATAGCTTTTTATAGTTCTTGGCATTGTGGTATTGTGGGTATTTCTTTGTCGTCATAGTCACGCTTTTCCAAAATCGATATGTATCGATTCAGTTGTTCTAGTTAGTAGTAGGCCTTGACTTATATGTGTCCTGGTTCCATTATACAAAATTCTTTTTTCATGGCATTACCATTTAGGATTGGGTTCAAAAATTACAACAAACAAAATTATATGACACTCAGTCTGACTATTACTCGGCCCATCTGGTTTCTGTACGGCAAGATGTGCTCTCGTGATTGCTGCTCGGGCAAGGGTGGTCCCAGCAATGGCAAAGGCACTGGCACTGCCTGTGCCGAGAAGAAGAATGGCAAAACTGATGTCGACATAATAGTACCCACGCCTCAGAGTTTGCTGTAAGTTAATGAACGGCGGCAGGAAAAAGTATCCTCGATTGGGTTTCAAGTGTCCTTTGATATTCAAATCAGGCATCTAGTTGCATTTGCTAGAGTTAACATGCATTTTCTCAACTAAATTTAAACAAAATTTTATTTTCCTATTCGATCTAAATTTTTACAATGTGTAATAGCGATTGCTGCTCAAATCCCAGGGGCAAGGCTGGTGATAAATCGGCTATTAATGATCAAGCTGTCCGAAACATAGTGCCAACAGCTCAGAGCCAGCTGTAAGTGTGTTTGATTCCGAAAAGTTTTCTTCTTGTGTATAGTATTTGAATACATCTAATGAACTGTCCTTGATCTTGCCGCTGCTGATATTGGGAGTCGTCGTCGCTAAAGCCAAGCATAAATATGAGACATTCCAGAATACCCAAGCAGCCGCCATAGGGGGTTATCAATTTGCGTAGCCCTCGATCGCTCATTAAATCAAAATGTTCCATAAAAAAGCCGTCGTGACATTTTCTAGCTGCTTGGGAGATTACGAGAGCTACTTGACGCTCATAATTCTTACGGCAAGAAATGCTAATGCCCTCAGGCAGGCGATCCGGTCAGAATGCCCAACTATAGCCGCCGCAGCTTCAAGTAACTGCTGATAAACATGATTTGTAACGTGTGTTGACCCAGTTAACTAAGTTTACTTAGTCGCTCTTGATTGGTTAACCAAAATGGGCGTGTTCCGCGATCTTGACATAGGCCTTTATCTAAATTACTCATTTTTATGGGGCTAGGCATAAAACAGCTGAGCAACAAACTAGTACTAGTTACAAATTGGCATCTGCTCTGCTGATAAAGCCATGTGTCGTTTCTTTTCGGATTTAATTTCGAAACAGGTTGTTGCAAAATTTTGCGTCTATGATTTCCAACAATTAACTTAAGCATTTAAACATATCGCCTGGATATTCTAATATATTCGCCGATTTTGCATAGCCGGTTTAAAAATCGAAATTAAACAATTTCAGCTTCAACGACCAACAACCAACAAATTAAGTATTATAATTTTGTTCTTATTGAAATTTTACATGCATGCTCTGCTCTCTGATTTGTAGATCTTGTTTTTGTATAAGCAATATTCGCCCTTCGCCTGACAATGGTGATGAAAGGTCTGTCTAGATTTCAGTATATTATTATTATTGGGAGATAATCCTATTACGTCAATTACAATACTTTTGAGGAAGTGAATCACTTTATTTAACACTCAATTTCATATTGAAAACATTTAATTAATTATCCTGACAATCAAAATTTTAATAATTACAATCTACAATTTTCGAACATTTTTACAGCAGGAGCGACAACCGTATACAATGCTCCCTTACACCCGAAGAGTTTCGGGCTGTGCGCGTCATGAATGAAGACACGTTTGTAGACTTCTATATTACTTTTGATGTGCTTGTCCCAGTTCGTTCTTGTAATTGTACTTATCGTACTCGCACTATCACATCGTGTTTCACTTCACAAACTTGTGTTCCATCAAAGCAATTTTAATTTGTATTTTTTATCGTTAAGATTTATGCAAACTTAAAAGCACATTCTAGTTCACTGATTCTCACTGTGCCAAGCAGACATATTTTAATGTACTCTGTCCTGTTGCTAAATATAATAATTCATATTCAAATATTTGTCATTCTAATACCATTTTCGTTGTACCATTTTCAGGTATCCGTATGAGGTCATTCAGGAGATCGCCGACTTCATTGTGAAGGGCTCAGGCATAAGGCCAAAGATTGGCATCATTTGCGGATCTGGGCTCGGCTCCCTTGCCGATATCATACAGGATGCCAAGGTCTTCGAGTATGAAAAGATCCCAAACTTCCCCGTATCGACAGTCGAGGGACATGCGGGCAAACTGGTCGTCGGTACGCTGGAGGGCGCCAATGTCATGGCCATGCAGGGACGCTTCCATTTCTACGAGGGCTACCCCCTGGCCAAATGCTCGATGCCGGTGCGCGTGATGAAGCTCTGTGGCGTCGAGTATCTTTTTGCTACAAATGCGGCTGGCGGTATAAATCCCAAATACAACGTTGGCGACATTATGATCATGCATGATCATGTCAATATGCTGGGCTTCGCTGGCAATTCTCCTCTGCAGGGACCCAACGATCCACGCTTTGGGCCCCGTTTTCCCGCTCTGGTCAACTCGTATAACAGGGACCTGATCAACAAGACGATTGAGATTGCTAAAACAATGGGAATTGAGTCAAGTATGCATGTCGGTGTTTACTCTTGCCTTGGCGGACCAACCTACGAGACCATTGCCGAATTAAAGGCACTACGCATGATGGGTGTTGATGCAGTGGGCATGTCCACGGTGCACGAGGTCATCACAGCTCGCCACTGCGACATGAAAGTATTCGCTTTCAGTTTAATAACCAACAAGTGCTCCATCGAGTACAGCGACAAGAAGGACGACGAGGCCAATCACGACGAAGTCATGGCTGTAGCCAAAAACAGGCAGAAGGCATGCTGCGAGCTGGTTTCCCGACTTATAGCTGAAATCCAAAAGGGGCCCTAGACCAGCCGTAGTCACCTGATCGAGGTCTGGTTGATTTTAAAATTATTTTTAAGCCTAAAACCCATTTTAAAATTGACAGTATAAGATAAAATATAGATATAGATAGATAAGAATGTGTTTAAGTAGTTATATATTAAGCTCAAGCCTAAAGTATGTCAAACACCTTGTGTATGGACAAGGACTATGATCTGCCCAAAGGATCATCAGGAAATCATCCTTGTCGCTTTAGAGCTATGGCTATTGTATTTTTAATGAACATTAAATTGGTCACCTTAAGGACCTTTCTGATGACCTTTGAACAACATGTAGTCCTTGTCTTGCCAACTTAGAATACGTAATAAGTAGGACGAAAATCCTTCAAGGAGCTGAGCAAAAGAGATTTTTGTCTGTAGAGATAAAAGGCTGTAGTTCGGCCGTGTCCTTGCTGATCATAATGTCCGTTAACGGTCCTTAGTCCGCTAGTCCTTATCCTCCCAATTCAGTATATATAATGAAAAGGACGAAAGTCCTTTAGGCAGCCTAGATATTAGTTCAATTCTTTCGTAAATTAATAACGCCATAACTCGGACGTATCCTTGCGGATCCTGACAAGTCCTGTGTTAAACAAATCGCACGATCAAGGACCATAAACTGTCCAAAGGACAACAAAATCGTCCTTGCCGTTTCCGTGATATGGCCAATTTTCGAAAAAGGGCATTTTTTAAGTAGCCATAACTCGGCCAAATCCTTAAGGATATAGGAAGGCTATGCCTTTTTAAACTCGTGGTGAGCAGAACTATCGATTGGCATTCAAGAATTTCCAGAATTCGACAAAAAATTCGTCGAAATTTTTCCTAGGGGGTTAGTCGCAAAATGAGCTAAAATCGAAAATATCCGGGCTAATTTTGCCATTTGAAGGACTATCGGGATGTCCTTTGGTCAACAGATAGTCCTCAGCCTCCCATTGAAGAATTTAATACCCAAAGGACGAAAGTCCTTCAGACAAAAATGTTTTTGGGACGATTTTGTTTGAAGAAAATAGGCCATAACTCAGATGTATCCTTGCAAGTAATGTGTCAAAAAAATTGTATTGACCAGGACTACAAGCTGGCCAAATTTCAATAAGATCGTCCTTGTAGTTTGGGAAATATTTAAGGATTTGTGTTTTCGGGCCATTTCCGTACGTTTCGCGACTGAAATTTTACAAGTCAAAATACAAGTCCTGGGATTCTTAGATGACCCCATATTTTTATGATGCACATCGATGCAGGGGGTCAACACGATCCTAACGCACCATGTCCTTTGAAAATCTGCAAGGACCTGCCCGAGTTATGGCCTATTTTCCTTAAATAAAATGCTTTTATATATTTATTTACTAATTTAATTTAAATGTGTTTTTATCTTTTCAGACTGACAAATTAAGGACTACAATGAGCTCTAAGGACCTCCACGACTAACAAAGCAAATTTTTCCAGGATCGGACTTTAATTAAGGCAGATATAGCTATTTTAAGTTCAAGTAGGCAACAATTATAATTTATTCTCGTTTTGTATAATTTTAAGGGATATAATTAAGAAAATTAGCATTAAAATTCAACAATTTGTAAATTTAAACATAAATAAATCAAATATTTAAAATAAAACAAAGAAATTCCTGTTTTTTTATTTAAAAATTCAAAAATCAACGGTCTTTAGATACCTATTGCATATTCGTGACGTCAGTTTGTTGGCAACCGCTGGCTGCCGAGATTTTTCTTAAAATCTGCAAAAATACCAGGCGAACAGAAACGCCCAGAAGGTCGACAAATAATATTTTTTAGCTGCCGAAAAAATTTCGTTGCATACCCAAAAGGGGCGCCCTAGTCGTCGGCTGGGTCCCAAATTTTAGCTAAAATTTCCCAAAAGTACCAGGCGAACAGAAATGCCCAGAAGGTCGACAAATAATATTTTTGCGGCCGAAAAGTGACGTAGTAAAAAGGGGCACCCTCGTCGCCGGCCCCAAATTTGCCCAAAATTCCGCTCAAGTACCAGGCGAACAGAAATGCCCAGATGGTCGCCGAGTGCTTTTAATAAAAAAATTCATTGCATAGCATTAAGGAACAAAAATGTAACTCATTTAAAATGAGTACTTTTAAATAGCAGTTCCTGTAAAATGAGTGCTGTAAGACTGCTTTTAGACAACAGCTGCAGCTGCAGCTAGCAGAAACCCATAAAAATGATAAACGTTCATGTTTATTTTTGATTTTATTTTTATTTTTTTAATAAAAACTACATAATACGAAATAAAATCGAAACATAATAGAATACAAATACTAAAATGAGCAAATAAATGTAGATATACGTAAATAGAAACTTGAGTACACGAAAAGTATGAAATAAAGAGAGCAATGGTATTTTACCTTAAATTTGTATGTGCTGTATACAAATTGACAATGGCAATTTAGTCAATTTGTTAAACACAAAGCACATCAACTTAATATGTACATAAATGTAATTAAATTTTACGTTTTTTGATAGACCAGTGCAATTTCGTGATAATCTTTGTGTCGTCTGAATACATATTTAGCTGCTATCACAGGATATAAATCTGTGTATATAAATATGTATATACGATAAGTGTATAAAGTACGAGAGTATCTAAAGATATGCTCACAGTATCGTGTATCGTGTGGTTCTTGTAAATAGTTTTGGTAGAATACATAAGCATGTACGTTTTTGAAGATTGTTAGAAAATATTTTTGGTTACAAAAGTATTTTGTGATTGCGTTCACGTGTAAGTCTAATATGGTCACATTTTCGTGGTTGTTTTAGAAAAGACCACGGTCCTTCTTCAGCTTGGTTTGCTTCCACACGGGCAACTGATCGAACTCCAAACGGCTGACGCCGAGTGCGTGTTGAAATTCATTTGGTTTCAGGTAGAGCTCCAGACGCGTGGGCTCCACGCCCTCTGGCAACGGGCGCGCCTTTAGCACCTCAAGCGGGTATTCGGTTTGAGTCATTTGTGCGAGCATTTCACTGATGGACGTGGGTACATCAGTCCGACCATCCTGTAATACCAAGGGATACAAATTCTATATATGAAGGAAATGTCGAAGCTGTGAATTGACTTACCTCGAGGTTGATTTCACGAATATCGTCGCGCTCCGACCAATCGGGAAAGAAAGCTTTAAATGGCAACGGCTCCAGCCCTGCCCAAACAACGTGACCCTTGATGCCATGAAAGGAAACCGCGTCATTATCGCCGTGCTTCGCACGCCAATAGTCGACGGCCGTTTCTAGAGCAGCTCGTCGCTCTGAGATCCAACGGTTCACACCAGCACGATTGTCATTGGTGGGGCTGCTGCGATCGGAGTCGGAGTTGACTATAATTCCAAGAATGGTAGTATTAGAAACGATTAATGGGTTGGGTTAATTAACAAGCTTACTCTTGATGTCCTCCAGTGGCCACCAGCCCATCCAGAGCCACAGTTCGTCGCCATCGTCTAGCAGGAAAATAGTCGGCTGGCGAGCATTGTACAGCTGCGACTGTGAAAATGGATAAGGAGAATGCAGATCCCGGCAACGCATCGGATCGATCAGTTCGTGTGCCTTGAATACGCCTTGTGTGCTCGACAGGTTAAAGATCCTTAGTGTGTAGTCATAGCATTTGGTCGACTTTAGCAGACTACCATAATTGCGCTCCTCCTCGCCAATGCCAATGCCAAGGGCCGTCGTGCAGAGATCGCACTCGGCACCCTCCTCCAGTTCCTGGACTGTGGCACTTGCGCAGCTGAACAAATCCTCAGGCAGCTGATCTGCTACCTGCTGGGCTGCAGCTAAGGCGACGGCACGAGTATGCGCTGCGCTCTTGCAGCCATGCCAAACGAGCACAAGTCCCTCGGCGCCGTGTATGAGCAGCATGGAGCTACGCGAACGGAGCTGTCGGGCATCGCAGTGAACTTCCTTTAGAAGCGATTCCTCGGGCAAATTGCCTTGTAGCTGGTACAGACGCCACTCGGCTCGCCTGGTCAGGCATTGCACTTTGCGACCATGATGCTGCCAGAGCTGGCGGAAGAGTCGCACAAAGGCGGGAAACTCGTCGCCTTGGGCCACACGCATTTGGGCGCCCTTTTCCTTATCGAGTTCAACGGTCAGCAGAGCAGCGGCGCCCTTCTCATTAGCACTCGAGTCCTGGCCCTGCCAGGTGAAATAGACGCAACGATCGCGGCCGACAGTGCTGCGATTCGACACCTTGCCACTCAGTTCCCGTACCGTAACTGAAATCTGGTAGATCCAGCGCACAATGTAGCTCTCCGCGGAATAGAAGTGTCCGTAGTTCTTGTGCGCCTCGGCCGCATCGAAATTGAACTCGTGTATCTGCCATTTGTCCGTTGATTTGGTGATAATATCAAAGTGGCGCATGGTCTCATTGTCGTAGTAGAAGTTGCCACGACCCAAATTGGCCTGCTCCAGGACAAGATTGGGTTCCTGGTAGGGGAGCTCGCCCTTCAGCAGAGCTGCGCCGTTGAGTGCGCGCACAACATGGACACCATTTGCCAAATAGTCCTTCTCGAGATCCTCGCGCTCCAGCTCCGGCCAGTCGCTGAACTTCTCCTTGAACAGCACCGTCTCCATGTTCTGCGTTATCTTCCCCAGCACGCACCACTCTGGCCGCTGAGCGCAGCGCTTGGCATACATGCTGCTCTCGCGCCTGCCCACAATGCTAGCATAGTTGACCGGATTCAGATAGCACTGGGCGTAGTCTGCGGCATCCGCGGCGTCAAAGTGCTCCTGAGCGAGACGCATGGCCGCCCGCTTGTCATCTGTAGGGGCGTTCTTCCCGTTCCACACATACAGCTCGCTGCCAAAGTCAAAGACGAGCACCTTGCGTGTATCGAGCATTTCAACCTTTGGTATGCAGCCCCAGTACTTGGCCAGGGGCACCAGGCCATCGTCATGGAACTCGTAGATCTTGTTTGTCTCAATCAGACAGCTCTCGAATACGTCATCCTCATCCGCATGGCCGCAGTCAGCCATCTGCTGCTCCTCGGACTCCTCCGACTCACCCAGAAGCGACCAGAACTGACGCCATTGACGCTCGTTAACGTATTTATTGTCCGAGAGTATTAGCTCCTGTGTGGCTGTGCAGCCGAGATCCTTGTTCTCTATAATGGCAGCGCAGATCTTCTTGCTGCGCGAGATCTCAATGACATTGGCAAAGGAGCCCACATAGCGGAAGAGTTGTGCTCCAGCGACCAAAATAAAACAATCGCCACGATTCATCGATGCCGGCACGGGCGCCACCAGACGCGTCTGGACATGGTTGCGTCCTTTGACATGCAGCAGCATCACGCGCTTATAGGGCAACCACATTTGCTGCAACGGCAACGATGACGACTTCAAAGCCACCGACTTGAAATCTTCGATGGATGCCAGACCTGCGATGGCTTCTGCTGCCAAGTTGCCGCGTTGTCCAACTGCCGAGGCAGAAATTGATCAAATTGATTAGCTTGTGGAAGATAAATCAAAGGATATGCGTGACTCACATGATTCCAGCTTGAGACGACGCACCTCGCGCTCGGCAATGCCCGTGTTGAGTTCCGTATACTCCGAGCAGATGTCGCTGCGGGCTGCCAAAGTCTTTAGAGGATTGCGTGCGGCTCGCCGACCCTTGGGTCCCTGAATGTTGCGCTTGCTAACGAGGCTGTGGGAGGGGAGGAGATGCAATTGAAAAGATATTCATTCAAGTGATATATCTTGGCGCGACTTACCGCTCTGTGGGCTTTATATCATCGAAGGCGCCTATGTCGACGGCAGCTGCTGTTTGGCTGCTCTTTGGCTTTGGCTGGACGACGACAAAGAAGTTTTCGAAGGTCTCCTCGTCGTCGAGACGCGGCACTTGTATTCGGGCGCCCACATTTGTGGCTGCGGCCGCGCTCTTGTTGTTGGCCAGCTCCTTGCTCTGCTTGGCATTGTGGGGCGATCCATCCGACTCGCAGCTGCTGCTGCTGCTGTTGCTGCGACTCAGGGGCGGCAAAGTCTCCTCAGCATTGACGACGCTCAAGCTGCGCTGTGTTGGAGTCGGTTTCGAAAAGGTCGTCGTCGTCACCATCATGGAGGGGCTCTTGGCCAGACCCAGCTGCGGCTGATTGGCGCTGCGCACCTCCAGCATTGGGCACTTTTTGGCCGCATCATTGGGCAGACGCTCGAACTGCAACTCAGCTGGCGATTGAGCCTTCTTCTTCTGCAGTCGTCCAGCGACTGTAAACTTCTTGGCATCAGTTTGCTCTGTAAGTATTTGCGATCAGATCTTGGTCAGTTAGTGGCTTTACTGTACTTACCTATACGTTGCTTCCAGTTCTCCGAGTTTGACTTGAGCTTACCCAGGCGCTCCGAAACTTTGCCGCCTTCGAGGCTGGCCACGATCAAAGGCGACGGCGGCAACGGCTTGTCCGATATCGACTCGGCCAGAGAAAGTGATTCCTGTGCGAAAGAAGGGAGTTGGGATTGTGATTAACGAGTGGACGTCAAATGTTTAATTAAAAAAAAAAAAAAAGATTCGAAAAATAACAGATTTTGGCACATAATAAAAGTTGAGTTAACAATACGCGCACATTCGCTTCAAAAAAGTGGTCATCAATCAAACCATTTTTGGTTGCCTCGAGTTTTTCTAATGTTGTTTATTGTTGTTATAAAGCTGGGTTATTCCCAGTTAAAATAGCATGACTCACGAGTCACTAACTTATAGGTTAGTTAGTTGGTTAGCTAATGATTTGAAGGGTCTGTCAACAGCTGTAAATTAGTTAAAAGCCATTTACCAGTTTTACGTTTTGCATTATGTACGCCTTGAAAAAACACACAACACACGGGCACGGCACACCTTAGAGCCAAGTGCGCAGCCCTTGGCCAGCTGGAGAATTGGCTAAATCCAAAACAATTTAAAGCGCAATCGAATCTCGAGTTGTGCTCACCGTACCAGGGGATCTGTGACTGAGCAACTGCGCAGCCGAAGGTGAGACTTGGGCAATGATAACCACACAATAGATAGGAATACAGAGAGAGAGAGAGCGACAGAGAGAATGAGTTGAGATAAGATAAGAAAAGCACCTCTCATTTTATAGATACACCTGAAGAGAGAGTGAAAAGTAAGATAGAGAAGTGCGGAAAGAACAAATTGTTTGGGTTTGTTTAGTTTCGAATCTTAGCCGCAAATTAAGTGTAAATATGTACACATAATTTAAGTACATTTGTACTATTATGAAGATACTCTATAGGCCAGACCTTGGGCCTTTTAATTGCAGTTACCAGGTTATCAGATACTGTCGCACTTTATTTGCAGCACAGTTGAGAAACTGTTAATTACTTGTGATTAAATTAACAACCGCTTTGTTATTGTCAGATATCAGCGAATTCTCTTTCTTTCTCAAGACATTGGAATTCTCCTGAAATCGGTAGCATGCGTCATCCGCAAAGTGCTGGCCCCCCTGCCCCTGCCCCTACCACATTTATGCCCATAATACAGTTGACGATGAATCATGGGCATTCGATTTGATAAGCCACATTCATAAAAAAATGGGTTAAATCTACCGAAGCAGTAAATAAATAAAAACAAAGGCGAACATTTCTTTTTGGGAAGCCGATCGTTGAAGACCCTTGTCAACTTGAAAGTCTAAAGTGGAAATTTCGCTTAATTAATTTTCAAATTTTATTCATATTTGTCATTTTTGCCAAGACATCTTCCAAACTGAGGCTCCAGTTGACATTGAAATGTTGCACCCACCTGCCCACTTTTGAATGCTTCGAACAAAAAGTCAAATAACGTTATTAACATCTGAATTTTGGCTATTTTCCAAATTTGGTCAAATATTTTGCTCAAGTGTCACTTGGCGTGGGCTAACACACCTGAACAGGTCAACACATGAAATCATGGACAGCAATTGGGACAACAATGAAAGCGCAATTCAATTCAATTTTCAATTACAATTGGTTTTTGTTGTTGTTGTTGTTATGATTAATGAATATACCCGACAATCCATCTATTTGATGGGCATTTGCCCTTTTGTGCATTAATTTATTCGATCGTTGAAAAGTTGGTCGTACTTGCAGCTAGTCTAAGTTCAATGGATTTGGGCTCTTGTATTTATAGTAAAGATATCTAGAGAAAAGGGCATATACCCTATAAAAATACACATGTCTCGCATTTTACTTTATTTTTTTAAGTTATCATAGCTTTTTTCAACCTCGGCTCGGGCATCGATGGAAAATTAATGATTTGCGTCAATTTGTTGGCAAACATTCACACATATACACATATATATATATATGGTAAAGAAAGAGCACATCGATTCGTGTTGCCGAAGATTGAATACCCTTATGTAAGTGTTATTTGAATTCAAAGAAATACTTTCATAAGCCAGATGTTTTGCCAGAATAAATTGATGGAAATAAACAGTTCCATTTGTTATTCTCGGTAGGGGTAAAAACATTCTTAAAGCATTCATATATTTTATATTAGAAAAAATTGTTTAAACAAATTGATAAAACAGCTGCACAGAAAGGCAAGGCCAATGCAAAGCTAAAATTAAATTTTTTTATACATATATTCTGTTGCACTTTTCTGCCAGCTGACAAATATAAATTCAACTAATTTTTGTTTCGGTTGTAGACAATTTATTAATAAGTTTATAATACGTGTCTATGAAGGCAATACTCCAACTAATTCATAGTCAAATTATTTAATATATTTTTATTGCAAGTACTTTAAATATAAATATTAGTACTTTGCTTTGTTAGGGCTCACTTAAGATTCTAAATATACATTTTGCTGGGCTTGCGTAATTCAATTACTTTTATTATTACAACTGAGAACTGAGAAATAACTGAGGATAGAACCAGGTTAAATATCGAAGGGATAACTAAGTTTGCTCATTTGTAATTTTAGGCGATATTCATTAATAATAATATTAGTGATAGTGCTTTTAATCTGCTTAAGTTTTCATCAATTAAACAAACAAAATGCAATTGGAAATGGAAATGGAATGAGGTTGGTCAGCCAGGGAAGAGGCGTGGCATATCGCATAATTCACAACTGATTACAGCTACGATGATGACTTGAGTCGCACTCGAATCGAGCGAGTGTTTTCTCTGAGTCACTCGGGAACAAAGGCAAGAGTCAAGGGGGGGGGGGAGGGGAGGAGGTCGGGCTGGAAGACGCCTGAGTTCGTACATGGCACGATAAAAGCGACCAAGTGAACAGCTTTTTTTGGATGTCAGTTCATGCATTCACTCGGATCTCTGAGAGAGATTGGCAATCTCTGAGCCGCTGCAGCTCAACTGTTGCTCAGCTGGAGGAGGGTCGTCTCGTTCGCGTCGTGCTCCTCGTTGAGCAGATCCGTAATGGAGTAGGCGGACAGAGGCCGCGAGAATCTGCGCTCGGAGAGTATATCGTCGATGCAGGTAATGGGCGACAGACTGTTGTAGTCCACAGGCTCCTCAGCGCTGCGTGCTATGGCCTGGAAGATGTCCTCCATGCTGGACTTGAGCCAAAGTGCTGGCGGCTGGCGCAGCAGCACCGGCGACGTTGGCTCCGGCGAGCTGGACAGCGGTGATGCAGTCGAGGGCGTGGCTGAGGTGCCGCGAGTGCGTCTTATAGCGGGCAGAGGCACCGCCGCCATGGGCGCCCAATCGTCGCTGATCTTGGCGGGCTTCTGTTCAGCTTGTTGCTGCTCTTCTTCCAGCTCCTGCCACAGCTGCATGGCCTGTTCGATGTGCTGCAGCTGCGCCGTCAGCTGTGTGGCAATGCTGCCCTTGCGCGAGGCGCACGGCGTCGATTCGCCGGACTCCATCCGAATCTCCGGCAGCTTCACAGGCGCGACGCGGCTCACCTGCCGCGCCGCAGTGCCCGACTCGAACATGCGCGCAATCTTGGTCACATTGTTGTTATGCTTCACAGTGGGCGCTGCCACAATGGGCTGCTCCCTCGTCTCCCTCGGCTGATGTCGTTTGGGATAGACGCGCGTTACGGGTTTGCGCTGCTTTTGCTTGACACCATGCGGCTCCTGGTCATGGGCATGGACAGCGTGACAGCACAGCTCGGGACCGTAGCAGCGATGAAATTTGTGACGATTCGCCTCGAAGTCGGCGTCCGCATAGCGCTTTATCCGCATCATCGACTTGGGCAGCAGCGTGAGCAGCACATAGGCCACAAGCAGGTAGGGCAGGTGACTCAGCCATTGCCCGGCTGTCTCCAGATACAACTGGTAGTCCGACATTGTTGTTGTTACAGCTGCAATTGGCTTTCGATTTTGCGAGTGTTTCCGTTCGCAAAAAAGTTTTGGTTGGTTTTTCAGTCTTCGATAAGATTTACCATGACATCACGGAGCACTGTACAAAGGACTGTTGCGGGAAAGAAATGATATACGATTTTTATACATTTTTATTGCTTTGACATTTACGCAACAGCAAAATATTGCGAATTATTTCGATGATATTTTCTACTTATCGCAATATTTTTGTGGCACGGATATGTCCTTTCTCTTTCGCACACACACACACACACTCACACACCTTTCGTTAAGTGCTTTCAGTTCTGCATTGCAATCAGCCGCACAGCTTGTTCCAATATTTATGCACATATCAAAAAACATATTCCAACGTATTTTTATCTTGGACTGTCATTTAATATCCCCACAATGCTGTGTTTTATTTATTCAAGAATTTTTAATTCTATTTGGTTGATTTCGTATTTATTTTGATTTTGTTTTCAGGCGCGTTTCTGCATTCCGACGCACCCAGCGGTCGTTCTCTTCGGCTGCTCGTCTTAAACTTAACTGAACGACGACGACGAGCGCAATTTTCATTGAATTGTGCGGACTCGCTCTCAGCGGACTTTGCTACCTCTCTATTCGCTTGGCGCTCTTCCGCTCTCTGCCGCTCTCACGCTCTCTCGCTTTTGTGCTTTATGATGTACGCGTTCGAAGAGTTTCGGTGGCTGAGGCGTCGGCTGCACTTGCGCACTTAGGTTAAATTATAATTGTTGTTGTTTTCGAACAACTAGTTGCAGTTAAATTGGAGCGTCTTTCTTATTGGCACTTTATAGGGCAGTGCTTGATTGGATCTTGTACGTCCAATTAGAATTTATTATTATTTATTATTATTAGATAAGAATATTAAATTAGATTATTCATTGCCAAAACGTTTCCAGGCTTGGTAGATTTAGATCAGTTCCTTTATATGTTCGATTTTGGCAAAGTTACGAAAGCTTGAAATCCAGATGGGGCATTTACTATATATTCACTAATGATATATCATTGAACATTTTTGCAATCTTTCTGCGTTTTTATGTTTGTGCTTTGTGCACAGCATTTGCGATGAGAAATCTTGTATTTATTTTTAAAAACATTACGTGGGTTCCGATTTGTAATAGTCAAAGATTGCGGCCAGGCGTGAATATGCTACATAAGAAAGTTCTCAATGGTGAGTGTGTTGACGTGACTGTGAGTGAGCGCAACGATTCGCCTTGAAACACATTTTTCTTAAATATATATTTTAAAATTTGGCGTAAAATGTGTCAAATTCATCATCGTTGAAAATGCAAATGCCAAAGAAAACATAAAAATATTTATTTGGTTTTATGTAACTCGCTTCCTGCTGCGCCGCATTTGACAGTTTATGCAACTTATTTGAGCAGTCAGGAAACTAACTACTTCGCATTACTTTTTATGCAATCGGAGCGAATGGAGCGTGTGAGAAAGAGAGAGGGAGAGAGACAGAGCGCACTTTTTACACACACGTCAACTTTGATTTGCTGCTTATCAAATTGAATGTCAATGAAAACGGGCGGCAAAAAAATGCATACCAATAACAATAACAATAACAATTACGAACTAAGTTTAAGCAGTAAAGCAAAAAGCAGCAAATAATGCGAGCTGCGAGAAGCGCTTGTCTTGTAGTCGCGGTTCGTACTGCGGCAACGGGTTGATTAGCAAACCATAAATGCCAATTGGAGACTATCAAAGCCGGCTCTGGAGAGAGCGAGAGCAGCGGCGACGATGACGGCGTCGCCGACAACGTAAAGTGAGGTTGTTGTCGCTGACTCGCGACGGCAGGCAACGAAAAGAGACGATTTAAAGTAAAGTGAGAGCAATAAGAGAGATCTTCATGGAGAGTGGCAGGCTTTAGAGAGAGAGTGAGAGTGAGAGATCAGCTTCCAACTGGCATATTAAGTGGCAAGGGCTGATGCATTACAATTTTGGGTATGTGATGAGTCTGATGATCATTAATGAACAAAAATTAAGTAAATTTTGCATCTTGTTTTTTTTTTTTTAGACCGACTACAAATAAATGTAATACAACTTATCAAAGATGGTGCAAATGGCCAGAATCTCAATAAATAAAGACAGGAAAGCCCAAAGGAAAAATACGAATAAAGAGTCACGTTATCTTTGTCCCACAACGGACAGGCCAGAAATGTTGAAAAGAAAATAATGAATCACATAAAGGCAATAAAAATAATCAGCAATAAGCAGCCGCCGCAGCAGCCGTTGGCATATTTGCAGCTTGTAAAGATACAGATAAAAAAGCGACAAGCGGAGCGCAGGAGATATGAAGTCGGGTACGAACAGTTTGCCAGAGCGAGCGTCTTTTAGTTAGAACTTTTGTATATAGGCAACAACTATAACAACTACTGGCTACTGTCATTGCGATTCTCCGTCTCGGGTGGACTAATGAACAAGTACAGCAGAGCAGAAAAAAAAATAACAACAACAACAACATAATCGCAACAGCAAGCGAACAATACGTGGAGCATAATAAACTACACAGAAGACTCTGGCATCAGGGCAGGAATGTGGTGGGGAGGAGGGATGGGTATGGGTATGGATGGGTAGGGCAAATAAAGCTGCAAGTATATCAAATTCACAAAACAATTTACAATGGCCAGAAGAAGGCAAAGGCAAAGGCGAGCCGAGGCGAGGCCAACTCAAGTTGGTTGGGGATAAGCTTGGAGGAGGGTGTAACTGCGCGGCAGATGAGCACGTTCAAGATCAAGCCACAGATCAAATGCATCCACAGTTGGACCCAGCAGCATCAACAACAACAACAACTTAAAGACGATAAAGAAGCAGCAGAAAATGGACTGGAAGCTACAGCCCAGTCCAACCCAACCCAACCCAACCGAACCTATCCGACTTGTGTTCCATCCTTTTTTATTTGATAATTGTTGTTGTGGCGGCTGCTGCCTCTGCCTCTGCCTCTGCCTTACTCGCTGCTGCTGCCCACAAGCCAGTTTAGAAGAAACGAAAATTATGGCCAAATGTAAGTTGGCAGGCAGCTGCTGCAGAGGAGGCCTCTGCCACATTGCCTCTAAATATGTATACAACCACAAGCTCTTGCTCTCTAAGATGATGGCCATGACCTGATCAATTGCGCTAGGTTTTTTAGATTCTGTTTCGATTCAATTTTAGACATAGCGTGATGTGACCTTAGCGCTTGCATAGAACCCACTGTCCCTTGAACGCCAAATAGTTTTAGAATTGGGTTAGCTGCCAAAAAGCGCATGAAAATTACAATAAATATTTAAACATATTTAATATAATTATAAATATTTTTTTGATTTGATTTTCGAACCGACCCCGATTTTAAAATAAACCGTGATGTAACCCCTTGCCATTTGGGTCAAAATTTAGATTTTAATTTTTGTTGATGCCAATCGATAGTACTGATTCTTACGAGTCCAAAATGGTATTAGATTCCAAAATCGGACATTATTTTTCCGAGATATTCCAAAAAATCATCAAGGTTGACTATACAACTGAATCGTTTTTTGGTTAACAACTTTTTTGAACCCATCGATTTTTAAAATGTTTGAATGCCAATTGATAGTAGGGATCCGAACGAATTAAAAAAGGTATAACATGACAACAAAATTTTTAGTCGGATTTTATGTCTAAATCTTACCCCTAGTTTCGTACACTGACATGGGTCGAAACTTCCCATTCGCATAACTCGGTCGAAACTCACAAGATTACCATGGGGATTGGCTTTTTGTTCATGGTTTTCCCTCTAGATTAATGTGGTATTAAAATCTGACAACAAAATTTTTAGTTGGATTTCATGTCTAAATCTTACCCTTAGTTTCGTGCACTGACATGGGTCGAAACTTCCCATTCGCATAACTCGGTCGAAACTTAACCGATTTTCATGGGGATTGGCTTTTTGTTCATGGTTTTCCCCCTAGATTAATGTGGTATTAAAATCTGACAACAAAATTTTTAGTCGGATTTCATGTCTAAATCTTACCCCTAGTTTCGTACACTGACATGGGTCGAAACTTCCCATTCGCATAACTCGGTCGAAACTCAACCGATTTTCATGAGAATTGGCGTTTTGTTCATGGTTTTCCCTCTAGATTAATCTGGCATTTAAATCTGACAACAACATTTTTAGTCGGATTTCATGTCTAAATCTTACCCCTAGTTTCGTACATTGACATGGGTCGAAACTTCCCATTCGCTTAACTCGGTCGAAACTCAGCCGATTTTAATAAGGCTTGGCTTTTTGTGAATGGTTTTCCCTCTAGATTAATCTTGCTTTTTAATTAATTTTAATTTTGGGTTGGATTTCATGTCAAAATCTTACCCCTAGTTTCGTAATGTGACATGGGTCGAAATTTCCCATTCGCATAACTCGGTCGAAACTCAACCGATTTTAATAAGGCTTGGCTTTTTGTGAATGGATTTCCCTCTAGATTAATCTGGCATTTAATTCTGATAACAAAATTTTTAGTCGGATTTCATGTCTAAATCTTACCCCTAGTTTCGTACACTGACATGGGTCGAAACTTCCCATTCGCATAGCTTGGTCGAAACTCAACCGATTTTAATAAGGCTGGGCTTTTTGTGAATGGTTTTCCCTCCAGATTAATCTTGCATTTAAATCTGACAACAAAATTTTTGGTCGGATTTCATGTCAAAATCTTACCCCTAGTTTCGTACACTGACATGGGTCGAAACTTCCCATTCGCATAACTCGGTCGAAACTCAACCGATTTTCATGAAAATTGGCGTTTTGTTCATGGTTTTCCCTCTAGAATAATCTGGCATTTAAATCTGACAACTAAATTTTTAGTCGGATTTCATGTCTAAATCTTACCCCTAGTTTCGTACACTGACATGGGTCGAAACTTCCCATTCGCATAACTCGGTCGAAACTCAACCGATTTTCATGAAAATTGGCGTTTTGTTCATGGTTTTCCCTCTAGATTAATCTGGCATTTAAATCTGACAACAAAATTTTTAGTCGGATTCCATGTCTAAATCTTACCCCTAGTTTCGTACACTGACATGGGTCGAAACTTCCCATTCGCATAACTCGGTCGAAACTGAACCGATTTTCATGAGGATTGGCTTTTTGTTCATGGTTTTCCCTCTAGAATAATGTGGCATTTAAATCTGACAACAAAATTTTTAGTCGGATTTCATGTCTAAATCTTACCCCTAGTTTCGTACATTGACATGGGTCGAAACTTCCCATTCGCATAACTCGGTCGAAACTGAACCGATTTTCATGAGAATTGGCTTTTTGTTCATGGTTTTCCCTTTAGATTAATCTGGTATTAAAATCTAACAACAAAATTTTTAGTCGGATTCCATGTCTAAAT